CTTTCCTGTAGCTGAACCAGAAAGGGCCACCCCTTTGTATTCTTTGGCTGCTCAAGTTTGGCTCTAGGGTTTAGGGTTTAGGGTTTAGGGTTTAGGGTTTAGGGTTTGAGGGTTTGGGGTTCAGGGTTTAGGGTTTGAGTAATCTTTCTGGATCCGACTAAAATCACCACTAGGACTACAACTTTCAAGATATAAACAAGGACCGGTCTGATGTTTAAAGTTTCAGCTTCAGATGAGACACCGAGCTTTGCCATAAACCTCGAAACTTCATATAAAAGTTCCCAGAGTCCCTAAACCCTAAACCCCAAACCCCAAACCCTGAACCCTAAACCCTAAACCCTAAACCCTAAACCCCAAACCCCAAACCCTGAACCCTAAACCCTAAACCCTAAACCCTAAACCCTCAGCCCTAGCTCGCGTTTGGGGAGGTTTGGCTTCGCATCGCGCGCTGTGTTGGCGACCTCCAGCCTGGGTAGTCCAAGCTCAAAAAGTGCGGAGGCCATCGTAACACGGGGGCAAGGGGGCAAAGGAGGCTGAGGGTTTAGATGGAGTTTGGGTTTAGGGTTTAGGGTTTAGGGTTTAGGGTTTAGGGTTTGGGGTTTGGGGTTTGGGGTTTTGAGTTTAGGGCATAACCCATTCCGGTCGAGGTGTGACAATCAATCGTATCTTGTTTCGCAGCCACAGTCTTCACTTTGTGGGAGAATGCTGCCGGGTCATTGATGCACGGCACAGGTGCCAAAAGACTCACTGCCGTGCATTTTTTTGACATGTCCTTGCGTGAGGCAGGAGGCGGGCGCTTTGCGTTAAGCCACCTGTCACACAACGCAGAGTGACGATATCGCTATAGCACTGGCAGGTGCAAGCACAAAGGTAGTATTCCATGGCTCCTCACCTCAAAAACGAGGATGAAAACTTCTGAAATAACCCGACTCAAACCGTTTTTCCACGCCAGCGGATCCAATCCGGCAAAATGTGTGGGCGCTGCAAGTGCATGGGGCTAGAAGGAAGTGTGTGTGCTCCGCACCACCACTCCTCATGGAAACGACCATGGCGTATGCGGAAAACTCACGGGGCAAGAGTGAGGCACATCCTCAGCCGCAAAGTGTGGCTTAGGGTTTAGGGTTTAGGGTTTAGGGCTTAGGGCTTAGGGTTTAGGGTTTAGGGTTTAGGGCTTAGGGCGTAGGGCGAGTTTCGCCTTGTGTGGGTCTAGGGCATTGAAGGCTTCAGGGCTCGCAGGAAGCTTTCGGGGCTGTGGGCTTCAGCTGCACAAGCTGAGTCCCACGCTGCTCAACCACCGAGCGCGATCATTGGCAAGGCCTGTCACCACCCGGGCACGTAAGGTTTAGGGTTAGGGTTTAGGGTGTTCAGGGTTTAGGGTTTTTAGGGTTTAGGGTTTAGGGTTTAGGATGGTTTAGGGTTCCAGGGTCCAGGGCCCGGAGTGGCAAGGCACGAGTAGCTGGGGGGGCTAAGAGGTTCCATAGTAGCCTGTTTGCTTAGAGGATGTCTTGGGGGTAGCTCATGTTCTAACTGGACTGTTATTCGGGGATAGGATGTTTCTAGCTTTGATCTGCATCAAAGATGGTTTGGGTGGGGGGGATCCTTTTGGTTACACACCTAAAACCCCACCCGTTCCATCCTTTGGGCCTATAGTATACCCTAAACCCTAAACCCTAGGCTTTGTGAAGGTACCCCGAAACATGGAGGTCCATGGGTAGTTACAAGTAGGGTTAGAATTATGGTAGAAACACTTATAACCCTGTTTAGGGTCCTTACAACCCTACTTTAACTACTCACCCATGAACCTCCAAATAAACATGGACCACAGTGTAGAGAGAGCTGCGCAGAACCTGGAAGCTGTAGGGTTGAAGATGCAAATCCTAACCCCTTAAGCCCGAGACCCATTAAACCCCAAAACGCTAAGCGCCAATAGGGTTTAGGGTTTAGGGTTTAGGGTTTAGGGTTTAGGGTCCAAACCCTAGAGTCATAAGACCAAACCTTTCGTTGAACCCACCCTTTCTGTTCCGACCTTGGCACCCCTCTCATTGAGCTCGAACATGTCTCGCTTGCCGCCCAGCTTCGCGTGCTTCCTGGCTTGTCCATCCGGTTTAAGAAGGTCAGATGCAATTTTGAGTCTAGGGGTGTGGCTCCAAACCACGCGGTAAACCCTAAACCCAGTTTGAGCAATTTCGGTTTAGGCTTGTAGAGCCCATTGAGTAGTTACGGCCTGTTTATTGATTGAGGCTTAAGGTTTATTGCATAGGGGCTGGGGATGTTTGGGTCTAGGCTATATTGGGCTGATAAGCTCGCTCCTATGAGGGGTCTGGGACTTATAAGCCGAGGTGGAGGATACACCCTCTGTCCAAAACCCTACCTAGGACAGTTTCCTGGGGTTACACCTACTGACTTAACGTATGTACTGCGAAGCTGTCGATGAAGAGGGAGTACCGGGTCGGCCCCCCTAAGCCCCAAACCTGGAGGGTCTAGGATTTAGGGTTTAGGGTTTAGGGTTTCGAGTTTAGGATTTAGGGCCCTTCGGCACCTCTGCACGGCTTCAGCGATGGTGCCGATGATCTCATCATCGAGGGCCCCGCGGCGCATCGCTTGAAGCAAATTCCAACCTCGGGGGCGTAGTTGAGCGTTGAAGGGTTGAGAGGTCTAGGGTGCAGGGTTCAGGGTTGGAGCTTAGGGTGTAAGGATAAGGGCTTAAGCTTGAGGGCTGAGGGAGGGTGTACGGTTTGTGGAGACCGCAAGTTACTCATAATTACTCATGGGCCGTATACCATGCTGGGAATTTCTGTGGCGGGGTTTTTCCGGTACAGGTTCCCAGAACCCAAAAAGTAGATCCCCTTAAGGATTCCTAGGAATGACCCAAATAGTAGTATAGGGTACCATTTGGGGCTCTAAGTTTTGGGTGCTCCCAGACGTGTGGGTAGAGGTTGAGAGGTTTACGGATCGGTTTAAGGTTTTCAGGGTTCAGGATATAGGTCTGGGGGTGTGAAAAAAAACGCCTGGCGCCGCCCGAAACCCTAACCCCAAACCCTAAACCCTGAACCCTGAACCCTAAACCCTAAACCCTCAACCCTAAACCCTCAACCCTAAACCCTTAAACCCTCAACCCTCGGCCAGCTCCTGGTTTGAGGGCTTCTGGCGTGTGGGGTTCACGGCCTGTTTCGGTTGCCCCCTTCTCCCCAAGAGAACAGGAAAACCCTGCAAACCCTTTAAAGCCCCCGCCAAAACAAACAAATTTCTCTGGGTTCTGCAGGGTTTAGGGTTCATTTCTGTGGGTGATATGGGTAGTTCTCCAAATTAGGGTCCCGTCGTGGGTCCCCTATAGTACGGCACCAGTAAAACATGAACCCTCAAAGGGATCCTGGTTTAGAGAACTAATCCTACCATGGAGGCTCATGGGTAGTTGAGTGGGGTTGTAACCTGTAACCTATCTAGGAAACTTCTAACCCTACCCACGACTGCCCACAATTACCCATGAACCTCCAAGTAACCCTAAACCCTAAACCCTAAACCCTAAACCCTAAACCCTAAACCCTAAACCCTAAACCCTAAACCCTAAACCCTAAACCCTAAACCCTAAACCCTAAACTTGCCCTAAACCCTATACCCTACTTACAACTACTCATGAACCTCCACGCTGGGCCCATAGAACTTGACAAAAACCAAGAACCCTAAACCCTAAACCCTAAACCCTAAACCCTAAATCCTAAACCCTAAATGAAAAAAACACAGAAAAGACAACTCAGCATGGGACCTTCCTCACCGAAGAGGCAATTGCGAAGCTCTCCTGAAGCGCTGGCTGTGGGTTTGGGGTTTGGGGTTTGGGGTTTTGGGTTTAGGGTTTTAGGGTTTTAGGGTTTTAGGGTTTTAGGGTTTTAGGGTTTTTAGGGTTTTAGGGTTTTAGGGTTTTAGGGTTTAGGGTTTAGGGTTTTAGGGTTTTGGGGTTTTAGGGTTTTAGGGTTTTAGGGTTTTTAGGGTTTTAGGGTTTTAGAGTTTTTGGGGTTTAGGGTTTTGGGTTCTGGGGTTTTCGGGTTTAGGGTTTTAGGGTCTAGGGTTTAAGGGTGCACCCTAAAGACCTGAACCCTTGATCCCTGGACCTGAGATGCCCGCCACTTGCAGTAATCCGCAACCGATTGCAGCCACCGCAGAAGGCATCCGTCATGCTGGAAATAACCTCGAACTCGGGGCTTAGGATTTAGGATGGTTGGAAGGAATCTCGGGCTTAGGATTCAGGGCCAGCCTACGCCATACCGACGCCCTGCTTCTTAGCAGAGTCACGTCGGTGCATACGTGGCGCGCTGGGCTCTGCTATCATGCAGGATTTTAGCATCAATAAGAGGACCGGAAGTGTGCTCAAGCAGCGACCGTGGAAAGAAGACGCACATGACATCTGCCGACCATGCTGCATTATGCTCCACAGCTCTGAACCCTAAACCCTCCTAGACCCAGAACCTAGGAATAAAAGGGTGCCCTTTTTGGTTTTAAGGGGTTACAAGGGAAACCCCAACCCTAATAGGAAATAAGGGCCTTCTCCGGGTTCTAGCCTCAGACCCAAAGAGTCGCCTCACTTCTCTGAGGGACAAACTCCAATGCGACCAAGCCATCCTGGGACCTGCCCACACGGGGGTTTAGGGTTTAGGGTTTAGGGTTTAGGGTTGAGGGTTGAGGGTTGAGGGTTGAGGGTTGAGGGACCATCCTCGCAACCTACTGCTAGCACTCTCTCCTCCAAGCATGGTCTCTGAGAATTGGGGAGGGAACATCTGCTGGTCATGAAGGGATTGTGCCGTCGACGTTTTTTGCCGGATTACCGCTTCATCGCTTTCTTCTGCCTAGGTAGGAGATGTAGCGGATTACGTGTTGTCCTCGTATGCTGAGCCAAAACACTAGCCCTTTGCGGCTTCAGCTTTTCAACGGCGCAGACCATGCTCCGCCCCCCCTGGGGCGAACATAGCCTCTGTGCGATCCCTTCAGGTGGAGAAAGCTCCCTGCGCCTGCCACAGACGTGCCACGTCGTGCAGCGAATCCGGAGGCCTTGGTTAAGCAGCTGAAGGTGTAGGGACTTTACCGAAATTAGGGTTTAGGGTTAGGGATAGTGCAAGTGTACTGGGTTTAGGGTTTAGGGTTAGTACAGTAGTGTCTTCCTTAATTCTCAACCGAAGGACCCACAGGGAACATATTTTGAACAGGAGGGTTCGAAGCGGACCTTCCTCGCTTCGAGAAAGAAGGGAAAAAAAGGGCACCGCCTGGGATCCTAGAGCGGCCAGAAGAGAATTGCTAATGGTATTCCCATATGGTTCCTCTATAACTCTACTATGCTCAACCCCCCCCTCCCTCCCCCCCCCCCCCGAAAAAAATATAAATAATAATTAAACAAGAAAAGTTATATATATATATATGCATATATATATATATATATTCTACCTGTATTCAGGCCCCCTAGAGTAGAAGGCAGCGGTGCCGCCATGCTGAGCCGTGCGCAAGCGGGATGCAGCTGGATGCCCTGCGCTGTGGATCCCAGGATCCTAAACTAGACGCTAAACCCTAAACCCCAAACCCCAAATCCTAAACCCTAAACCCTAGACCCAAACTTGAGCAGCCAAAGAATCAAAAGGGGTGGCCCTTTCTGGTTTAAAAGGGGCTTCTAAGGGAACCTAAGCACTAAAGCAAGGGAATCAGGGCCTACTCTGGGTCCCAGCAAACCAAGTCCGGAAGCCTGACACCCTCGGCACGCAGACTGCCTTAGGCAAGCACCCAACTCAACTCCAACACTGTCAGCCCCTGTGACGGCCTAGGCAGAATAGGTCTTCGAGTTCAGGGTTTAGGCTGGCTCAGGTTGGGTACCATGAACCTCCAAGTGGGGTTTGGTTTGTGGTCGCGTCTGGGCTTGGACGTCACCGGCCTCCGCGTTTGCATAGATAGGCGTTCCGTGGGCGAGTGCTTATGTCTTCAAAGCCCCTGACTCCTACAGCCGCACCAAACTAGAAGATTAGCGTACTGAGGAATTATGGAGGCTTCGATTTGAGGTGAAAACTGCGGCCAAAAGCCACCCGTGCCACTTCTCGCCGAGGTACCAAAATCAAGATGACCGAACATGGCATTGACTTGCCTTCACCCCGAACCATCTGCTCCAACTTGCTTGGCCTCTGGATGCCAGGTGACTCTGGACGGACTCAATCATGTCTGCCTGAGGTGCAGGAGGCCTCTCGCCCATAAGCACGAAAAACCCTAAACCCTAAACTGAAAAAACCCGAAACCCTAAACAGCCCGGGACAGCTGAACGCAGCAATGTGAAGTGAAGATGAGCCCACACCGCCCAAACTTGACTCAAAACGAGACAAACACGAGCCAGCTCAACCCAAACCAGCCAAAACGAGCCTAAACCCTAGACCCTATTCAACACACCTCCGCATGCAACAGTGTGCTTCGGCCTATAAACATGCACTATAAGGGACCAAAGCATCTCAGCTTGTGGTGGGGAAAGCCTTTGCACATACATACGCCCCATATATAGGGTGTACACATATATATATATATATATGTGTATATGGGCACATACATAAACAATATGTATATGGGCACATACATAAATAAAAAATGAAAAAATGAAAATGTAAATACATACATATATATATATATATATACATTACAATATATATATATATATATACATACATACACACATATACAGTCGTGGGCCTGCGCAGGCATTCGGCAAAAAAATCTGGGTTGCTTGGTTTGGAATATCTTCCGGCAAAGGGCCTCTGAATTGATTGTCTATCTGGACTGGCCTTTCAACCCTTTGAACATATTTAGGATTTAGGGTTTAGGGTTTACGGTTTAGGGTTTAGAGTTTAGGGTATTTATACACAGCGCCCCTTATAAACCCAAGTAAGGAAAATATAAAACATCCCCAAAGCCAACCTCGCTATGTCCTTATCTGTGGAGGTTCTCTCGGAGGTCCCGGTCCCCCCCCCCCCCCCCCCCACAAGCCTGACTCCAATCTCCACAGTGGCAGGGCTCTAGCTCCTGTCTGCCCTAAACCCTAAACCCTAAATCCTAAACCCTAAACCCTAAACAACTTAGCTTAGGGCAGTCGCATGCCAAGGGCACGGCCTGTGGCACCAAGCGGTTGGCGCTCCAGGCGTTTCCTTACAGGCTGGTCTTGCTGCGCAGCGAAGGGGCTGCCATGTAAACAGGTTTCTACTATTTGCTTAAGAACCCCCAAAAAACACAAAATCCTAATCCCTATATTACTCTTATATAAGGGAATATATTGTTTTCAATTTTTTGGGGTTCTTAAGCAATTGGTAGGATTTGGGCGCTTGCAGATTCTGATTAGGCTCCTTAAGGGTCTTGCTGGGAGTGATCGAAGTCGTCAAAACTTACATGGGGCTGATGGAGTTCAAAAACCTCCCATTCACAACCTACAGCTCCCATCTCATACCCGGCAAAACTGGTCTCAAGTACCGATCTCCGACATGGCTTGGGGTTTGGGGTTTAGGCCTTAGGGCTTAGGGCTTAGGGTTTAGGGTTTAGGATCCAGGGTTTAGGGGCTTGGTACATGCCCAGCCCGAAGCCCCCCCCCCCGCCCCCACCCATACTCACGCCGAGTCGCCATCAAAGGGCATGAACTCTAAAAAGCGAACCTGGCGTCCACTTGTTCTACCGGGTTCTTAAGGGAGGGGGGGGTTCATGGGGCCTAGGACCTAGGGAACCTTAGGGAAGCTTCGGGAGCCTTATAGGGAGTATTGGGGAGCACTAGGGAACCTTGGGCTACATGTCCCCTTGAACCCCCATCCCTAAACCCTAAACCCTAAACCCAAAACCCAAAACCCTTAAGAACCCTATAAACTTCAGCTTTCGGAGTCAAGGGGCCTGCCAGGAGAAAAACAAAAACAACTTCCCCCCCCAAACAAGGTGTTAACTGTAGCCACAAAATAGGAAGCTGCAGCCAAAAGCTATAAACCCTAAGCCCTGACCCCTAAACCCAAAACTCGGAAACCCCAAGCCCTAAAAAACCAGAAAACCTGAACCTCCGAGCCCGAACCCGTACCGGCTGTCGAGGTGGGGATGCAACTCCCAAGAAGATGAGGGCCCTACGCGTGGTCATACAGAGCATGACAGCCCTAAGGTACCTGGCTTTGGCGAAGCCGAAACCCTCAACCCTTCACCCTCAACCCTTAGCCCCCCACAACCCTTAGCCCTCAACCCTAAACCCTAAACACCCCAAACCCTAAACCCCGGCCTCGTATTACAGCTTCGCAAGCTCTTCTCCAACCTTAAACCCTAAGCCCTAAACCCTAAACCCTAAACGCTAAACCCTAAATCCTAACCGCCCCCCCCCCCCCACCCCCGGCAGGCGCTGAAATCCAACAGCTTCCTCTTCAACACACCTGAAATTGAAATGAGGACCAGGACCAGGATTCTGCTGTAAATCATAGTAAGGACTCCTGTATAGGTTAAGGTACATTCTCCCTGAAGGAAATGAGCTCTATATAAGGTGCTGCAGATGCTGCCTCAATGGGCAGCGACTCGGTAAGATCCACGAAAGCTCCCACCTCGTCCTCGGAAAGGCATTCAGGGGGGAGGACATTCCTAACACTTAGCCCCTGACCCCTAAACCCAAAAACCCAAGGTTACGGCAAATCAGGGATGCAGAGCAGGGGCGCGGGGCTGTTTGGGACCTGCGAGCTCGGACCCCCTTGGTTTTTCACGAAGATCGAGGGCTCATTCGGAGTAGCGGCTAGGAAATTTGGAAAGTTAGTAGGGCTGGGTTTTAGGAGCCCGAAGCCCACTAATGTAGAGTACCTTGTGAGACCTGGTGGTGCCGAACTGTGCATCTAAGAAGTCCGGGCGCTTCAAGCTTCACAACATGGGCTTTCTATTGGGGCTTCCGTGGGATGTTCCCCCAGTGAACATACAGTCCTTAGTAGGGATTCTAATCGTAGGTACCAGTATATGGACTGTTGATATAGGGGGGAACATGCCAAGCGTTTCCCTACATTCAGGAGTGCATAAACGGGGTTTTAGGACGTACCCATTTATCACAAAGTGTATGCAATGGCTGGAGCACCCAGCAAGCCTGAAACCTCTTCTCCAAACCGCAAATGCTGAACTTCAAGCCCTGGACGATATATCCTCAACAGCTGCCAAGGACCCAACCATAAAGCTTAACCCTAAAGCCTTGAACGCCAGTCGAGTACGTGTTATGTTGGGGCTACATCGCCAGTATTTTGTGGGCAGTATCTTGGGGAACTAGGCATTCCATACCCTAAACCCTAAACCCTAAGCCCTAACCCCTAAACCCTAAACCCTCTTCCGGGGCCTCATTGGCTCCTTTGAGGAGTACGCAGTTGAGCTTCAGCTTGAAGAATGGCTCCTGGTAGGTGACACAGCGGTGCATGACCCAGAGGGCCCAACATGCTTAAGGGTTTAGGGTTTAGGGCTTAGGTTCAGGGTTCAGGGTTCAGGGTTCAGGGTTCAGAGTTCAGGGTTCAGGGTTCAGGGTTCAGGGTTCAGGGTTTAGGGTTTAGGGTTTAGGGTTTAGGGTTTAGGGTTTAGGGTTTAGAGTTTAGGGAGCAAACTACCTCTTAAAAAAGGAGGCATATGCCTTAAACTGTATAGGGATCCTCAGTATGAGGGTATTGGGCTCTCTGGTACTCGAATATAAACCCTTTACCCCATGTAGGTGTAGGGTTTAGGGAGGATTGAGGGGGTAAACCTCGAAATCGTAAACCCTCAAGAGTCCTATACGCAGCCAGCGGGCACTCTTGGAACTCTAGGTAATCTTCTGAGAAAAACTGAGTTTTATACACGAACCACTGTAGTTTAGGGAGCTATAGAGAACCTGGTCTGGGCCTATATAGCCATGCCATGCTGCTCCTACTATGATACAGGGACCCTCATATTTAGGGCACCCAGTGTCTCGTGAACGGACCATCTGTGGGAGCAGGTGCAGCTAGACAAACCTAAGCCCTAAACCCTAAACCCTAAACCCTAAACCCTAAACCCTAAACCCTACGCCCCACGGAGCTCAAGGAAGATTACTGATGCATGTGTCGCAGGGCAGACTGGCTCCTCTGCAACCGAGTACATGGTGTCCATGATGCGTGCCTGTGGCAAGCTGCCCTACACCCTAAACCCTAAGCCCTAAACCCTAAGCCCCAAGCCCTAAGCCCTAAGCCCGAAGCCCCAAGCCCTAAGCCTCAAGCCCTAAACCCTTAACACTCCACACTCCAATGCCCTGTTAAGAGTAGTTGGGGGGGCAAGCCCTCAGCCTGAACTGCCCTGGCCCTGACTGTGTTCTGGACGCCGCACCTGCACTTTACTTTCCACACCTCTCGAGACTCTCGAGAATTTGGGCAGGGTTTAGGGTTTAAGGTTAGACCTGCGAAGTATTACTCAAAAAAAAAAACTATACACCCCGTAGTATTGGGGTCCAGGAAGGTCCGAAGACCACCAAACACTCGACCAGGAGCCAGTTCTCAGTTCCTCAACCCTAAACACCCTAAAACTCTAAAACCACCCTAAAACCGTAACAACCCTAACAAACTCTAATAACCCTAAAATAACCCGCATGCCCGAGCTCCGGACGTGCCAATCGAGCGGCTTCCCCGCCAAGAACGGAAACTTAGCCGCTTGCAGCGTGTCCAGACCTCATGCGCCATGCGTTGAGATGTTCCCCCTTATACTAACAGCTCCTGAATAGGGATTCTAACAGGAAGGGGGGGTACTATAATCCCTACTAGGGCTGTTAGCATAAGGGGGAACATCCCAACACATGGCGCCAGTTCTCCAAGATGATGGTGTCCATTTGAGTGTCCCAAATATGAGGCATTCCTAAACCCTAAACCCTAAACCCTAAACCCTAAACCCTAAATGAGCCTCTTGAACTTGGGAAAGCTGACGGTTTGACAGATGCCATGAACAGCACACCCTGTAGTCATTCAGTTTCGACAGCGTGGTTACAACTCACCTTGTCTACTAGTTGCATTAGAAACCCGAAAAATAGATAACAAAAAACATATGCTTCATTACTAAGGGTAAAAAAGGGGAATATTTTTCTCAACATCTTTTGGGGCTCTTAAGCAAATAGTAGTTGTGGTCTCTCTGCGCTGCGGCAAGCTATGGGCAGTCAGGAGACTGACGTGTGACATGCGTATGCGGCACGATGCGCAGGCCATCAAGACTGGTATACCGGGTTCTTTCAACCTAAACCCTAAACCCTAAACCCTAAACCCTAAACCCTAAACCCTAAACCCTAAACCCTAAACCCTAAACCCTAAACCCTAAACCCTAAACCCTAAACCCTAAACCCTGACCCTAAAACCCTAAAACCCTAAAACCCTAAAACCCTAAAACCCTAAAACCCTAAAACCCTAAAGCCCTAAAACCCAAAAACCCTAAAACCCTAAAACCCCAAAACCCCAAAACCCCAGAACCCTAAACCCTAAACCCTAAACCTCGTGTATAAGGCTCCGGCTCAGATTGATGCTTCTCAATCCCGCTGCACGCATCTGCGGAAGGAACTTCTTGAGCCTGGCGTTTTACCGGGGGAATACAAGGTTTTGGGTTTTTTCTATGTATGTATATATATATATAGAGAGAGAGAGAGAGGGTTTAGGCTTTAGGGGTTTAGGGGTTCGGGTGTAGGGTTTAGGGTGGGCTCGGGCATAAGATACCAGTCCTGGCACCTTCACCATGGGGCATTGGCCTGCACGAAGGAGGCGCAACCACAAGGCCCTTGATCCCCTTAGGGGATCTGCTGAAATCTGTGCATGATTGGGACCCCGCGCTCCATCTCCGAAACAGCATCCCCAGCTTTGTGCCGAAACCCCCCAAACCCCAAACCCGAAAACCCTGAACTCCTAGACCCTAAACCCACATATCTACCAATAAGCTTATTAAGCCATAAGCCCTTAACCCACAACCCCAAAACCCCGAGACCCCACACCCCAAAACCCCACAAATCCCAAAACCGCACAAACCCCAAAACCCCCCAAAGCCCCAAAACCCCCAAAACCCCAAAACCCCCAAAACCCGATATCCTACATTTCAGGGGCCCTAGGGTGTTGAACTCCTTGCCGGAGCTAACGACGCACCGATGGGCCCTTCATTGCCCATAAATCGGAGCCCTATATTTCTCTCCTCTCTCCTCTCTCTCTCGCTTCCCTCTCTCTCTCTACACTCTACACACGCTAGCCCTAAACCCTAAACCCTAAACCCTAAAATACATGCATAGGGTCCCCGAAGGGAGGCTGCCCAAGGGGCGCGTTCGTAGAGCCCAGCCCGAACACGAAATCCCTAGGGCTTGAGGCCCCCTTTGGGGGTTTAAGAAGGGAGCCCAGGGCTCTACACAGTCGAAACCCTCAAAACCCTCAAAACCCTCAAAACCCTCAAGACCCTAAAGACCCTATAAACCCTAAACCCTAAACCTACAGACGCTGCATATTGTCTAGTCCAGGGCTTGGAGGATCCACAGGCTCATGGACCACAGTTGGGCTCAACAGCTTCTCAGAAGCCCGCCGGGACCTAAGAAAACCAGCAAAAAACATGTAGAGCCTAAGACTTATCAGGTTTAGGATTTTGGGTTTAGGGAAGGCCCTAAACACTAAGAAATGCCCTAACCCCTAAAAACCCTAAACGCTAAACCCTAAAAGGCCCTAAAGGCCTGTCAACTCCGTAGGCCTCCCCTCCTGTTACCCAGAGAACCCAATACCCCTTTAGTTTGTCAGGGCTTCAGGCTTAGGCAGTATGTACCTCAAACCATATGTGAATCCTTCATGTGAAATCCAATATAGGGTGTGTACCGTGGATGCTGCTGGCAATCGGTTAGAGAGCTCCCGCGTCTTATTCTTCGTCTGCTTCTTGTTCCTACTGACTGTTCCTCTTCTTACCAGTATAAGCCCTAAACCCTAAACCCTAAACCCTAAACCCTAAACCCTAAACCCTAAACCTGCCTCACGCCATTCGTCGTGATGCCGAGCTCGAGCGGCTCTGGCAGGCCTCGCACTTCGGGGCATTGCTGGGCTTCGGGGCTTACTTGGAGGTTCATGGCACTTATTCACCAACTATAGCTGTACTTATAACTGTACTTATAACCATATTAAGGCACTTAAGGGGCTCATAAGTGGGTTATAGGTGCAGTTGCAATTGCTTCATAAGTAACCTGAACCTCCAAGTAGAGCTTAGGGCTGAGGGCCCGAAACCCCAACCCTAAACCCCCGCGCTGAGTCTTTCAGACCTTCGGCTTCCTTTGGTAGCTACTATACAGGGCCTTAAGAATTAGACTTTATAAAGTATACTTAGAAAGGGACCATAAGGGAATGATATTTGTAGACCCTATATTAGATGGCTTGCAGAAGGGTGTGGAAGGACGGGTTCGAACACACTTCTCAATGGCCTTCTGACGGAACTGGGCCAAATGCGGGCACAAGGCTTTCAGGGTCGAAGTTTTAGGGTGCAACACATGCAACCTTGAAAGCAGCGTCGACATCTGGCATGTGTGGTGAGGGCTTATCAGGGAACCCTAAACCCCAAACCCTAGAACGTTGAGATTTGCTTCATCGGACCCTCTTCGCGACACAGATGGAAAGAAGTCATGCTGTCATGACGGTGTACATGCCCTGAAATTCCCCGAAATTCTGGGGCAATGGCAGGCATTGAGTTCACCGATATCCTGCGCCAGGCGAGGTGCGACATCCAATGCCGTCTCTGCAAGGTCTATAACCCTAAACCCTAAGCCTAAACCCTAACCCCCAAACCCTAACCCCAAACCGAGGTTTCTGAGGCCTTGGGGCCTCTTGAACCATCCTCCAGGACCCAAAGCAAGCTTGCACACCCTCTAAAGTTTCTAAAAGGCAGTTTCCGTGCAAAGATCCGCGCTCTGTTCCCTTTCCGCCCTCCTCCTTCCCCCGCACCCCCTGTACAAGGAAGGGGTTAGGGTTTAGGGCTCACCCCCTAAACGCTAAATCCGAAACCCTAAACCAGCCTGAACCCTAAACCAGCCTGAACCCTCAACCCTCAACCCTCAACCCTGAACCCTGAACTCTAAACCCTGAACCCCTATACCTCGGGGAAATCTCTCTCCTCCATGATCTGGGCGAAGTCTCCTCGCGTGGTGGGCTCGCCGCCAGTAAGCCTCACCTTTTAGGGTTTAGGGTTTAGGGTTTAGGGTTTGGGGTTTGGGGTTTAGGGTTGCAGCTGGGCGCTACATCCTACTTGCGCACAACTTCCAAGTCGCGGAACATGATTCTCGACCCATAGTTCGGATCTTTAACCCTCAACCCATCCTAAACCCTAAACCCTGATCAAAGCAAGCAGCGTGAACCGAGGCTGTCAGCAATGTGCAGGGCAAACAATACAACCATCTCTCATGTATATAGACTTTGGTATCAAGGTTAGATGGAAATCTTGCAAGGGGAGCATCAAAAACTGCTAAGGCGACTCGGCATGAAGTCGACCCAGCATGCAAAAGCTGTCTATTTGCGTCAGTCGGTCCTCCTCCTTACGCACAGAGTTTCCGAACAGTCAAGCAACAAGTAGGACCCTCAATCAGCAGTCGAGGTTTGGTATGTCTTGCGGTCAACGGATGTTGCATCACCCCGCAGGTTTGAAAAAAAAGGTACCAACCCTTGGACCCTAAATGCCAAACAACCCTGACGAAAAACCTAAACCTCAAACCCTGGAACCCTCAACCCTCAAACCGTTAGAGCCTCAAACCCGGACCCTCACGCCCGCAACTTCTCAAACCGTCAAACCCCCAAACCCTCAAACCCCTGAACCTCTAAACCCCAAACCCCAATTGCAGGAGGGTACTTGGGATGCCATGGGCTTCGTCTTTGGCTCAGGGCAGAGTGAGGGTGACGTTTGGTGGCACAAGCGGAGATTTGGTTCCACCAGGTTTGACATATCATGTTGTGGAGGCCGCTGTTGTGGCACAATTGCCCTGATTTAGCTGAAAAAGTGGGAATGTAACTAGAAGTCATTTGTAAATTGAAAATTGGCAATAAATATTGAACAATTCCAAAATTGCCTCCTTATTAAGGTATCATGCAAGTAAATCGGGACTATTTTCAAAAGGTTGAAGGGTGGTCTAGTTCCTCCATTTGAAGGCTACCATGCCATAGATGTGGCTTTCTGATGAGAATTCCGTTCCTTACGGTTTAGGGTTTAGGGTTTAGGGTTTAGGGTTTAGGGTTTAGGGTTTAGGGTTTAGGGTTTAGGGTTTAGGGTCTAGGGTTTAGGGTTTAGGGTTTAGGGTGTTAGAGGGCTCCCTGTACTGGAGAGTCTCACAATGACAAACCCCTAGGAGCCTTCTTGACACCCAGGCGGACGAATAGCCGCAGCATGCGGTTCAACTCCTGGTCTCTGGTGATGTGTACGGCGTTGGCTTATGTATATATAAATATATCTATATATACACATATATATATATATATAGAGATATATCTATCTAGATCTAGATCTATATCTAAATCTATATCTATATATGTATATACATATGCACATGTGTGTGTGTGTGTTTGAATGACCGCATTTTGGGTTGAGGAGTTTGAGGGCTTCGATTGGGTCGTGTGCAATTTCAGCGGCGATCTCCTGCCATCCAGGAACTCCACACGGAACAGGGTTTTAGGGTTTAGGGTTTAGGGTTTTGTAGGGTTTTGTAGGGTTTTTGTGGGGTTTTGTAGGGCTTTGTAGGGCTTTGTAGGGTTTTGTAGGGTTTTGTAGGGTTTTGTAGGGTTCAGGGTTAAGGGTTTAAGGGCAAAAGGGTATAAGGTTACAAGTATGAGGGCATTAGGATACGAGGACATCAGGATATCGGGGTATGAGGGTTTCTTCTGCTAAGGCTTTGGGTGATCTAGGGCATCTACGATGGCAATGGGCCAACATGAGGAGCTCACGAAGCCCTGCGTGGCGGAATGCAGAGCCACTCAGCTACTCAGCCACTCCAAGAATATGCCGCCAGAATTCAAGGTTGCGGCTCGCGCAGAGAGCTCATGCCCAAGAACGGATTTTGTTAGCATACTGAAGCTATATAGGCTTATATAGGGCCTGCTATGAATTAGAGATGACTAGAGTGTAGTCTTCAGCAAAGGGGATACATGACTCTCTGCGTAAACTCAACAACACACACACACACACACACACACACACCTCCCCAGTCCTGTGCTGTGAGGACTTTGCCACCGGGTGTGGGAGTGAACACTTCCTGCGCGAGCGCGGAGCATTTGCGAAAACCAGGAGTCCCATACCCTAAGCCCTGAAACTCGAAAGACCCCACTGAACATTGAAAACGCAAAAACCCTAAACCCTAAACCCTAAACCCTAAACCCTAGACCCTAAACCCTAAACCCTAAACCCTAAACCTTAAACTTCGGAAAACTTCAAAAGAGTGCTTCAGGAGGCCAAGGATCCTTTCACCTTTGCGGAGGAGTCTTGCAGTCCCTCGGGAAGAAGGGGCTCTAAATTACTTGGAGGTTCATGGGACTTAAAAACCAATTATAACTGTACTTATAACCCTACTTATAATAGGGCTAACCCCTACAAGGCCCTTTAGGGGTATTATAAGTAGGTTATAAGTACAGCTATAATTGGTTAGCAAGTACCATGAACCTTCAAGTAGGGTCCCTTTTGGGCTTTTGGGGTACCCTGAATATTAGCTAGACCCGGGAGTAACCTAGGAACAAAAAGGGTAGCCTTTTTGGTTTTAAGGGGAGTAGAAAGGGAACCCCAACCAACAAAGGAAAAAAAGGCCTACTCCCGGTCCTGGTTAGAGACCGCCTTAGAAAAGTAACCCCAAAACAGGTGCCGTGATATAGAGAAGTGACCATGTGATATCGTGCTTAGCTTGAGGTGTATAGGGCTTCAGGTTTAAGGTCTTGGATGCATAAGATGAGGTCTTCAGTGCTTCAGCATCCGCATTCCCAAAAAGACGCCCAATATGTACACTCGCGGATCAGGGCACATCGAAATTTCAAATTCCAAATCAACCCCAGAAGACCCTAAATTCTAGTTCAACCCTAAGCCGCAAAACCTTTACACAATAACCGCCCAATCCGGTCGCAAAGCTAGTGGTCCTCTCCATCTTCCGGCATGCAGTAGCGACCTTGTGCAAGGATGCTCCTTTTGACCTACCACCTACTGATGCTTACTCCTGCTGCCTGCTACGCTGCTGCTGCTGCTGCTGCTGCTGCTGCTGCTGCTGCTGCTGCTGCTGCTGCTGCTGCTGCTGCTGCTGCTGCTGCTGCGGCGACGGCGACCACTACGACCACTCCCTCTCCAATGCCAATGAGGAGGCGAGTGCCACTACAACAATGACGAATAGTCTTTGTAGCTTAGAGACGTGACCAGACGAATAATAATGCCACCCTGATTTTGGTTGGTTACTTGATAAGGGAACCCCCAGAATTCAAGAAAAGGGTACAGGGTACCACGGGGCTGCCAAGTAGTGGGACGATTGCTCGAGCTCCTCTTCCGCTCTTGGTGCCCATGACACCGCTACGACAGCCTACGGGTCTACACGGGGGGCTTCCGAAGATAGGGGTGCACTTCGGGGGCTCCCAGAACCCTAAACCCTAAACCCTAAACCCTACACCCTAAACCCTAAACACTGTTTTGGGACTATGTTAAGGGTACCCCAAACTGGGGATACCCACATTGCCTATGCCAAGTTCAGTCTTCTCGTGCAGCGCTGAGGGTTCTTGCCGGGACCTCGTCGCTATGAGTTACGCAATCTGAGCAAGCGGCATTTCAGATTGCACCGGTCCGTCAGGGACACTCGCAGATAGCTGTGCCTTGATGGCAGCTTATGGCAGCTGAGTTTCGGATGAGGGTTTGGGGTTTAGGGTTTAGCCACGGTGCGTAGTTTCGGAGGAAGTCTACGAGTTACCAGTCCCACTGCAAGTCACAAGCGCATGGTGCGAATCAGTTTGAAATTCGTCAATTTGTCATGTCACGTGAATACAGAGCATTCGCAAGTGTAGTGTTCGAACCTCCCCTCCCCGCCTAAACCCTAAACCCTGAACCCTAAACCCTAATCCCTTATCCCCCAAGCACCGTCCTGCGTCCGAACGTGTCCACCAGGGAAGGGTGCACTGCCGTCGTGCTAGCCACCTCCGAAAGATCACCCTAAACCCTAAACCCTAAACCCTAAATCCTAAACCCCCTAAACCTATACTCCCCTTAGAACCTTCATAAACATATCATGTTTAATATCCTCTTGGATTTTATATAAGCGGAAATAAAAAATAATTTCCAAGGGGGATATAGACCCAAGATCAGGCCCTAATGAAGGGCTCTTTTGGGATTCGCTCTCTGCAGGGGTCGGTGGGGGCGATCGGATCTGAAGGGTGCTCTGAGCATGTTGGGAACCAGGGCAAAAACGGAATCCGCGGTGTGGGGCTTAGGGCTACTCGAAAATAAGCTTGGTGTTCTGTTTGCTTGCCCATCGGCCTTTGATTAAATACAGTACGACCCTACACCCTAAACCCTAAACCCTAAACCCCAAAACCCAAAACCCTAAACCCTAAGCCCTAAGCTCTAAACCCTAAACCCTAAACCCTAAATCCCATGTTCACATCTTCAAACCTCAGCCCTATGAACCCTTCTTAAGGGCCTTTCGCCGTGCGCCGGCGAGGTGCAGCCTGAGTGTGCAGGAATCTGGACCCAAAAGTAGCCTGGGAAAAATTAGGGTTTAGGGTTTAGGGTTTAGGATTTAGGTTTAGGGCGGGACTTTCCCAAAGAATCCCAAGCCCTTCGTATCTAAACGCCTACAGATCGGGTCTTAGATGGGGTTAGGGTTTACCCTAAACCATCATGTGCTGGCCCGGGCCAGTACCCCGAAACGAGCCCAATGGCCTCGGAGCCAAAGGTTTTGGGTTAGCATGCAATCGGAGGTTCATGGATAGTTGCAAGTATGGCAAATATGCTTATAACCTTATGCAGGGTACTTACCTACTTATATTTTTTTTCGCTCTCTCTCTCTCTCTCTCTCTGTCTCTCTCTCTCTCTCTCTCTCTTTCATAATTGCGAACCAAGCCCAACAAGCCCATCAAGCCCATGTGGGGCGACGCAGACTTTTCACGTCTCGTAGCATCGGGTGCGGCTCTCGATGGCCACCGAGAGCTTCAACTGGCGATCCGTTGAGCCCTGCCAACCCATCTCTGCCTGTGCAGTGGAAGCTGGCAGCAAGGGTCTCCACCTGCAAGCATCACAATGTAGATGTACTACCACCTGTGCGGCTTGCCGACGCATACCTTTGTACAGGCTCTGGCTGCATCCCACAGTCAGTCTGCCCAGCTTTTAGGCCACTGACGGGCAAAGATCTGGGGCACTTTGACGCCCAGTACGGAGCATCCCAAAAGGGCCTAGCCACGCCTACTGTATATCTGGAGCCGTCCATCTCTTCAAAATTCGGTGGGGACAGCGTCAAGAGAGTGCGTGCACAAGCGCGGGGGTCTGCGGAGACACCGCGAGATTCGGGGGGAACCCTGGACCTGGTCTGAGTAGTTCAAACAGCATGCCAGGTAGGGGCGATGCCAGCTGTCAGCCGTGGACGCGACGCCCTGGGTATCCTCAAACCACCTACACCCCCAATTAGATGCTCCACAAGGTGCTTGCTGCAGTAAGCCCTAAACCCTAAACCCTAAACCCTAAACCCTGAACAGTTAACAAAAGCTATTCCTTCCTCACTAGGATGCCAAGGAGCCGAGTCCACAGCGGGGGCTGAAGCTTGAGCACTGCCCCCGAAGGGCACTTGAAATGCAATCGCCGATAAAAGTTGCAGCTGGGTCATTAGATGCAGGAAAAGGGGAGCAAGGGGGGGGAATCTGCACCGTCAAAAGCAGGATCTCCCGACCAAAAAACGCCGGCAGCACCTTCCCCCTCTCTGCCCGTGGGGCCCTTCCCTGGCTTGTTTTGGGGACCCTTTAACTTGGATTAAAAGCGAATCTGGCGCCTGCTCTGTAGCTCGGCAACCAGAGGATGTCGGAACTCCTCAAACCTCCCGCGGACTTTCGTTGCTTAGCAAACCTCAGCTCGGGTTCAGGGTTTAGGGTTTAGGGTTTAGGGTTTAGGGTTTAGGGTTTAGGGTTTAGGGTTTAAGGTTTGGGGGGTTGAACAGAAGCTGGAGAGCTTGTGAAGTACCTGAACCTGAAACGGGCTACATGTAGGGATCCTTGTTTTGGTGAATTAAGGGGGGGGGGGCCAACTAGAGGAGCTTTGGGCTGAGTTTGCTCGACAGGTAGCAGCGTGCTGTCTCGGCACAGGCCCTAAACTGCAGAAATCCAAGCCCTAAACCCTAAACCCTAAACCCTAAACCCTAAACCCTAAACCCTAAACCCTAAACCCTAAACCCAAAAAACCCCGGCCAAAACCCCTCGTCGAAGTTCAACACTCAACTCAATCCTTTCAAAAAAAAACGCTTGGATTGCTGGGCTTCCTTGCCAGATATGCCTCGATGAAGAGAACGATTTGGAGTTTAGGGTTTAGGGTTTAGGGTTTAGGGTTTAGGGTTTAGGGTTTAGGGTTTAGGGTTTAGGGTTTAGGGTTTAGGGTTTAGGGTTTTCAACTCCATTCGTTCATGAGCGCGCTTGATTATACTGGGTTCTGAGCTTTCGGGCCCCTGGCGCATCTTTGGTGAAGACTGCGCTGAGGGGTTCAGCACTTTCGGTGGTTTAGTGCTTTGGGAATCTTGGGGGTTCAAGCGCTAACCCTAAACGTTAAACCCTAAACCCTACACCTTAAACCCAAAAGCCTAAACCCTCAAGCCTAATCCCTATAACCCTGCAAACCCTATGCTAGAGGTCAGGAAATACTACCCTAAACCCTAAACCCTGAACCCTGAACCCTGAACCCTAAACCCTAAACCCTAAAACCTTAACCCTAAACAACCCCCTAAACCCTAAACCCTTAACCTCGACCTCTGAACCCAGCCATGTGCAGTGAAGGCTCTCTGCAGGAAGAAGAAAAAGGAGACCTCTGAGGCCTCAACACCCTGACTGTACCTCGGCATGCATCTCGGCCCAAACCCTGGGTTCAGGGTAGGGTTTAGGGTTTAGGGTTTAGGGTTTAGGGTTTATAGGGTTTATAGGGTTTATAGGGTTTATAGGGTTTATAGGGTTTATAGGGTTTATAGGGTTTATAGGGTTTATAGGTTTATAGGGTTTATAGGGTTTATAGGGTTTATAGGGTTTATAGGGTTTATAGGGTTTATAGGGTTTATAGGGTTTATAGGGTTTATAGGGTTTAGGGTTTATAGGGTTTAGGGTTTATAGGGTTTAGGGTTTAGGTTTGGGGTTTGGGGCTTAGGATTCGGGATTTAAGGTTGAGGGTTAGGGTTTGGGGTCTAGGTCTAAGGATTACCCGTAGAATAGCGTACAGGCTGAGATTTGGGAAGTTGGTTTTCGGGCTTGAAGCGCAGAATTCAAGCGGGTGCTCAGGGCACTTGCTTCTTCGAATTCCAAGAGGATTATAAGGGTTTCGGGTTTAAGGCTTAGGGTTTCGGTGCTGGTCAAAGTATCGGTAGGCTCTTAAGCACTTCGAACCCCCCCACCCCCAGTTCTCCAATCCTAGCCCTCTCGGGTTTACAGGGTTTCAGAAGTAGGGTTTGAGGATTTTAGGCCTTCACTCGCAACAGCTTCCAGCACCGAAATCTGAGGGCCCGTCACAAATCGAGATGCCACCCACGCGCCTGCCAGGACTCTGAGTGTGCTTCGAAGGTGTTTGTGTGATCGGGCTTTGGGTTTCGAAGCGGCGCTGAGTTGGAGAACCAGCACGGGTCACTTCTTCTGGGACCTCCAGAGATCTCAACCCTGCAAACCCTATCCAAACTCGCAACTTTTCGGCGGAGATGGCCTATAGGTTCATATTTAGGGCCTATAGGCCAATTTTACGTGCACCTTTGAAAACCCTGAACCCTAAACCCCTGAACAGCAATAAAGACCCACCTCCCTTGCCAAGCCCGAAGTTCGAACCGAAGGCCCGCGGACCTAAATCCCAACCCAAAAGGGTTTAGGTTTAGGCTTTAGGCTTTAGGGTTTAGGGTTTCACAAAAATGGGGACCCCCTCATTTATGTATCCTTAAGAACTTAGATTCCTTACGCTAGGAACAGAATTGTGCGCTTTTTTTTGGGGGGGGCGGGGAGGGGTGGTGGTGTGTAATTACGACACTTGGTCGCTCGAGTTTAGGAAGCCCACGAAAGGGTGCCTCTTGTTTGAAACTCCCGAATACCTCTCTCCGTGGGTTGAGAGGTTGCACGTTCAGGGTTTAGGGTTTAGGGTTTAGGGTTTTATTCTCAGTAAAGTGAGGGCTTGGACTTCTTCCTTCGCCTTTTGCAGGACGACTTCTGAAGAAGTGGTTCCCCAAATGCTGTCGAGCCTCTTTTTGAAACAAGGCCCTTCTACGTATGTACAGACCAAAACCCCAGGACACATGTGAGTAGGATCGCTGAGCCAAGCCTTCTTTCGGGGGGGGACTGTGTGGGGTGGTTGGTCGAAATTCTGGGCCCTTGTTCGGTCAGTGGTAGTACGGTACACCACATGTAGCTGTACGAAAGAAGACGCAAAGAAGGGCCATGATTTGGGTTAACCCCTTCAAGTCGATGTCTTTACAGTGTAGTGCGGCAGCAAGCACGGTACGGCAAGTACTAAGATCTGAGGTGTTCCCCCTGATATTAACATTCCTTTATAGGGATTATAATAAGGGGCCACGATGATCCCTATTCAGGACTTTTGGTATAAGGGGGAACATCCCAACTAAGAAGGAGATTGGGGGCCAAGGAGATAACAGGAGCGGAGCGGCCCCCGCCTACCATAGCCTCGACGTAGTTGCTGGGCACGCGTTGCAGAATTCCTCGCGACATGTGCTTGAGCGAAGATTAGGCGCCCCTAAACTCCAAAACCCTAAACCCTAAAACCCAAAAATGCCCTAGAACCCGAAAACCCTAAAACCCGAAAAGGAGTGGCAACAATGCTACGGAATTCCTTCGATCGTGTCCCAGAGGCTTCATCTGTAGCTCTGTGCTGTGTTAAGGCACGCAAAGAGCGTGCCCAGCAGGGTTTTCCGGGTGATACTACGTTTTGCGGTTTAGGGTGTAGTGTTTAGGGTTTAGGGTTTAGGGACTTTCTGGTGCTGTGTTCAACGACCCCATATTGACCCTGCTAGCACGTAAACCCTACACCTCTAAATGATCCGTCGAGTGCAAAGCGTCCCGTCGGCTCATGGGTATGTTCTGTCTGGCGATGCCCAATAGAGACGCGACCCGGCAGACAACGCGAGTGTCGCTGATGAAAGGGTTTAGGGCTTATGTCCGCCAGTTTTAAGGCTTAGGGTTCAAGGGGTGGGAGGTCAACGGCCGAGCAGGAACTGCTCAACTTGCAGCTGTAGGCCGTGGGCGTCGGCAAAATCTAGACCCCCAAAGTATCCATCATAGTCGCTTGTAACCCCAAGTCTAGTTTGGATACGCAATCAATCTGGATAAGGTCCTTCTACTCCCAGATGCTGGACCATCACGGGCGGAACAGCTCGCTGGATCACGGAGCGAACCAGCCTGACCACGAGGAAAAAACGAGTTTAGGTCTCCCGATTGGGCTCACGAGATTTGCGGTATATGATTTCACTAAACCTCAAAACCCTAAGACCTAAACACCGAAGGGGGGAAAACACAAAAAAGTGTCATGGGCATACGTACCCAGACAGGGGAGGAGTGTCCATTCAGGGAACCTTAGTCTACATCACTGAAGCGAGAAGCAACCAGCACGAGTACTATAAGGATTTAGTAGTTTAGGGCTTAGAGTTTAGGGTACATAGCACTAGCATGTAACATAAGATTACTTAAAGACTATCACACTACCATGCCTGAAATAGAACAACAAATAAAGTCACACACAACAACACCACGACCTAACAAGATGAACTCCTGCAACATAAGAAACTCGCACAATTTAATATTTGGCCGTGGTCAGTTTCAGCTCTATCTCCAGCAAGGTGGCTGCTCGCGGTCTGCGGCTGTCATGCGGCTGCACTGTGCCATGATGCCATCCTGAAGCTGGTTGATCTTGCCTGGAGGCAGGCGCAAGATGCGCGCCTGCGCGCGTGCGTGGGGTGGGGTGGGGTGGGGGTGGGGGTGGGGGGGGGGTGGGGGGTGGGTGGGGGGGGGGGGGGGTGGGGGTGGGGGTGGGGGTGGGGGTGGGGGTGGGGTGTGGGTGTGGGGGTGGGGGTGTGTGGGGGTTGTGGGGGTGTGGGGGTGTGGGGGTGTGGGGGTGTGGGTGGGGTGGGGTGGGGTGTGGGGTGGGGTGGGTGGGTATGTGTGTGCGTGTGGTATGACGAGTATGTGCAAAAAGTTCAATAGGTGCGCTTACCTGGCAGTGGGGGCTTAGGCGCTTAGGGATCCAGGGTCTTCTGGGGTGTTAGGATCTGAAATTTGAAGGTCCAAAGGGTTTAAGGCGATTTGAGGCTTGGAGATTTATCCGGGGGAGCTTGCTGGCTAAGGCTCGCTGGTCCGAAGACGAAAAACGCATGCAGTAAGACAAACTGCACAAGGTAAGACAACACAAGCATAATGTACCATTTGCTGAAGAACCCCCCCCCCCCAAAAAAAAAAAAAAAAAAAAAAAAAAAAAAAATATATATATATATATATATATATAAACATCCCTGCATTACCCGCGTAAGGAAGAACATATCTTTATCGTTTGGTGGTTCTTAAGCAAATAATCGCAGTAATAGCGTTCTCAGCACCACCGGAGCGGTTCCCTCTAAAACCCTCATCCCTCCCTCCTCAGAACTCGCAAGTCCACTAACTAGGTGGGGTCCCGGAGGTTGAAACCCTAAACCCTAAACCCTAAACCCTAAACCCTAAACCCTAAACCCTAAACCCTAAACCCCTAACCCTAAACCCTAAACCCCCAAACCTTCCGAAGATTGCTTGAGCAAAGGCTCCGGAGATCATCTTCGTGGCTTGGACTTTTGAGATGCCACGGCCGGAGTTGCATTTCCTGGGGTCTGCTGCTCTCTGAGGGTCGGTTTAGGGTTTAGGGTTTAGGATTTATAGGATCAAGGCCTACTCCGAGTCCTAGTCTTCCTACGTGCAAATTCCGGTCCCTAGGCCTGGGATGCGAGATCATTGGCTTGGGATTCCCAGCATCAAAAACCAGGCAGCGTTTTGGAGCCTGAGTTCGATATTCTGAAAGGAGGTTCTTCAGGAAAAGCAAGGTCAATACGGGAAAAGAGCGATATCCTTGCAAAGCCTCTATGTGTTGCACCTTGGACCCTTAAGGTTGTACGCTTGGGTTTTGAGGACACTTTTTAAAGATCCTTAATATAAGGTAGTATCAGGGCCATATGAGGAGCAATTAAGGGGAAGCTTTAGGGGTACGACCATAGGGGTACGAGTCTTAATCCCTTGGAAAATCCACAAACTTTGGCACTCAAGACCAAAACTCTGATCCCTTGAGTTGTAACCCCTTGCAAGCCAGCAGCGATCAAGGGACTAAAGGAGGGACCCTTGCAAGGTGACCTTAGGGATTGTAGGGGAATATGATTAAGGCTCCCTTCTGGGGGCCCCTCAAAACAAGCCATCACCAAAATGTGCAACTGCCCTAAAAAAGGTGATGCAAGATTCCAGATGGCGCGGAACTCCCGCCGAGCGTTCTCCATGATGGTCTCCTGCAGGTTTAGGGTTTAGGGGTAGTGCTTTAGGGTTACGGTTTAAACCCGAAACCCGAAACCCGAAACCCTAAACCCTAAACCCTAAACCCCTGGCCAAGCCCTTGCGGCCAAACTCCCCCTTTAAAGGAGGAAATTTTCCACGCATCCCTTCATGCGCTGGCGGGCGCCACTTGTTGCAGGTAATGGGAAAGCTTTCTGTTGCCTTTTTCTTACTATCAAGCATCGCCCTACCCTAAACCCGAAACCCTAAACCCTAAACCCTAAGTCAGGCATCTTAAAGTACGTGGCTGTGGTAGCGTCGTGCATGGACAGCCCGCTGCCTGGATCTGCGCAACGTAGGTCTCGTAAAACTGCGGCGGCACGCCGCCATAGACCGGATTGTAGCACATCATGGCAGAGTGATCCTGCTTGGGATTAAGGGTGAGGGTTCAGGGTTTAGGGTTTGGGGTTTAGGGTTTAGGGTTGAGGGTCGAGGGTTTAGGGTTCAGGGTTTAGGGTTTAGGGTTTAGGGGTTAGGGGTTAGGGTTAAGGGTTTAGGGTTTAGGGTTTAGGCTTGAGGGTTGAGGGCTGAAGTGCACATAGGGGTTAAGGGTATAAGGATGGAGCATTTCCCAAATAGGGATGCCCCTCATATACCCTCAAGTGGTAGAATCCTTGTAGTAGCAACCCTCACAAAGCGCACCCTTCATCAGGGAATTCCCTAAGTGTGTTGTCCTCATCAAAAGATTGGCTTTGGCCAATAATGTTCGTGCAGTTTCTTGCTAGCATGTACATATTCTGATGATGCCTAGTCTGATTGTCGAGTATGGCTTCGATTATTGCGATTGTGAGTAGTCGTTTCTTGGTAACATCAATATGCGCATGTATATATATATACATATAGTGCACTACAGAGTAAATGCCCGCCCCGCCTCTTCAGACAAAGCCAGGGCCGCAAACACTTCCAGGGAGCTGGAATTCACGCCGCCCTCGGACAGCTTGTGCACACATCGCTGCATGCAGATCTGGCGCTTCCGTGCGGCCTATGTAAGTCTCATCCTTCCCAAGCTCAGTACCCTAAACCCGAAATCCGAAACCCTCAACCCTAAACCCCAAAACCCTCAACCCTACACCGAAACTTCGAGAGATGGGCACGACAAACTCGGGGTGGCCTTGTTTGTCGATGCATCCTTGAAGACATGCACCCCGGCTGCTTCCAGGACACCTTCAATGGAAACATTTATGGTGGGTTTGCGAAAGTGAAACCTCCTTACACCCCCAAAACGGGGGGGGGGGGGGGGGGGGGGGGGGGGGGGGGGGGGGGGGGGGGGGGGGGGGGGGGGGGGGGGGGGATACCCCGGCAGCTTTTTCGTGGAGGCCCCCGCAACCCGCACCGTGCGATTTCAAGGACCATGTGAGCGGAAAGTCTTAAATTTTGGGTTAAGGGTTTAGAGTTCAGGGTTTATGGTTTAGGGTTTAGGGTTTGCACAGAAAAGAATCTCAATTTGACGTCCAAGTCCGAGGCAAACAAAACATTGTACCAGTTTCCACAGGCACATACACAAGCAGTGCAAATACGTAACTTCCGGATCTCAAAACGGTGAAGAGCTCCAAGCGAATTAGTGGCAAATTGATTCGGAGTCCTTTCTGCACTTAAGAACGACCCGAGCGAAAGTGCACAGACTGCCCGAGGCGCATAAAGTGGGCGGTCCGCCTAATTTTGGGAAATTGCCATGCATGGGCATTGCCAAACCCAGAAACCCTAAAGCCCCAAAACCTAAACCCTAAACCCTAAACCCTAAACCCTAAACCCTAAACCCTAAACCCTAAACTGTGAAGTGAGTGCATTCGGCCTCGGGCCCGATCCGAGAAGAAGAGGTTCGCACCCTCCACCTGAGCTTAGTTGTCCCGTAAACCTCTGAAAGTATAAGAGGACTATGTTAGGGTTTAGGGTTTAGGGTTTAGGGTTTAGGGTTTAGGGTTTAGGGTTTAGGGTTTAGGGTTTAGGGTTTAGGGTCCCAAAAGGGTTAAAGGTTACCTACTCTACTACTAGGTGAGTCGCCAACTTTGTAGCGAGCCGGTTTGGACTTCAGGGGTCTAAAGGTTGGGATGTTCCCCCTTTTACCTAACAGTCCTTAATAGGGATTATAGACCCTTATTATTGTAATCCTTATTAAGGACTGTTAGTATAAGGGGGAACGTCCCAAGTCGAAAGGCTTGTGGGTCTAGAGGCTTTCGAGCTTAGCGTTCGGAGGCAATTGTAGGGTTTAGGGTTTGGGGCTGGTTTAGGGTTTAGGGTTTAGGGTTTAGGGCAAAGCTTTCGGGGTTTAAGCCTTAGGTGAAAGAGATGCGGGGTTTGCGGTGACACCTTCGCACATTTCTGAACATCGAGAGAAGGACATCGTGACGACACTCTTCTGACACTTTTCTCAATGTCAAGATCAGAACATCACGGCCCTGACGCGGTTGTCGCTTTTTCTGATCACTGCAGGTCTCATGACATGTAGCCCTGTCACACTTCGAACATCAAGAGAACAACATCGTGGCCCTGCCACGCCTTTAAGGTTCTGGTGGCCTTCAACATCATTCAGAAGGGGGACCCCTGAAGACCACACCAGCGGGTGGCGGAGAAATGGTGGCTACAACGGCTCACAAAGGCAGTCCAGGGACAAAAGACGAGAGGGGGAGAGGCTGGGCTCAGCCGAGTTCGTCTGCAGCGTCACACACAAGGACCACACGTTCGTTGGGGGTCGGAGGGGGGGTGGGGGGTGGGGGGTGAAGGGGCAGCAGAGTCCTACTCTCCTGTCTATATCTATCTAATCTCTCCCTCTCTCTATCTTTCTCTCTCTCTCTCTCTCTCTCTCTTCCCAGATAAATGAAAAGTCTGCAATAGAGATCCAGGCACAATCATGCGAAACTTCGGCCTCACAGCAAGAGGGGGACTTCAGGGCATCAAGGATTCCATGGTTCAGGGTTTGGGGGTAGAGCGGTGCCGGGTTCAGTTGTGTTGCTTTTAGGAGTGAGGTTTAGGGTCTAGGGTTCGGGTTTAGGGTTTAGGGTTTAGGGTTTAGGGTTTAGGGTTTAGGGTTTAGGGTTTAGGGTTTAGGGTTTAGGGTTTAGGGTTTAGGGTTTAGGGTTTAGGGTTTAGGGTTTAGGGTTTAGGGTTTAGGGTTTAGGGTTTAGGGAGGTTAGGGTTTAGGGTTTAGGGCTTAGGGCTTAGGGCTTAGGGCTTGGGGTTTAGGGTTTAGGGCTTCGGGTTTAGGGTTTGGGGCCCTGCAGGTTTGGGGCTTGGTTTTTGAGCTTAGGGTTCGGCGGTTTTGATGCAGGCAGCCCCCCGTGCCTGGATCCATCCGCAGTGAACAGCCTCTTGACGTTGTCCGTGGTCACCTTTGCGGGGGAACGGGGGCGGGGGAGGGGGGGAGTCCAAAAATTGGAGGGTTTAGGGTTCAGGGTTTCTGGGGTTTAGGCTTTAGGGTTCAGTTTTTGGGGTTTGGACCCCCACGCCTTATGAAAATATTGAGCCTGAGAGTCAGCATGCCCCGAAACAGCCCCAAGCTCACTCGAGCTCAAAAACCCTCAGTTCCCTTAAACGCCCTACAGCCTAATTAGGGTTTAGGGTTTAGAGTTTAAGGTTTAGGGAGCCTCACCCCTGATTTTCCTCAAACCGTCAAGACACAGAGCCTCGAATCCCTGAAGCTTCTTCGGAGAAGCCCCGACTTTAACTTCTATTTGCTTCAGACCCCCCCCCCTCCCCCCCCCCCCCCCTCAAAAAAAAAACAAAAAGACAATGCAATATGTATATATATATATATGTATATACACTTCCTTGCAAGGGCAAACTAGGGACCATCTTGTATCTTTTAGGGTTCTTAAGGAAACAGTAGTTCAGCTAAGGCTAGGACGGCGTTCGGTCGCCCGCCGCAAGGCACGAAGAGGTCTGCTGACGCGTAGTCCTTAGATCTTGCTTCTCCCCTGCTTGGAAAGCACTTCGCTGTTCTTGGAACCCCACTTAAGCATTGAACTTTGAGACTGTAGGTCTAAGGTAGGACATATACATACTGGTTCTTAGGTGAGGAGAGGGAAGTAGGTACCTTGTATCCCCCCTATCTGAATCCTTTAAGGGGTCTTTATGCAGTACCTACTTCCCTCATTCCCTACAAAGAACCAGCAAGACATAGGAGATCTGGTGCCATGTTGGGGGGAGAGGCGGTCAGGTGGAAGTTGTCCCGCAACTCTGCCCCAGTGAGCCAGAGCGAGCCATCGGGCAGCGTCACGTTGCTCTCCTTGATTGCCGAATGTCTCAGACACCCTCTAAATCCCCAGTCCCGTACTTGGACCCCCAAAGTAAATACAGTAACCACAATCATGGCCTGGAGTGCCACAACAAAAGGAACCCTACTCGATCTTTTCCCAGGCGAGTTACGTCCACGGTGACCAGGAACGCACCATTCCCGAGGAAGCAGCGATTGAACTCCTTGATGGGCACCTTGGTAGCCCAGTAAAAATATTACAATAAGGGCGCCCTTCTTCTGGTTGGTTACCTTGTAAGGGAACCCAGAGCAAAAAACAAAAAGTAGTAAAGGGTACCACTGGGCTACCAAGGCACCCGCTGCTGCGCGAGTCGCGTGAGCTCCGTCCGGCAGATGCCGCTGGGGTCGTAGAGGACCCCTGAGCCGTCGACGATGCCGATGGTCATGTCCTTGTAAGGGCAGTTCCATGGTCCCTTAACATGGGCCCTAACCCTAAACCCTAAACCCTAAACCCTAAACCCTAAACCCTAAACCTTATATACCCCTTATATACCCTCTTCAACCCAAGGGCCCCAACTTCAGAACCCTTGAAAGGGAGGTATAAGGGGCCGAATGTTAAGGGCCCATGTAACTTCCCTCGGAGTCCTTGGAGATGAGGATCTCGTTGCTCCCAAGGTCTCCATCCGGACCACCCGTCTGAAACTTGGTTATCTTGGACTCATCCTCGCCAAGTTCTCGCAGCAGCTCAGTGACGTATTTGTGCACCTAGGTCCCAGAAAAGGCTTGCCATCCATCCCTAAACCGCAAACCCTAAACCCTAAATCTCTTGAGACTCTGCCACTAGAGGATTGAAGAACTATGGGCATGGAGGTCTAGCCAAGATGTGGGCAGTTCTCTAAACTAGGGTCCCTTTGTGGGGCCCTTCCGTGCTATTCGGGACCCAAAAAGGGAAGCTTACTTAGAGTAGGAACATGTAGGAACCCTAAACCCTAAACCCCAAACTTTGCAAACCCGAACCCTAAACCCTAAACCCTGTTTCATGGCCGACTGAGCTGGATACACTGGACGTGGTCATGCCGTAGGTGTCGTGCGGCACGCCACCGAGTGCCACGCTCCTCATGGGGCAGCTCTCTAAATTAGGCTCCTCTTTTTTGGGTTCGGGGATTCGGGTTTAGGGTTAGGCTAGGGGCTGTTTTAGGGCACGTCACCTTATAATAGGGACCCCCGAAGAGGGATCCTAATTCAGAGAACGCTCCTCAGAAAACAGAACGACATTCGCAAGATCTGCCCATCAAAGTGCTGACAGGAGCCTAAAGCATATCCAAGACCATCCCCTCTAAAATGCAAGCTGCCATCCTGCGCCGTGTAACACATCTCGTGCTCTGGGCAAAGGTAAAAGTGTACAAAACAAAATATGATATAAAATGTATAATATATAACAACACATAATATACATACATATATATATATATATAATCTATAATGATAATCTATAATCTATAATATATTGTAGATAATATATAATATATAATACATAACATATAATATATAATCTATAATATAAAACCTATAATATGTAATGTAGAAAATGAATGTACAATATACAATATAATAGCTATCTATCTATCTATCTATCTATCTATCTATCTATCTATCTATATATAGATAATATCCTGTATAACATATAATGTAACATGCATGTATACGCACATTATACATATACACATCGTATATAAATATAAATATATATATATACATATATATACACACATATGTATACACATCCTCAAGAAACCCCATCATTCCGGCCCCAGACCTCAACTTAACTGTTTAGGAAGATCCTGGCTGCGCCATCCACGCCTCAGCGAGCCGAACGGAAGCCATCCGCAGCCCCAAAAACCTAAACCCCTAGACCCTAAACCCTAAACCCTGAACCTGAACCCTGAACCCTAAACCCTGAACCCTGAACCCTAAACCCTAAACCCTAAACCCTAAACCCTAAACCCTGAACCCTGAACCCTGAACCCTGAACCCTGAACCCTAAACCCAAACTTCTGTCACGCCGGGCAGCTTCCCAGTGGTCAGAGCCTTCCAAAACGGATATCCGCGTGCCTGAGGCTGCACACGAAGGCTTGTTGAAGGCCTACATGGGTTTAGGGCTTAGGGATGTTGAGGGTTTAGGGTTTAGGGTTTAGGTTTTAGGGTTTAGGGTTTAGGGCTTAGGGATGTTGAGGGTTTAGGGTTTAGGGATGACCAGGTTCCGAATCCACCAATAGAGGGGTTATGAACGGTTATGACGAACAATGTGCTGCTCCCGACGCATTCGGCCAAGCTGCCCTTGCCACCTCTGCGCCCATGTCCATGAAACCCGCAGTGTTCCTCAAATGAATAGGCAGGGGCAGGTGGCGGAAGGCCAGGGCGGGGGATGTTGGTACTGAGGGTAGCGTGCCAGTGACCTACACCCTACACCCTATACCCTAAACCCTACACCCTACACCCTAAACCCTACACCCTAAACCGTAAACCCCTAAACATGGCAACGATGACCAAGGCTCTCGTCTGGACCGAAGAAGAGGAGCTCTCGGCGGCCCTTGAGGTGTCCTGAGCGGGATTTTTGGGCAACCGCATCCCTTTAGGGCTTTAGGGTTTAGGTTTAAGGTTTGAGGGTTTAGGGTTTGCGGCTTCGCGTTTAAGATTCCGGCACATTCCCTACCAGGACCCTCTTGAACTGAACGAGGGCCTTCAAAATACATTTTGAGGGATTCTGAAACCCGAGCCTCCTAAACCATATACAAGCCCGTATGAACTACTCAACTCAGGAGGAGGTACCCCCTCCTACTGGGGGGGCATCCAAAACTACACACACCACAAGCCCAAAACCCTGCAAACTCTAAACCCAATAAACCATGAGCCCTGAACCCTTAGTAGGGTGGTGGGAGCCTGGCTGGTTCAGGGTCTACGGATTCGGGGGCGTAGGTGCGCACTACGACCACTACCGGCAGTCCTGCAAAGATGCCGCTCTCCTCTGGCATCATGCAATCCAAGAGGGCATTCAGGTAGCGCGTGAAGCAAGACCTGCTAAAAGTCAGCTTCGTAGGCCCCACAAAGGGTTTACCTGGGACCCTCTTTACCTAGTATGGGTTATACCTACCAGTTAAGGGTAGTTTACTACTAAACTGTAGGTGAATGGAGTCCCAGGTAGGGATTGGAACTGGGGGGCTAGGCATTCTGTATGGGGGGGTAGTGGAACTGCAGCACATTCATGGACCTTGGGTTCTTAGCTCAAACTAAGACATCACATGTAGGGTTACACGTATATATATATATATATGTGCAGGTATCTATATATATACATATATGTATAGATGTAATTCTACTCCTAACATGATAAGTGAATGTAGGTTCCATAACAAAAAAAGCAGGTCAATATCTCGCAGACCGCAATGGCTGCAAGCACTGCAGCACCCGAATCCCCCCCCCCCCCTGTTCACATTTTTTGGGGAAAAGTCCTGAAGCTGCAATCAGGACGACCCTGACGCAGTTTGAGGTATGATCCCGAAGTCAGAGGTAGTGTGCTCTGCAGTACGAAGCACAGGGTTGCAGCCAAAGATGTAGATGTTGAACTTGGGACTTCCGATGCTATTATGCCATGTGAGCGTGGGGCTGAATGCTTCGGGTTGCAAGGTGGACGAAATGTTTTTGGCCATTTCCTAGTCCCATGACTTCAAGGGCTTTGCCGAGTCTGCAGCCCGGATTTCGACTTACAATGGCTCCCGAAAAGCAAGACAATGAAGAAGCTAAACCGCAACATAGGACTGCTGAAACAGGTTCGTTCGTGAAACTGCACGGCAACCACAAGCCCATCAACCCATGGAAGCAATAGCTCGAAACTGCAGACTTGAACACCGCACAGCCCAAACCCATTCCACCCTAAACTTAACCCCGAATCACCACTTTCTATACCCCCCAAAGACCACAACCCTAAACCCTAAACCCTAAACTTCAGAAGGGGGGTCGAGGTTGTCCGCTGAGGCCCTGGCCGCATACCCAGAGGTCCCTGGAGAGATCCAGCCACAACGTTGCCATTCCTTACACTCGGATTCCCTAAACCCTAAACCCTAAACCCTAAACCCTAAACCCTAAACCCTAAACCCTAAACCCTAAACCCTAAACCCTAAACCCTAAACCCTAAACCCTAAACCCTAAACCCTAAACCCTAAACCCTAAAACCCAAACCCTAAACAATCAGAATTTGCGCCGCTTTTAAGAGTCTAGGCCCAAGAGTTCACCTAGGAATAAACAGGGTGCCCTGTCTTTTGGCTTAAAAGGGGCTCATAAGGGATCTAAACCCTACGGGAACGAGGGCCTACTCTGGGTCCTAGGAACGAATAACAGTGTGGGATTGTGGAGTTTGCTGTTCACAGCTGAAGCTGCAAGTCTGATTGTACAATGAGGTGGCAAGTGGGGGATGCGGGTCAACCTAAACCCTAAACCCTAAACCCCAAACCCTAAACCCCAAACCCTAAACCCTAAACCCTAAACCCTAAACCCTAAACCCTAAAACCATAAAACCCTAAACCCTAAACCCTAAACCCATCAGGGCCCCTGCAGGCAGCTAGTGGATTCAAAAATGCCACTGCGTGCCATCTTGTGACCTCATGCTCCTACCCTAAACCCCAACCCTGAACCCTAGACCCTATAGATCGAATGTCAAGGTGGTGGTTTAGGGTTTAGGGTTTAGGGTTTAGGGCTTAGGGTTTAGGGTTTAGGGTTTAGGGTTTAGGGCCATTAGGGCTCCCCGCCATGGTAGTCCGCCAGTCTTCATGTTTAGGGTTTGGGGTTTGACGGTTTAGCGGCCTACGTGGAGGTTCTCAGGTACTTGAAACCCTAAACCCTAAACCCTAAACCCTAAACCCTAAACCCTAAACCCTAAACCCTAAACCCTAAACCCTAAACCCTAAACCCTAAACCCTAAACCCTAAACCCTAAACCTTACCATGCTTCTAAGCACCCATGCACCTCCAAGTGGGGTAACAAAGAATGGGCGGTGCGGATTCCTAGGCCCCGCCCCAAGTTACTTTGACGCGTAAGGAGAGCCAGGCGTCCTTCATGTTCGCGATCTAGGACATCCTTATGGGTACTTTGTGTGCCCAGGCTAAACCCTCAAACCCTCAAATCCTCAAACCCCTCAAACACCTCAAACACCTCCAACCCCTCAAAGCCCTCAAAGCCCTCAAACCCCTCAAACACCTCAGACACCTCAAACCCCTCAAACCCCTCAAACACCTCCAACCCCTCAAACCCTCCAAGGTCACTGCCGCTGCCACCAAGCATCTGCCCGTTCGGCCAGCTCCTGTCGGGCAAGATGACGCCCTTGGAGCCGCCTCACAGGGTTTAGGGTTTAGGCTTTAAGGTTTAGGGTCTAGGGCTTTTAAAACGGGCATAGAGTCGCCAGAGAGCGCCCAAACCCCCTAATTTAGTTTTTAGGGTTTAGGACTGAGGGTATACACCCTAATTACTTCATAAGATGGGTCCTCAATGTTATTCAGGATCCCTATGCAGTTTGAGGCTTCTAATCCATAATTAAGCGGCTTTGGGGCTTTCTGGGTACAGTGTTCAAGGTTCGGTGCTTTTTGGCGTAGGACCCAGGAACTAGTGTTCGGGGTTCTCGCTAAACCCTATAAACCCTATAAACCCTATAAACCCTACTATAAACCCTATAAACCCTATAAACCCTAAACCCTAAAACCCTAAACCCCATAAACCCTTAAAAGGGGCGCTGAAGGTAGCTGCTGCTGCTCTTATTTGCCTTCCTTGCCTCAAAAGTAGGAAGGGTTTAGGGTTTAGGGTTTAGGGTTTAAGGTTTCCAGGATTGCCCTGAACCCTAAACCCTGAACCCCAAACCCTAAACCCTTTTCCCTAGACATTAATCCCTAGCATATGGCCATTTGTGCCAATAGCAAGATCAGTCCGGAAATTCTCGTGATGCAAGCGTGCATAACGTAAGTAGTGCGACGAATCTGCAAAGCACAGAAACCTGTCAACTCATCGATTTACGCTTTATAGTGCTTGAGGTTTGTAGGGTTTATAGGGTTTATGGGGTGGTTACAGAGGTTTGAGGTAGACTGCTTGGACCTTTTTGTTGCAATAAGTCAAGACAGGCGCGCAGGGCCTTCAGGAATGTCCTGGCCGTGACAGGCAAGCGTGCTTTGCTTTTGCTCTAAACCCTAAACCCTAAACCCGAGACCCTATACCCAAAATCCTGCAGGTCCCTGATTTGGGGTAGCCATGTTTCATAGTAGAAGTCCAAGTCCAGCTGTGGAAAAGATGTGGTCCAGCTCTCACACAGTATGGTCCTTTCCTGGTGGTTTGGGATGTTCCCCCTTATACTCAGAGCCCTTAATGGGACTATAATCGGGGGTACTATATTCCCTATTAAGGACTGTTAAGGGGGAACATCCCAGCTTGTGGGTCTCTGTGGCACTACATTCCCCGTAGCATAGACTACCAAGCAAGGCCGATCATTTTGATCACACCCCCCCCCGCCCCCCCCGCCCCCCCCGCCCCCCGGATGTACTGTAGAAACTGTTGTTCATCCTACCTTTATGAGCATCCCAAGAGCCTGGTGCTCTGTAGGCATGGAACCAGTTACCCTACGGTACGAATCCGTTTCGCCTGGGGTCAGATCGCTTGCGTGAGCACGACATTACGAGACAGCCCATGCCCCAGACTCATTACACTCCTTGTTCTTGTACTGCTGGGTGAAGGCCAGGTTGTAGCACTCCTCACAGTCTGTTCATGTCGAAGTTGAGACACCGCGCGTTCTGCTGAAGGGCATGAGGCGGCTGGTTATCTGCTAAAACACAGATCGTCGACAGAACGTGACAATGCTCAGCTGAAACCTTTTGCCTGCAGAAGGCTCCCCTGCGATCACAGAGCAGTAGACTTTCAACCCTAAACCCTGAACCCTAAACCCTAAACCCTGAACACGAACTTTCATGTCGTGCAGCTGGGCATCGTCAAAAAGGTTGGCGAAGTTCCGGTCATAGGTGTTCTTGTCCCGGGACAGCACGAGTCGGATACCGCCGCGCGCCACGTCACGGAAGCGGGTGTGGAAGCCCATGAAGTCGCGCCCGCAGATGAGATAGATGCCTCAAGGGTTTAGGGTGCCCCTTTTTTGGTTTTAAGGGGGTTGTAGGGTTTAGGGTTTAGGGTTTAGGGTTTTTCCCCAACCCTAAAAAAGGGGATTAGGGCCTACTCCCGGTCCTAGATAAGGTACGTACTGCAAGCAGCGCGGTCAGTTTGTTTCAGTTCGAGCTGCCTAGACCCTCTCTGCGCGGGTCACCTTCAAGAGTCACTCAACTGAGGCGCTGGCCATAGGGAACCTCTGGATACCTCGGCTTCTAATTCGACTAGGTTCGAAAACTCAGTGAAGCTCTGAAACCAGGTCCTAAACCCTAAACCCCAAACCCTAAACCCTAAACCCCAAACCCTAAACCCCAAACCCTAAACCCTAAACCCCAAACCCCAACGAGCGCAACTCCCAGCACCCAGCATCGAGGAGACGGGCGGTGCACGAAATCTAAGTCGCTGCCTTGAAACCCCTCAAACCCAAAGAAAGCACCTAAGGGTTTCGGGTTCAGGGTTTGGGGTTTAGGGTTTAGGGTTTAGGGTCGAAGACAAAGAAGCCGTATACTGGCATTGCTGCGCGTCTTTTTCAGGGCCGGATAGATGCTTTAGGGTTTGGGGTTTAGTTTAGGGTTTCCCTCCACCCGAGACCCAAAACCCTGACACCCTAAACCCCAATCGAACCATAGTATACAACATCGTGCGATCGACTATCAGGGGAAACGCTGAATTCTATTCTCTGGACCCTGAACCCTGAACCCTGAACCCTGAACCCTAAACCCTAAACCCTAAACCCTAGCCCCTAAACCCTAAACCCTAAACCCTAAACCCTAAACCCTAAACCCTAAACCCTAAACCCTAAACCCTAAACCCTAAACCCTAAACCCTAAACCCTAAACCCTAAACCCTAAACCCTAAACCCTAAACCCTAAACCCTAAACCCTGGCTGGTGGAGGGGTTGGGCAGTCCAAGTCGCAAGGAGGCTGGCCGGTCTTTCAGCGCCACGGCCGGGTCCAGGCGGAAGGATAGGGCTCCTTGGGGTTCCAAAAACCTGTAAAAAGAGTTTAGGGTTTATAGGGTTTAGGGTTCAGGATTCAGGATTCAGGGTTCAGGGTTTAGGGTTTAGGGTTTAGGGTTTAGGGTTTAGGCCAACGCTGCGGGGATATTTTTTGGTTTAGGGCTTAGGCCTTAGGGTGTTTTGGGGATAGAGTGGCCTTGATTTTAGAGAACCAGAAGCCCCAAGCCCTGAAGCTAGCACCTGCAACATTGGGCTTAACCCCATTTAGGGTTAGGGTTTAGGGTTTTTGCTGAAAACCTACAATTACAACACTGAACCACACACCCTGACACACAAACCCCCACAAAACCCAAAAACCCAAACCGCCAAGAGCCCGACAACCGAAACCCTAAACCCCCCAAACCCGAAACCCTAGACCCCCTAAACCCCCCAAACCCTAAACCCTAGACCCCCTAAACCCCCCAAACCCTAAACCCCAAACCCCAAACCCCAAACCCCAAACCCTAAACCCAAAACTCTAAACCCCTTATACCCCTGAAACCTTTGAGACCCTGCACCCATGAGCTCCTGGTATCTGCTCCTTGAAGAAGTTGGTCCTCAGCTATTTGAGGATTTCTGTGGTGGCCTAGAAGAATGAGGGGGGGGGGGGGGGGTTTAGGGGGGTTTAGGGTTTAGGGTTTAGGGTTTAGGGTTTAGGGTTTAGGGTTTAGGGTTTAGGGTTTAGGGTTTAGGGTTTAGGGTTTAGGGTTTAGGGTTTAGGGTTTAGGGTTTAGGGTTTAGGGTTTAGGGTTTAGGGTTTAGAGTTTAGGGTTTAGGGTTTAGGGTTTAGGGTTTAGGGTTTAGGGTTTAGGGTCGGGGTTTCGGGTTGTGGGTTTGGGGTTTAAGATTTAAGGTTCGGGGTCTAGGGAAGGTGGGAAGCTAACTTTCCCCAGTACTCCTTGAGGTACTATTCAGCTATTCCACGGACCCAAGTGGAGGGCTCGCTCGGCTCTTGTGACCGTTGTGTTTTGATGGGGGAATGGGTTGGGACCTTTGGAAATTGCAGGGCTTGTGGAAAGCGGGTCAGTGCGGTAGTAAGATGTAGTAAGACCGACAAGTACGAGGAATGGAAAGAGGAGCTTTGGAATGGAAAGAGGAGCCTTCTTTGCTTGAAAGGTTTCATCAAAAACACAAGCCCCAAAACAAAGAAACTCTGAGCCACTGGCGGTCCTGAAACCCAAACCCTACACCCCAACCCCTAAACCCTAAACCCTAAACCCTAAACCCTAAACCCCTCTAGCACCCACCGGTCCAAGAAAGGCCAGGGGGCAGAAGGATGCTGTGGTTGAAGGTGAGGAACATCTTCAGGATCTGCCGATCCTGTGGATCTGTACAAGCTTCATCGATCACCTCAGGTGCGAGTCGAGGGAGTCTGGGCAGCAAGGGGTTTAGGGTTTAGGGTTTAGGGTTTAGGGTTTAGGGTTTAGGGTTTAGGGTGGTTTAGGGCAGGGGTGTAGAATGCATAACGAAGCCCTTATAATGAGGAGAGAAGCTAACTATTTGAAACTTAGCTGTTAAACATTCAAAAGTCCCGTGTGTTTGGAGGCCTTCACTATTTAGTAGGTTTTTAGGAATGTTGAATGTTCAAACTTATTCCTGATAAGAAGGCCGACAAATCGAAACATTTAAAGTAAAGGCCTTTGGGATGTTCCCCCTTATGCTAACCGTCCTTAAATCGGGATGATAATAGCGAGTACTAACCGTCCTTAGATAGGGATGATCATAGCGAGTACTAGAATCCCTATTAAGGACTGTTAGTATAAGGGGAACATCACAACAAGGCCTCATAGAGCCCAAAAGGGGCCCCTCAGAAAACAAAACATACAAAAAACATAAACAAACTGGAGGCCTCAGAGATTTCGAGGGACCCCCAGGATTCTTGGAATTTCCAAAGTACTGTAAAGAATCCTAAATATTCCAAAAAAATCTAAGTTTTGCTTAAAAAATATGGCGCAAGTTTTTAGAATTTTCGGGAGATTTCAAGCTTTAACAAAGGCCGAACATTGTAATCAAAGGAATGAAAGGCAATGGCCGTCCTGCCTGGCTATATATCTGCTCTGAATCCAAAAAACCCCAAACCCTTGACCCTAAACAATCAGACCAGTGGAGAACTGCCTTGAACTCCAATTCTGGATTCTAGTGCCTTGTTGGGTGGCACCCTAAGTTGATGCAGAAATATGGGAGCCCCAGAAAATCACAAAAGGGTTTAGGGTTTAGGGTCAATTCAGACTTGGGCAATGCGAGACACCGAGCTCAACTCCTCGTTGAAGCGTGGCTGGCACTCGCCGTGAGCGATGCGCGAGAAGTCCTCGAAGAAGAGCCTGGCGGTCAGAGCGGCGTTCTGGGGGTTTGCTGTAGGGTTCTTGGCCGAGGAGGTCAGAACCGCGAGGTTTTCCTAACGTTTGCATTTGGGGTTCCTGGCTTTTTTCTCGCAAGTCACCTTTGAACACACCAAGGGGCCTGAGGCCCTGAAGCCCTCACTGACACACATTGCATCGGAACCCGCGCGCGGAATAGTCCTGCATAAGATCCTCTCAGAACCGAGCCCCACCGGGGAAAAAAAACCAAATGCTGCCCTCACACTCCCTCTGTATACGGGTTTAACCCCCAAACAGCTTAAACCCAAATTCGTCCAAGCGAAGGTAGGGGTGCCGTAACTGGATATCAGAACTCCCTTACAAGATCGGGGTCTAGGGTTCAGGGTTTAGCGCTTAGGAACCCTAAACCCTAAACCCTTAACCCTAAACCCTAAACCCTAGGCCCTAAACCCTCAACCCTAAGTTTAGGGTCGAGGGGTCGCCACTACGAAGTGACTTCCTATAAGTCTATGCCTTTTCTGTGAGCTTGAAGTCGTACAAACCCCTAAACCCTGAAACCCTAAAGCCCTAAAACGCTCAAGCCCTGAGACCCTAAAGCGCTTAAGCCCCAAAAACCCTAAACACCGAAGCCCTAAAACCCTAAAACCCTAAACCCTAAACCCCAAAAAAACCCAAACCCTGTTATCGGCTTTAGGAGTCTTGGAGGTTTCCGGGTCCGAATGTTCAAACTTTAAGCTGCAGTCCTCGCGAGATTTGGGTGACGATGAATCAAGTTGTAGATCCTCTCAGTCGACAGAAGGTCCTGCAAAGCTCAGCTCATCCCGGGCTCAGGGCATAGCCGGGCGTTGTTGGGAACTCACAATTCTGGCATGGCATAGGCCAGTCTAAACGCCAAACCACTACACCCTAAACCCGAAACACGTGCCAAAGGGCCTGGGCGGCTGAGGCTCATGATGTTCGCCTGCTGGGCGGCTGATGCCCATGACGCTCGCCTGCTGCTGGTCTCTACATGCCAAAGGGCCCAGGCGGCTGATGCTTATGATGCTCGCCTGCTGGGCTGAAACGTGCCAAGGGCCTGGGCGCCTTAGGATTTAGGGCTTTGGGTTTGGGGTTTCAGGCTTTCACTCCGTTAGGGTTTTGGAAAACAGTGCAAATGTCCCATCAACCCAAGGTTCTATCTGGGCTCCTCATGTGCTGACCGACATGGAAACCCTAAACCCTAACATCTACACCCTAAGCCCTACACCCTACACACTACACTGGCACTACACCCAACACTGCCCTACACCCTAAACCCGGTACTACAGCAGTGACAAGCGGCATGGCTCCTTGATGCAGAGCTTGTACAAAGTCTCCAGCTTCCTCTGGCTTGCTGCATCGTGTTCCAGCACCTTGTGCACTGAAATGTACTCCGGCGCATACTGCTCCTTCGGAAAGAACGTGTACACGAACTTCACCTCACAGACCGTGCGCAGAATGGGAGTCAGGTGATCCGTGGTTCAAAGCTGGCAAATGCTGAAACACTCCGGGGGCTGATTTGAAATATGCTCCGTTTGAAGCCTGAACAATAGCCAAGGCTTACGACAACTCCAAATCCGCGACCGCGGACAAATGGAGCTCCCCGCCTAAACCCGAAACGTTTCCCCTTGAAACCGAACCTTAAGCCTACCGGTCGGCAGCCCTTAAACCCTGAAGCCTAAACCCTAAACCCTGGACCGTAAACCCTAAACCCTAAACCCTAAACCCTAAACCCTAAACCCTAAACCCTAAACCCTAAACCCTAAACCCTAGACCCTAGACCCTAGACCGTACACCCGGTGTACAAGGCCGAGCCCCGAGCTGCCGCCAGAATATACAGGCCGCACTCGTGAGAGATCTGGGACTGCCTCATGACATGGGGGTTTCCGCATAGCCACATTGAAATAAGGAGGTTTAGGGTTTAGGGTTTAGGGTTTAGGGTTTAGGGTTTAGGGTTTAGGGTTTAGGGTTTAGGGTTTAGGGTTTAGGGTTTAGGGTTTAGGGACCCTTAGTCTGACTTAAGGTATATGGGGGCTTGTGCAATTAGGGGTACCTTATTGGGGCCCTTGTTGTAAGGGAATCCTACTTTTTCACTTGAACCCGAAACCCCAGAGCCCAAAACACCACCTAAACACCTACGCACCTAAACCCTAGGGCCCCAAAATGCTTTAAAACAACTGAAGACCAAAATCCTAATATCAGGGCTTAATAATTAGAGTAGGGTTGGTGGGGGGGGGGGTATTATAGTATAACTGTATACGGACCATGATAGAATCCTATGCTGAACCCTAAACCCTGAACCCCTAAACCCCTAAACCCCTCAACCCCTGAACCCTAAACCCTAAACCCTAAACCCTAAACCCTAAACCCTAAACCTCATGCGCCCCACAAGCTCAGGAGCATCACGCTGCGGTAGACCAACTCGGAGTTCCCAGGTGTGGCCTGCGGTTGAGGGCTGGCTTAGGGCTTGTAGGGTTTAGGGTTTAGGGTTTGGGGTTGGGGGTTTAGGGTTTAGGGTTTAGGGTTTAGGGTTTAGGGTTTAGGGTTTAGGGTTTAGGGTTTGGGGTTTGGGGTTTAGGGTTTAAGGTTTATGGTCTAGGGTTTAGATTCTAGTCAGCTTGCGGGATTTGCGAAAACCCTAAACCCTAAACCCTAAACCCTTAACCCTTAAGCCTAAACCCTCAGCCCCTAAACCCTATAAGCCCTGAGCCCTAAACCTTAGTACCACAAAAAAACAAAAGGTGAAAGCATGGCCCTGCCAGTCCTTCAGAAGTGTCGAGTACAGCAGCGCGCGCTTCAGCCTCTCCACTTGGGTCTCGGGGACGCCCGCCGGGAAGAACAAGCTGTAGGCAATTACCTCTCGAATGGTTTAGGGTTTAGGGTTTAGGGTTTAGGGTTTAGGGTTTAGGGTTTAGGGTTTAGGGTTTAGGGTTTAGGGTTTAGGGTTAGGGTGGAGTTACGTGGTCCCTTAGTCTGGGTCCTTAAAAAGGGGAACCCTTATAACTTAGGTGGATACATGGTCCCTTAGTGTGGGCCCTCAAAGGGGGACCCTTTATGTACCCAAGGGCCCATACTTCAGAACTCTTTAAAGAAGGGAGAGGGGGGCATATTAAGGGACCATGGAACCACCCTTAGAACCTCAACTTGCAGGTTCATGTTTAGGGTTGAGTGTTCGAAGGGCTGGGTCCAGAAAATGGAGTGCCTATCTCTGCTAGGAGTCGCTTGATCAGGGGTCCCATCCAAAAAAAAAATAAGGGTTGCCACTGGGCCCTAATCCCTAAAAATCCCAAACCCCAAACCTTCGTCTTGTTGGGGGGTGGGGGGGCCTCTTATACGTAGGGTTATAAATATGTTTACCGTACGTATCACCCTACTTATTATGTCTCCCATGAACCTCCAAGCAAATGTATCAGGGGTACCCTTTTACGGGGTTACTAAATCAGGATTATCGTGATTTGAGGGTGTGCGGTAGTAGGGTTCTATTGCTATTATCAGTATTCCCAGTTCAACGAAACCTTTCTGCACTCACCAAGAATAGTACAGGGTTCATGCTGCGAGTCTTGCAGAAACTCGGCAGGTGCCAAGTATCATCAAATGCCGAGGTGCACCATTGGCGAATGTGGAAAAGTAGAACCTGCAGCATTTGGCATGGTCTCATGTCGGGCCAGCTATACTCAAGACGCTTCACTGGCAAATGTTATGGAGAGTTCCTGGGTTGTCCCCCCTTATACCAACAGTCCTTAATAGGGATTATAGTACCGCCCCTTTTCGATTCCTTTTTTAAGGACTCTTGGTATAAGGGGAAACAACCCAACCTAGGACCCTAACCCCCCCCCCCCCCCCCCCCCCCCCACAAAAAAAAAAAAAAAACCGAATAATCCCCAAACCCTAAAACCCGGAAAACACGAAAAACCCTAAAAACCCAATCAGGGGGGTTTTGTCCTGTCCGGACTTGCAATTTCTCTCTCCCTCGCACACACAACCCCCGCCCCCCGCCCGCAGGTTCAGGTGGAAGGTCGGCATGCCTAGCAGCATAAAGGCACAAGTAAATAAAGAAAGATACGTATATATATATATATATGTCTATGTACATGTCTATGTATATGTCTATGTATATGTCTATGCACATGTCTATGTCTTTATACGTGTGTGTACATATAAATCGATGTCCACCATGCCCCTCCCTTGTCCCCGCAGACTCCGCGAGCCGGCGTGTGGCAAAAGCTTCCTCTGGCCCAAGCCCAGCTTGTCGGCTCCAGCAAAGGGCTTGTCTCAGAAGAGGTAGAATGTAGCTTCGTCTTGCCCAAACCCAGGTTTTCGTTTGTAGAAAAAGAGTGTGGGTCAGAAGTGGCAGAGTTTTCTTTTGTTTCCGTCCATCTGTGTGTCTTCTTATCTGCCTGCCTCTATCTCTCTCTGACTATCTTTCTCACGATCACTGTATCGGGGTAGTTCTCTAAATTAATGTACCTACTGGTTAGAGAAAGTGCCTATTACTATACTGACCTTGGAAACCCAGCAAAAAACCGTAATTTTTGCTGTTTCTTAGGAACTATAGTACCCAAATAATGCACCCCTAAGAATGTACCGGCAGCCCCTGAAAAGAGTGTCGGGCCTTCGAGGGACGAGGGCAACGAAGCGCATGGCCTGAAAGGCGAGGATCAGGGTCTAGGGTTTAGGGTTTAGGGCTTAGGGTTTTCGGGGGGAGCTCGTGCCGGCATTTGCTGGGAACCAAGCCCCCCCACAAAAAGGGAATTAATAAAGGCTACGGCTGGGCAGCCCGGTCCTTTTTGCTTGTTAAGGAAGGCGGTAACATGCCAAGATTTAAGATTGAAAGCCCAAAGCCTTGAAAAACCTTGGAAGGAATACCCAAACCCTGAACCCTAAGCCTAAAACCCTGAACCCTAAGCCCTGCACCCTGAAGCACCGGCGGCCTGCCACACCTCCTGAAAGTAGTTCCGGCCGGCCGTCTCCGCTGTCGCGAACAGGACCACAAAGCCTGAAGGAAGGCACAATCAGGTCTACGGTTCAGGGTTTGGGGTTTAGGGTTTGGGGTTTAGGACATGGGTAAGTATCAGCAGGGTTCTAAGTACCCTGAATAGGACTATAAGTATAGTCACCACAAGCTTATAACTTACAACCCTGCTTATGGTGTAAGCCCGGAAGTATAGGGCTCCAGTCGCAAACAGAGGACCGGAGCTCGACGCTCGGGATGCCCCGCTCTCTCCTGTAGGGTTTAGGGTTTAGGGTTTAGGGTTTAGGGTTTAGGGTTTAGGGTTTAGGGTTGAGGGTTGAGGGTCTGGGGTTTAGGGTTTAGGGAAACCGAACCCCAAACCCAAAAACCATGTGGGGGTTTCCGAGACGAAGGGACGCCGAATATAGACACCCAAATAGTAAGACTCCCTTGTAAATACTGACCCCAATGAGGTACGCTTAATTTCGGAAACCCCCAAGCCCCCAAGCCCCCAAGCCCCCAAGCCCCCAAGCCCCCAAGCCCCCAAGCCCCCAAACCCCCAAACCCCCAAACCCTAAACGCTAACCCTAAACACTAACACTAAACCCTAAACCCTAAACCCTAAACCCTAAACCATAAACCCTAAACCCTAAACCCCCAAAGGCCAGCCATGGAGCCAGAGAAGTTGCCGGGGTATGCCTCGCCAGGTATGATGTTCACCATGCTGCGCCGGGAGGCTACGACATCCTCCTGGGAGTCGCTTCGGGTTTCGGGTTTTGGGGTGTAGAGTGTTGAGCTTGGGGGCTCAGGAGAATCAGGGAATCAGGTACCTCCCGCTCCCGAATACCCTTCTGAAGGAGCATAAGGGGACCCGAATTCTCATATTCCTTGGCTCAGAAACACGAAGTCTATGGCTCGACAGGGGCTTCAGAGCTTAATCAAGGAACATCCCCAAAAACCATCTAAGGAACACTATTATGTCTAAAGGGCTATTCTTTAAACCGTATAAGGTATAAGAACCCTAGTGTAGTTTAAGGAATGCTCATGAAATAAGGGGTATTGGAGCTTCTGGGCAGCACACGCGCCAGCCAGGGCTCCATGATGATCTGGTACTGCTCAATGGCCTCTTTTGTCTTACCTGGCAAGAGAACCCTGACACTCTTAACCCGAAATCCAATACCTCTTAGTTTTGGAATATACCATAAACCATATAAGGAACCCTCTTATGTTTTGAGGACAATTCCTTAACTAAGCCCAAAAGCCGCAAAACCCCTCACCTCCAACCAAACCCCAAGACCGAAATCCGAAACCCGGAGCGTTTAGGGTTTAGGGTTTAGGGTTTAGGGTTTAGGGTTTAGGGTTTAGGGCTACAAGCCCTCAGCTCCAAACCTTTACATTCCAAATCCTAGATCCTGAGCCAACCCCAAACACCGCAAGGCCAGGAAGCTGGGCCAGAGTCTGGCCTCCGTTTCATACACACACACACAACACACACGTTTTTTTGAAGGGTTTAGGGTTTAGGGTTTAGGGTTTAGGGTTTAGGGTTTAGGGTTTAGGGTTTAGGGTTTAGGGTTTAGGGTTTAGGGTTTAGGGTTTAGGGCTTAGGGTTTGGTGGGCCTGTGTGGGAAGGGCGTCCAAAACTCTGCTGCATGGTCCACCCGGCCGAAGCCAAAAACAAACTACACACTCCAAGACCCAACGAACAGGACCCTCAACCCAACAACCCGAACCGCTCCCCTAAACCCCCAGACCTAAGCCCTCAACCCTCAAAATCCCATGCGCCGCTTTCGTGAGGAAGGAGGAGCACATGTACTCACCGATGACTTGCTGGTACTTTTTGGGGAAATTAGAGATTCAGGACAATTGATTACCCTTTGGGATTTATGTAGGGAACATGCTCCCCATCCCTCCCCCGCCACCCCCCGGCCGGAGCCCAAACAAAACAAACAAACGTGCCAAGGTTACTTGCGTGGCAATAAAACATAAGCTGGAGATCATTGGAGGAAGGTGGAGCTCACCAGCACTTACCCTAAACCTTTAACCCTAAAAACCCTGAAAGCCTTATCCCTAAGCCCTCAACCCTAAACCTTCAACCCCCCCGCCCCCCTCCGAGGCCTTTGAGGAAGGTGGAGCTCGCCAATATTTGCATGCTGGTTTCGTTGTCCGCCACGCGACTGACCTCGAAGTGGCCACGCTCCTTGTGCCGAATTTAGCATTTAGGATTAAGGGTCAAGGGTTTGGGGTTTGCAGGGTCTAGCTGGTGTTTAGGGGTGTTTAGAGTTCACAGTTACAAGTCTACTTATAACCTACTTAGGGGACTTGGGGGGCTTCTAAGTACAGTTATACTTAGGGCCATAAGTGCCCTCAATCTCCAAGTCGTGATGGGCTCGGATGTTGAGGTTGGAGGTGAGGGCTGCACCACCTACGGCCATCATCTAAGGGTACTTGCACGGTCCCTTTAGTGTGGACCCCCCTTACGAGGGGGCCCGTTTAAAAACCCAAGGGCCCATGCAGAACCCCTTTCAAGAAGGTAAGGGGCCACATGAAGAGACCACGTAACTACCCTTAGATTTCCTAGACCCAAGAGAAAGGAATGTTAAAGGGTACCCTTTCTGGTTTAAATTGTGCTTATAAGAGAAACTAACCCTAAAAGAAAGGGAAGAAGGGGCCTACCCTGGGTCCTAGTTTCAGCTGCGGACAGGCCACTATGTTGTAGATGCCAAGGCGCTCTTCTTCTCCTGGTGGGCAGGGCCCCGGATGAACCCTGAAACCCAAACCCCTAAAATCCCCCAAAAATCTAAAACCACAAGCCCCGAAACCCTCCTACTGCCCTAAAGCTCCAAGCCGCCTTAACAGCCCTGGAAACCGCTAGCCGCCCCAAAGCCTTAAGAGCCCTTAAAAACTACTAAGCCCTGCAGAATCCCAAAAAGCCGTAGAAGCCTGAAAGCTCCTAAAAGCACTAAACCGCACAAAGGGGCCTAAAGCCCCAAAGCCCCAAAGGTCTAAACCACGCATCAACAGCCTCAAAATGAAGCCTATAAGCCCCAAAATCATAACATCCAAAAGCCCTAAACTGGAAAACCGCCCTACATTCCTCAAATCTTCGACTGCCCATAAATCGTATGAACCCCATAGACCCCATAAACCCCATAAACCCTATGAACCCTATAAACTCTGTAAACTCTACAAACTTCTTAAACCCCATACCCCCATAAACCCCATAAACCCTAAAGACCCCATAGACCCCATGAACCTATAAATCCTATAAATTGGGATTCCCCCCCTTTTACTAACAGTCCTGAGTAGGGATTCTTGTACCCTATATTATAATCCCTATTAAGGACTGTCAAAATTAAGGGGGAGCATTCCGATCTACAAACCCGAAACCCCTGCTTCCGCAGCCCTAAACCCTAACCCCTAACCCCTAAACCCTAAACCAACCCTAAACCCCTGCTTCCACAGCCCCCGCCGCCTCTGAAGGCTGGGCCCTGTGAGGCCATGAAGGTTAGGGTGATGCTCTTGTTGTTGAAATCCAAGCCTGCGTGGAGGGTTTAGGGTTTTTTGCCGGTTCTCGAAGTTGCTGAGAACTATAGTTGCACGCCCTGGGTTCTGCATCAATCCCCAAACCTCAGTAGACACCTCAAATCTGAACCTAAATCCTGAAGCCCTAACCCGAACCGCCAAAACCCAGCAAACCCTAAACTCGGGCCTGTAAATCCGAAACCCAGGCTTGGATTTCAACTCCGTAAACCCTAAACCCTAAACCCTCTAACCCTCTAACCCTCTAACCCTCTAACCCTCTAACCCTCTAACCCTCTAACCCTCTAACCCTCTAACCCTCTAACCCTCTAACCCTCTAACCCTCTAACCCTCTAACCCTCTAACCCTCTAACCCTAAACCAGCCTAAACATGTAGCCCCTGCGAATGTAGCACGACTGTAGACAAGTGAAACTTGCAAAGACACATTCATCTGCAAAAACGACCTAGTCCTGCAGGGAGATGATTTAGAGGTTGTACGGGTCGGGAGCTTATTGGGGTTCATAGGCCGTACTTTGTGGCTAATGCTGCCTTGCGCTGGGTTTAGTGTTGGGGCTTAGCAGGGTTTAGGGCAAAGGGCGTTTTTGGGCTGTCTCTTGGCTCGGGGAAGGTGGAGTGGACATGCGTGGTGAGTTCTCTAATTTGTGAGTTGTTTGGGTTCCTTAAAAAAGGGGCCGCCTTTGAATCAGGACCCCGAAAGGGACCATACTCTAGAGAAGTGGCCGTGTGATTCTTAATGTATCATGCAACTACGATGGCCCTTGAAACCCTCTGAAAAATATTCTTGAGTATAACCCTCAAACCCAGTAAGGGAAAATTAAAGAATATCCCAAGGGCCGACCGAGGCAACGGTATGGGGCCCCCTAAAGCTATTTCATCAGGGATACTTCAGCCTGATTAAGGTTATCTAACGCAGGAACCTAAGGGGGGGGGGTAGTAGGGAAACCCATGACAACAGCATGGGGCCACAGAACCCTAAACCCTAAACCCTAAACACCGAGGCAACAGCATGGGGCCCCTGCCAATATACTCTGCGATCTTCCGCTCTGTGCGCCGCTGCGACTCCTTAGAGGCGGCAGATGCGATCGGGCGCTGGGTTTTGGGGTTTCGGGTTTCAGGGCTCTAGGGGTTTGGGCTTTAGGGAAGGGTTTGGGGTGCTGAGGGTTTCGGAGTTTCGGGATCTAGAGGGGTTTAGGGGCTTTAGGTGTTTAGGGGCTTTAGGTGTTTAGGCTTTTAGTGCTGCCGGGTTAGGAGCTAAGGGCAGTATTCTGCTGATTTCTGCTGGTGGCATGCAGCATCTACGGAGCTCTGTCGAGGGCTAGTTGCATCGAAGGGTATACATAGGCAGCCCAACAGTATTCATCATAATGACGGCGGCCAGTATACCTCAACTTTAGGGAGCGATTTTGGGGGAACCATTCGGATCATTATGGCTACCGATGCAGGTCCCTGAAGTTCCTAACGCCAGACCATGTTGTCTAGCTTACCGTTGCTTGGTAGGGCGGGGACATTCTTGCGAGCGATCGGCGCAAGAATTGACACCAACCAGTTCTCGTTCCTTCCTTCCCGTCTGGCGACAGGTCCCACCAGTCCACGTACAGTACAGGGGCTGGCTCGTCGAAAGCCATGCAGGTTGAGGTCTTCCCGATGAAGGATTTGTCGATGGCGTCTGGTCGTCTGAGGTTCGCCGCGCCGATGCTCTCGTGGAAGGGTGAGGATGCGGCGTTTGGTGGTCAGCTCTATACCCTAAACCCTAAACCCTAAACCCTAAACCCTAAACCCTAAACCCTAAACCCTAAACCTAAAATGTGCTTGAACCCGATGGGTTTTTAACGCGGACCTGCACCGCCACCGGAAGTCACGTTGTGGATCTCGATCTCCCGGGCATCATTGTGCCGCTCTGCTTCCTGAACTGCCCGGTGTCTTCTGACACAAATTGCACAGCCGACAACAGTCAGAACCAACATCGCAGAAACGGCCCTGACCGGGACACTGTCAAAGGAAGGGAGACCCCCTGTCTCTTCCATCGTGGTCGTGGCAGAAGTTTCCGCCGTTGTAGTCAGTGCTGCCTGACCTTCTGTCTCCAGTTTTGGGAACTCTATAGGTACATACTCTTTGGGAATGTGCGACTTTAGTTCCCAGTATTCTGGTGGTTCAGGTGGAGAATCAGGTCTGACAGTGTCCACGCTCATGGGAAGTCCAAGGCAGCTGCCGCTAACGACTTTAAAGATGGACGAGCATGTGATTGTGGGTCCCTCCGTGCCAGTGCGATATTGTGGAATCACTGCTCTTCCCTCCAAAACAGCTTCGCTTCCGGCGCCAGTACTCCTGCCAAAGGCATACAGAGCAATGTAAAAGTGGCCCACAACTTCGTCAGGGTTGTCGGTGGGGGTAATTGCCACTTTGGAACTGCAGGCGTTAGGGAATTCCATCAAATCCTTGGCGCATTTCAATCCAAATTTGTTCTTGTCTCGGTGGTCCGTCAACCAGCCATAGTTTGGACCAAACCAATTGACGCGATCCTGAACTACGAGGAATTTCCCAGTGGACGACATCCATGCCCTTTCCTCCATGTCATTCCGCTTTGCCCAGGAAGGGACGCACTCAGCTGTGCCATTCATCCACCTTCCCTGTGGCAGAATGTGGCAGTTCACGCGGTTCTGTGCTGCGCCAGTGCAGAAAGACGCGCCCATGAGAAGAGCAGCGCTCCGAAGGAACGGCATGGTGATAGAAGGAAGATAGCTTCTTAAAACAAGCGGGTGGTTGTCAAAATTATGGTCCCTTTTTGGATCCCTGTTATAATACGGCACCTAATATTTAGGGCACCCCAAAAGGGATCATAATTTTGACCAGCCACCCAGGTAGACAAGTCGCTATAAGGAACGGCTACCACTGTGAACCGCTAGTTCTGAATGGGCTTAGCCCTTCAACTTACTGGCCCAAAACCCAAGGAAATAAAAGTTGAAATTTTCAGAATAAACTACCTTATAAGAAGCCAAAAAGTTGAAAAGTTGGGTTTTGAGCCAGGAAGTCAACCATAGACGTCATTGATCGAACCCGTTCGACTCCCGACTTCGTCCTGCGAGCACCTCGTGTAAACCTAAACTTGCAAAAACATAAAGGGTTTAGGGTTTAGGGTTTAGGGTTTAGGGTTTAGGGTTTAGGGTTTAGGGTTTCCCTAACAACCAGAACTTCAAGCCCTAAACTCATGCAGCCTACAGCAGACCAAGAACATTGCTCGAACTTCCCGACTCCTTTGCAGCCTAGTCCTTGAGGGCCTAAACCCTAAACCCTAAACCCTGAATCATGTCTAAGCCACAAACCCCGGCCCTTGCAGCGGAGGCTCCGTCGGCGCGCCAGGATCGGAGCTAAGGGCGGTCAGGAAGAAGGCGCTGTGATCCTCAGCAAGGTTTGGGGTTGTTAGGGTTTAGGGTTTAGGGTTTAGGGTTTCGGGTTTAGGGTTTAGGGACCCTGAACCCTAAATCCTGAGCAAGGTTTGGGGGCTTCTAGGGGTTCGGATTTGGGGTGTACACCTTAAGGTCGAAGGTTTTAGGGCTTCGGATTTGGGGTGTACACTTTGAACCCTAAAACCTGCACCCTAAACCCTCGTTAAACGCTAAACCCCAAACCCTATACCGGCTAAATGTTGGTTTTCGGGCCTAGGGTTCAGGGTTGATGATTTGGGGTGCGGATGTGGGATGGTTTGGCATTTTTACTTTATAGGTTCACGGGTACCCTTTTTGGTGTTCGCGAACTTCAGAAAGGACCGTAAACCCTGAACCCCAAAAGGAACAAGGTATATCCGGAGCTCTACATTTTTGTTTGCCACTCGGCCGCGGCCTCCTGAACCCTATGGCCCGAAACCCTGGTCAGCAGTTTAGGGTTTAGGGTTTAGGGTTTAGAGTTTAGGGTTTAGGGCTAAAACTTCGTAAAGCCATGAAACAAGCTTTAAGGAGAGCAAGGTGCGGTGCTGAAGTCGAACTCCAGGGCTCGAATGTGGCTCCTCAGCTTAGGAGCCTTATGAGGTGCGCGGGGGGGCGAGGGGGGGGGGGGGGGGGGGGGGGGGGTTTAGGGTTTAGGGTTTAGGGTTTAGGGTTTAGGGTTTAGGGTTTAGGGTTTAGGGTTTAGGGTTTCGGGTTTAGGGTTTAGGGTTTAGGGTTTGGGGTCTGGGGTCTGGGGGTCAGGGCTTAGGGTATAGGGTTTAGGGCCTATTTCACTAGGATGGGTACGTGAATTGGGGCGCTACTCACCATTATTGAGAGCGACCTCTATTTCGGATGGTGTATATGCAAAATTGGAGTACCCCTTTTATGGAATCCCCTCAAGGGACCCCCCAAAAAAGGGTAGCACTCTTGAAACCCCCATGTTGTACTTAGAGAGGCAAGAGAAGGGGGATGTTGTTGCAAATTCTTGTGGCTCACAGAGGCGTTAAGGGTTTTGCACGAGCGGGGCGCAGCCCTAAACCCCGAACCCACAACCATTATAGACCCTAACTCCTGAACCCTGAACTCTACAACATTAAACCTTAAACCCAGAGCCCTATACGCTAAACCTTAAACTCTGCACCATATATACCCTAAATCCCAAGCTATACCCTAAACCTAAAGCCCTGAACCCTATACCCTGAAAGCCTAAACCCTAAACCCTAAACCCTAAACCCTAAACCCTAAACCCTAAACCCTAAACCCTAAACCCCGAACCGCGCACACGAGCGTCGTTGCGTGGGCCACGTGCTTCGCTGCGATGAGGCACTGGATGTGCTTGGCTATTTGCATCGGGGTGAAGTGTTGATAGTACCTTGGCTGCACAGGGTTTAGGGTTTAGGATTTAGGGTTTAGGGTTCAGGGTTTAGGGTTTAGGAAGCAGCCCAAGCCGCCTCAAATGTTCAGGGCTTCGGGCTTAGGGGCTTCAAGGCGTTAGGGGTTTAGGGCTTCAGGGCTTCGGGGCTTAGGGCTTAGGGCTTCAAGGCTTTAGGGGTTTAGGGCTTCCGGGCTGTGAGGCTTTGGGGCTTATGACGCAGGTTTTAGGCATTCAGCCTCTCAAAGATCACGGCCCCTAACGTTTCGGTCCATGCAGGCTCGCGTGCAAGGAATCATGAGGGAAGAACAGGTGTTGGCAATTACTTAGGCTCCCCTTAAGCCCTGAAACCTGAACCCTCAACCCACGTAGACCCTTATCTAAGACAGCCCTGAAAACCCTCTGAAAAATATTATTAAATATGATCCCCCTGAAGCCAATGACACAAACAAGAAAAATATCCCAGGGGCCTACCTGGTCCACATTGTGGTTTAGGGTTTAGGGTTTAGGGTTTAGGGTTTAGGGTTTAGGGTTTAGGGTTTAGGGTTTAGGGTTTAGGGTTTAGGGTTTAGGGTTTAGGGTACAAGGTGCATCCGATGAAAGCCCAGGCAGTTGAAGAAGTGTTCAACCTCGGCCTGGACCGTGGTAAAGCTGAAGATCCCCTCCTCACGGTTTAGGGTTTAGGGTTTAGGGTTTAGGGTTTAGGGTTTAGGGTTTAGGGTTTAGGGTTTAGGGTTTGGGGTTTAGGGTTTAGGGTTTAGGGTTTAGGGTTTAGGGTTTAGGTTTAGGTTTAGGGTTTAGGGTTTAGGTTCAGGGTTTAGGGTTTGGGGTCTCAGGCTACGCAGCAGTTCCGGGCTTCATGTCAAGGGGTTTAGGGTTTGGGGCTTCGGGCTGAGGGCTCACTGGGTTTCCGAACTGGGGTGCATATTTAGGGTTTAGGGTTTAGGGTTTAGGGTTTAGGGCTTGGTGGGTTATACAAGGTTAGCACAGTATGCCTCAAAACTGCAAGGAGAAACCCTACATGATGGTTGGGCATGTTCTGTAACCATTTTGCGTGTGAGTGTTTAAGGAGGCTTACGTTAACTGAACTGCTAGGACCTATGTAGGGTACTGATTTCACCCTACTTCCAGCTAAACCCTAAACCCTAAACCCTAAACCCTACCGCTCGGACAGAAGGGGACTACGAGCTGGCGCAAGGGCGTCCTTCACCACCAGCTCGAAGACGGTGCTCATAACTTCCGGCAGCGGCTCCATCTGATCCTCAGCTTATTAAGGGTTTAGGTTTAGGGTTTAGGGATTTGGGTTTAGGGTTTAGGGTTTAGGGTTTAGGGTTTAGGGTTTAGGGTTTAGGGGCGGGGTAAGTCCTTTGAAGAAACATTCGAAGACAGATCATCTTGAACCCAATCAATGGTAGGTTTGGTTTGGGGGCCCTGTAAAGATTACATAGCATGGCTTTATAAGGACTATATAGGGGCTAGGGGTATTACGAGTATAGAAAAACACAAACCTACCCTGCAATGAGGGGAGAAAACGCCCTAAACCCTAAACCCGAAACCCTAAACCCTAAAACCCAAACCCCAAACCCTAAACCCTAAACGCTAAACCATACCTGGGATCCCCGAGGGCAAAGACGTTCTCGACGGATCTGGCGTTTGCCTCCACCTCGGCTCTGCGTGTCATATCGGGGGTCCGAATACTTGCCAGTAGTTATCCCTATTTAAATATACTATAACACCCCCCCTCCCCCCCCCCCCCCCCCTAAACCCTAAACCCGAAACCCTAAACCCATCTAAACCCTAAACCCTAAACCTAAGCTCTAACCCCCCCCCCCAAAAAAAAAAAAAAAAACTAATTACTCCCACAGGGGGAAGCAAAGAGTCGATAAATCATGAGGGCGCAGGGCTAGCCCGAACGAGACAACTTAGCAGGTCTCAAGGCGCCGAGTGGAATGTGTCTTCTGGCTTTCCTTCCCACCCAGACACTCCCATACTCCTTAAAATTAAGGAAGACTCCTTAATTAAGGAATAGTTCTTAAAGGCACCTGAATAATTAGAATAGTGTTTTTTTTTTTTTTTTGGGGGGGGGGGGGTGGAGGGGGCTATTGTAGTACAATCACAGAGGGACCATGAAGGAATATTATTAGCAATATGTTATGCGTGCAGGCTGGGGGCGACCCTCACAACCTAAACACTAAACCCTCACGGCCGAAACCCATCATCTCCCCGAAGATCCAACGCCTATAAGCCCTAAACACTAAGCCCCAAAGCCCAGCGGCCATAAAAAACCCAAGCCCGAAGCTAGCCCAAGGAAAGTTGGGAGGAGGTCATGGGACTTAATAACCAATTAAAACTGTACTTATAACCCTACTTATAATATCTTTAAAGGGCCTTCTAGGGCTTATCCCGATTAGAAGTAGGGTTATAAGCCCAGTTATAAGTGGTTATTAAGTCCCATGAACCTCCAAGTATGTCCGAGGCTCTCACTACTTGTGCAGAATACCTTACGCCACGTCCCCTAGACGAACACCAGGCGCCTTTTCTATTGGGTGTTTATCCGGAAGCCCACTGTGAAGCATCTGCCTCAACATGCTGCCCTACCCACTACTGATGCCCAATTACCTGTAGAACTGAAACCACAACTCAGCCCTCCAAACCCCAGAACCCCTGAACTCCTAAACCCTGAACTCTAAACCCAAAACCCAAAACCCGAAACCCTAACTGCGCACTCTAAACCCTAAACTCTACACTCCAAATCGTGGCCTCAAACCCTTGCACCGTCTATAAGGTGTTACCAACCCACTAAACTCAGGAGCGCTAAGCCCTAAACCCTAAACCCTATTTCTAAACCCTAAACCCTAAACCCTAAACCCTAAACCCTAAACCCTAAACCCTAAACCCTAAACCCTAAACCCTAAACCCTAAACCCTAAACCCTAAACCCTAAACCCTAAACCCTAAACCCTAAACTAAGGAGCGCACTGGGCATTTCAGAGCCCTGTGCCGCTGGACGGCCTGGATGTCGGGTTTAGGGTTTAGGGATTAGGGTTTAGGGTTTAGGGTTTGGGGTTTTGGGTTTGGGGTTTAATACACCTCCTTGATTTGGGAATAAGCACCTTAAACCATACTGGAATTCTGGCGACGGGCTTTTCTTAACTAAGGAATGTATACGTACCTTAAACCATACAAGGATCTTTGTTCTGATGTAACAGCCTTGCTTCATTCAGGAATCTGCACATGAAACTGCCTGAAATTATCTGGGGATCCTTATTATAACGATCTATTCCTTAACTTACCGGTATTTGGAGGTTCAGGGTAGTTAGGAATCCATTATAAGTGTACTTACAACCCACATAGAAACCCGTACCCTAACAGGGGTAGAATTGGGTTATAAGTACAGTTCTAATTGGGGATGCGCACTCGGTTGAGAGCTGTGAGGGCTGGATGTCTTGAACCGTAATGACGCATTTGGGTTTGCGGTTTCGTGTCTCGTTAGGATTGGGTGTCAGGGTTTTTTGGGGTGTAGGGTTCTAGGATTAGGGTTGTCGGGTGTTCTGGTTTTAAGCCTTGGGGTTTAAGGCTTAGGGCTTGCAAGAACCCAACATACGAACCGCACCGACTATCATTCCTAAGGTGACTGGAGGACCTGGTGCATCCATCCCCCAGTAGATCTAGATGGGTACTTCCCAAAAAAAGGGGGACCGCCTTCCATATTAGGGGAACCCCCAAAACAAACCCCTATCTTGGGGCATGCTTGCTACTGTTGTCCAAACCGCCAAGTACATACACTCTACCATACCTAAACCCCTCTCTTGGGGCATGCTAGCTACTGGTGTCCAAAACGCCAAGTACATAAACTCTACCGGAATCATAAGGAACCCTATGTAGACTCACGAATAATACAATAACGTAAGCCGTTTTTCATATGATTTCATACTTTTCAAGTGGCCAAGCCATCACCCTACACCCTATATATATATATATGTACAGACATGCAGAAAGACAGAGACAGATAGACAGACAAACAAACATACATACAAGTGCAACCCTTTATAGAATGTAAAAATGAATACATATATATATATACATATACACATACATATGTGTGTGTATGTATATACATGTAGATATACATACATATATATATATACATGCCCATGTATGTGCGACCCTGAACCTTATGTACAAACATACATGAACAAACAAATAAATCACTAACTAAATAAATATAAATTCAAGTGAAAACATTTATACAAAGAAAAGAACCCTCAACCCGGCACCAGTCACGGCGGGTAGCCTCCAGGGCAGAGAGCTTCCAACTCTGCAGGTACCGGCGGACGTCGTTGTGGCCGTTTTGTACCTCTCGGGCTGGATTTTCAGTGGGAGTTGGCGTTGGGATTTAGGGTTTAGGGTATAGGGTTCAGGGTCTAGGGTTTTGGGGTTGAAGGTTTAGGGTTCCTCGGTGGATTGGCAGATTGGGTCTGACTTCGAGCCCGAAACCCTACACCGGAAAGCGCCCGAACAATAATGACCCGAAAACTCCATAGTAACAGGAACCCAGAAACCCCCAAGCATTCATAACAGTGAATAAAACTAATAAGAAAAAGCCAGCCAAAGCCCTGAATCCCTAAACCCTACAAAATGCCCACCCACTCTGCCAATGGCAATAGCAATAGCAGCGCAAAACAATAATAACAATAACAGAATTAAACAATGGCCAGCGAGCTCAATGTACCCAGTACCCAGAGCCCAACACCTGTCCCGAAAAAAAAACAACTCCCGCATCCCTGATCCCTCCAATCCCTAAACTCTAAACCCTAAACCCTATAAACCCTATGCGCCCTATGAGCCCTAAACCCTAAACCAAACCGCAAACTTTCCCATGCAGATCCCAGCCGCAGCGTCGTGGATGGGGAGCCTTGGTCTGGTATACGCTGGATGGGAAAGGCCCCTAAACCCTAGAAACCCTATACACCGTAAACCCTAAACCCGATAAACCCTAAACCCTATAAACACGAAACCCATAAACTGTAAACCCCATAAACCCCCCTATAACCCGTAAACCCTATAAGCCCTATGAGCCCTAAACCCTGAAGGGGGGCCCTTGAAGAGTTCCTGTCTTCACACGGCTGGATCGGCCCGCCCCGAATAGAGAACTGGGCCACATACAGCTTTACTACTATTTGCTTAAAAACCCCGCCCCGCCGCCCCCCCCCCCCCCCCCCCCAAAAAAAAAAAAAAAAAAAACACACAAACAAATATCCATCCCTATATTGGCCTTATAAGGAAGATCTTGAGCAAAGTAGAGTTGGGGATGGAGAGCTTATGGGGGGGGTGTGAAGGCTCCAGATGTACCGTTACAGGGTTGATAGGGGTTAGGGGGGTAGGGGGGGTGTAGGGTTCAGGCTTAGGGTTTAGGGTTTAGGGTTCACTTAGGGGTCTAGGTTGTGGCATTTTGTGGCTGAGGGGCTCCCTGAAGCTTCAGGCAATTTCAGGGCAGGGCTTTAGTAGGGCTTTAAGATTTTAGGACTTCGGGGGTCCTGAAAGGATTTCAGGATGAAACCCTAAACCCTAAACCCTAAACCCTAAACCCTAAACCCTAAACCCTAAACCCTAAACCCTAAACCCTAAACCCTAAACCCTACGAGCACAGCCCAAAATTCCCTCAACTAGTTCGCGGGGCCGATCCTTTAGTGAACTTGGAACCCGGCCAGTTTCTTAGGGATTAGAGTACACCAAAGAACGAAAAAGTATTCCCCAGTATCCCTAAGGATGGACCCGACTATTTGCCATCTGGCCGCAAGCCAAACCGGTCTTGCCGCAGCGAAGCGTTGCACTCCTGTTTTGGCGCCACTGGGGATCTTCCCCCTTATACTAGCAGTCCTTAAAGGGATTAGAGTATCCCCTATGATAATCCCTATTCTGTTAGGATAAGGGTGAACATCCAAAGGCGCCACCCCCCATCCCCCACCCCCCCCCCCCAGCCGCGGTTCCCTGCAAAAAGACATGATACACAGTCTGCCGGCTCTCGCCAATACAAGTCCGTCGGTGATGCCGGGAATCACAAAAATTCGCGCATGACACGTGTGGGCCTCGACATTGAAGGTTCCAAAGGCTTGGGATCAGCTCTACTACATAATTCTAGAAATGGGGGCTTCCCAAATTAGGGGTACCTGCTTGGGGTCCGAATTGTAAGGGAATCCTTCTATTTGGGGGTGTATATTGGGGGTCCCTTATTGTCGTAAACCCCCAAATCTAGAGCAGTAGTATAGATGTAGGCCTCCAGGTTTGTGGAGAGTAGGGTAATCATTGGCGGCTTCTGAGAGGCCAAAACCAAACACCCTAAACCTCAAAACTCTATAAACCTCAACACCCTACAAACCCAAAGCTTGGGATGTTGCCCCCTTATACTAACACTCTAGGGGGTACTCTTATCCCTGCTAGTAGAAGGTCCCCAACCCGAAACCCTAAACCCTAGAACCTAGACCCCCAAACTCTATAAACCTCAACACCCTAGAAGCCTAAACCCTAAACCCTAAACCCTAAACCACCAAACCACCCAAAAGTTTGTGACACCCGGCTCCTCGAGCAGGAACTTCGCCAACTTCAGGTCTCCTTGTGCGACATTTAGGGTTTTGGGTTTAGGGTTTAGGGTATAGGGTGGTGGCTAACGCTACCTACCGAAAGGCACCCGATGTAGAAGTTGTTTTGTGTAGTCTACGATAACCACCTGTAACTGACCCCTTAGATCCGAATTTAACCCTAAACCCCAAACCCTACAGACCCTTACCAGAGAGAATCGACCTTCGTTCTTGAGGCACCCTAAGCCCGAAGCTAATGTAGACCTTCAATATTGAAGCTTCAAGAGGTTGTGCTCGGTATTCCTGAATCAGCGCTGCTTGGGCCTGACAGTTGGTATCGGGTCTGATTAGGGTCTTGCTGTAGAGGGTGTTGGGGTTTTAGGGGTTTAGGGCTCATTATTGTGAGTCCTACCCTGGCCGCCTGTTGGATGGGCAGAAAGCTCGGAAGGAGCTGCGTAGACTTGCACAAGAACTTGTCTTGGGCGGATCCCAAGTCTCTGTCTCTCTCTCTCTCTCTCTCTCTCTCTCCTGTCTCTTGGGGTTTTAGGAACTTTCCGCTTCCTCTTCTCTTCACAGGGTTTGGGGGTTGCAGTTGGCGAGGACATGCAGAAGTCACTGTGGGCAACAACAGGGCCCCAGAGAAACACCCTAAACCCTAACCCTCAGCCCTAAACCCTAAACAGTCAGGAACCTAAACCCTCAACCCTCAACCCTAAACATCAACAGCTCGGAACCTGGCCTGCAGCTGCCGCCAGATGCAGGGGCGTGCGCATGTCGTAGGCTGTCCCTTCCTGCACAAAACTGTTTCAACCCCCGCCCCTTCCGCCGTTTGGGGCTTAGGGCTTAGGGCTTAGGGCTTAGGGTCTAGGGCAACGTGTCGATATGACCAGAATATGAGGGACTACATGCATTCGAGGAGTTTCAACTAGAGGGAGGGTATAAAACGGTGCCCCTGGCCAGCCAGACTTAGGCTGGGGTCTGCGCGGCACCCATAGACTTGAAGGTGCCTAATTCTACTAGATTCCCAGTCATCTAGGAATAGGAGGGTAGCTTTTTGTGTCTGCATATCATGATAACAAAAAAAGGGAAGTTGTCTCACACTGCCCCACTGGAAAGTAAGCTGGAGCCCCTACTTGCAAGCCCTTTTGACTTAGTAAGAAGCTGGGTTCTGGGGATTGTCAAGGGCTGTCTAGGGGACACTAAGTAGACTTACCAAGTCAAAAGGGCTTCCAGGTAGGAAGCACACTTGCTCCAACTCTCACGCCAAAGTGTCGTTCGGATCAGCTTTCGCTTCGATCAGGATCCGAATGCCTCGCAAGATAGCGCTGATATTGAGAACCTCGTAGGGTTTAGGGTTTAGGATTTGGGGTTTACGATTTTTTAGGGCCGAATCTACAAGTTGCCAGGGAGACCAATACTGGGCGGTTTCTTTTGGGATGTTCCCCCTTATACTAACAGTCCTTCATACGGGTTTTCATAGGGAGTACTATAATCCCTATTAAGGACTGTTAGTATAAGGGGGAACATCCCAAGGTTTGTTTGTTAAGGAAATGATGTAGTACGGGGATCGATCCTGGGTCACTTCACACTGCTTCACATTAAAAACAAGCTGAGGCATAACAGATGCTGAACGACCTCACAGTACTGAAAAAAAGTGGGGATGGAACGAACAACTTTGCTCCCCAAACCCCGATAATTACCTTCAATCCCTCAACAAAACCCTGCACCGTTAAAATGCTGAATGTTGCTTAGGGTTTAGGGTTTTGGGTTTATAGGGTTTAGGGCGTCTTCTGGTCCATGATTTCATCAACTGGGGGCTCGACCATCAATATCGCCGTGCGCGGCGCAGTCACACACCAAACCTCGGCGAGGAACTTCTATAGGTGGTAGAGGCAGGGCATCCAGCCCCTTATCACCCTCTAACCCTAAAACCCTAAAACCCTAAACCCCCAAAACCCTAAACCCTAAACCCTCATGCCCCAAGTGACCTTCATCGCAACCGGTGTTGCTGCATGTGTGCTCCTTTTCAGTCTCATCCTGTCCTAGTTGCGGTAGGGATCTGCTACTTGCATCGCCCTTCCATGTCAGCCTGTACTGCGTGGAGCTTCATTTGGGTAGATATGAGTAGGGTTGTATAAGTGGTCTAACATTTCTTATACCCCTATTCAGGGCACTTATAACCCTACTGTTAACTACCCACATGAACCTCCAAGTAGTGGAACTTGCAACAAACCCTAAACCCTGAACCCTAAACCCTAAACCCTCAACCCGTGGAACTTGCAACCAGTGGCCGGTCAGAGCGGGCTGTGGTAGGCATGTCAGCGTACTTGCCGGCGGCAATCGGGCCCGTACGAAAGGGTGAGCGTCGGCACAACCTCGATGTTGGGGTTTAGGGTTTAGAACTTAGGGTTTCGGGCATTTAGGGTTTTATAATGGACAAGCAACTTTGGGAAGGCAAGAGGCAAGATGTTTGGAGAATGTCGCTTGTGCATCTTGCTTGCAGCCTCATGTAATGGCACTGCCACACTGCACCAGCAGCCCTGCACCCTCAATGCCGGGCCTATGCCACCCTAAACCCTAAACCCTAAACCCTAAGCCCTAAGCCCTAAGCCCTAAGCCCTAAACCCTAAACCCTAAAACCCTAAGTCGTCACTGGACAACTGACACAACCCTGGACCGGCTCTGCTAACGAGAGTGGCACTCCATCATACATCACGGCAGGCACCATTGTACATCTAGTATAGGGGCCTTAACAATTAGAACAGGGTTTTGGGGGTTCTGATAGTGTTTGTACATCTAGTGTAGGGGCATTAATAACTAGAAGAGGGTTTTGGGGGGTTCTTATAGTGAAATTGCAAAGGGACCATAAGGGAATACTACTGGAAATTATTCCGACCCCTAAAGTTTAGGCCCTAAAGTACGTGAGGGGGGGGATGTCCTAAGCCAGGGGCCAAGTTTATGGACCGTCCGTTTAAGGAGCCCACTTGCAGAAGCTGATGCTCTAGAGACTCAAGTCTCGAAAACCCCCCCGCCCCCCCACCCACGCACCCCCGATAGCTTCGACGAGGCACTCATGGGAGTGACCAGGCTAAGCGATCCGCGCGGAGGGTGGCAAAAAAGCACATATGGCTGCGGGATGAGAGGCTCTAGGTTTAGGGTTTAGGGTTTGGGGTTTGGGGTTTGGGGTTTAGGGTTTAGGTAGAATGGCTCTCCTCAAGAGCTCGACCGATGTGTTGCCTGAGGTAGCAAGACTGGGGGAACTTCATCAGCAAGACGGCTTCCAGCGCACAGCTTTATGCTGCTGGCTGTCAAGCCCCCTGCTGCTTCTCCGTTCTGCATCTGCAACCCTCAACCCTCAACCCTCAACCCCAACCCCTAAACCCTAAACCCTACACCCCAAACCCTATATACCCCAAACCCCAAACCCTAAACCCTAACCCCAAACCCCACAATTGAAAAGGTTTTCTCAGGAGGGCTTGCAGTTCAGAGCGATGCATCCTTGGGGAGCGGGCTGTGCGCGTGAGGCAGTGGGGAGCACTGTCCTGACCAACCAGCTCATCAAGATGACATGCATATATATATATACATATATATGTATACACATATGAATATATACGTAACATAATATGCATGTACATATACATGTAAAATACATATACATATACATATACATATACATATACATATACATATACATATACATATACATATACATATACACATACATATACACATACACATACACATACATACACATAGACATATACATTAACTCCAGGAGTCCTTCCAGCGCGCTGTAGTGCTGCCCCGCTCATTGCTATGACTTGTGTTTCAGTTCGCTGTTAGTTGTGAAATGGGGGACGGGCGCTTTCGCTTTTTCGATGATGGTGCCCACTAACTTGCGGGATGTGTTGTTAGCTCGCCTAGAAGATGTGCAGCCATGAACACTTACACAGTGTGAGCATGTGCAGCCTGCTGTTGTCCAAAAGCACGAGCCGAATGCGCCCAAAAAAGCTTCCCGAACCTCAAACTCTAGACACCCGAACTCCGCCCTAAACCCTAAACCCTAAACCCTAAACCCTAAACCCTAAACCAACGCTAATGACCGTACAGCAGGACATCACCAAAGCAACGGACTCCAGTGTTTCCTCACACTGGGCTACCAAGTACTACACGAAAAAGGCACTACGTTAGCAGGGTTTAGGGTTTAGGGTTTAGGATTTAGGGTTTAGGGAGCCCCCCCGGTAGGGCTCGAAAGGGTTAGGGTTTCCAGCGATGGCCCTTGGAACTGCCGTCTGACTGCACAGACACGGGGGCACACCATCTCCAGCGTATCCCAGGCGGACTTCAGTGACTCTCCATAGTTGATTCCCACCCAAAGTCCTCACAGTGGCGGCAAGACAAAGAAATCACATGGGCGTGTGCAACGTGGTCTGGCTCAGCACTGAATTCCATTGTGTACTTCGTGTGTACATGTGCTGAAGGTAGTCTTGTAGCAACTCGCATCTTCTAGGGAGGTTGGGGGACCCCCCCCCCCCCCCCACCCCCCGCTATGTTTTTGGTGGGCAAGACATGATCAGCGACATTCAGCGACTTTCCATGCGCGAAAAAGCCCAGCCCACTGTGCAACAGGCCCTGAACCCTAAGCTCTTAAGCCCTTTCTACAACCTTTTTCTACACTGAACCCTAAGCTCTAAGCCGGTTCCCCAAACCTTTTCCGCTCTGAACCCTAAGCTCTAAGCCTGTCTAAGCCTTTTCCTCACAACCTTTTTCCGTTGAGATTTTGGGGCCTAGGGTTTTGGACCAGACTGGGGGGGTCACGGTCCTAGCATCGAGCCCAGGATAATGCCCGACCAAAAGTCGCTCAATGGCCGCCTTGCAGACGTGGGCCAGATTTCTAGGGTGCCAAGTATGGGCCCTTCGTCTGGGGCCCTTGGGGCTTCAGGCATGTGAGGTTTTGTCCCTAAACCCTAAACCCTAAACCCTAAACCCTAAACCCTAAACCCTAAAGGCGGGGTGGACTTCCAAAAGCGAGCTTGGGGATGGCAGTCAAGCAAACTTGTACACTGAAGCGAGCGCCGATCCTTTCGCTGAGCAGAACTACGGTTAAAACTTCCACAATGTAGCACGGTAAGGGTACTTTGGGGGTTCATGGGTGGTCATAAGTAGGGTTATAAAGTCAGTGTGGAAACTCTACATATAACCCTATGTAGAGTATATAACCCTACTTAGAACTACACATGATGCTCCAAGTAAGAGTGCATGGCTTCTTTCCTTTCGACAGCAATTTGCCACAGGTGAGGCTGCCTGGCTGCGTCTTGCCTGCATCCCCGCGACATCAGCTTCGCGATCCCAGAAAGGCCAAGGGCTTTGGGGTTTAGAGCTGAGGGTTTGGGGCTTGGGGTTTAGGGTTGCCGAAAAAAAAGTACGACGGTGTAGCCCTAAACCCCTCAAACCTCCCAAGCACCCCAAAGCCCCCCCTCCCCTAAACCCCGCAGCCCTAAACCCTACTTACAGGTTCATGGGTACTTGTAACCACAATGATAAGTCTACTTTTCACCTACTTAGGGGACTTTGGGAGCTTATAAGTACAGTTATAATTGGGGCTAGGAGTACCCTGAACCTCCAAGTAAACCCAGCATTACGGGCAGATCCGGACATGCGCCAGGGCCTGGCAACCTCGACTCTGGAGATGTCGTCCAACTCCTGGGGGTTGGGGTTCAGGGTTTAGGGTTTAGGGTTAGGGTTTAGGGTTCAGGGTTTAGGGTTTAGGGTTCAGGGTTTAGGGTCTGGGGTTTGAGGTTTAGGGTTTGGGGTTTGGGGTTTGGGGTGGTTTAGGGTTTACGCCTTAGTAGGGTTTAGGGGTATCATGCTGTTGAAGAACAAAGTGTCTGTGTGTGCATCTATATATATATATATATATATCTCTCTACTTTTCCATGTAAATTGACATGTACATACGTTGTGGTTGTAGGGCTCCAGGGCTTGCAGGGTTTGGGCTCCAGGGCTTACGGGTTCTGGGTTCTGGGTTTTGCGGTTTTCGGGCCCTGGGGGCTTTGAAGGTGTTCAGGCTCGAACGTTCCCAGTGCCCTGAGGCTAAGGGGCATGCCTTAAGATTTAGAAGGGTTTAGGGTTAAGGTTTACGGTTTAGGGTTTAGGGTTCAGGGTTTAGGGTTTAGGGTTTAGGCTTCCCAGGGGAGCCAGTACACACTCAGAATTCTACTGGCAAATGCGCCCGACAGTGTCTAGGTGATTTCCTCAAGATAGGTTTAGAGGTTGGAGGGTCTACCGTTTTTCGGGCTTGCATGAAATAACTTGTAGGGCTGTAAAATCGGATTTAGGGGGCCGCCTTCTCAGAGGCCTCCTCATAGGAGAATAATATCGGCAAGCCCCACAAAACTATTGGAAGCCCTTTCTGTGACTTAGCAAGTCTACTTAGTATCCCCGTAGAAACCCTAAGGGGTTTGCAGGGTTCAGAGCTTTAAGGTTTTAGGGTATTAAGGTTCTAGGGTTTAAGGTTTTAGGGTTTTAGGGTTCTTATATAAGGGCTTTGGAATAGAATGGAGGCGAGTAGGCGAGAATAAGAAGCCTCCCGCCCCCCCCCCCGCACCCCTCCTTTCGGGTACTTAGTTCGGGTGCGAATCGCTGCGCCTAAATTGAAACGAAAGGCGCACTCCCTGCAGTTGCACACCCATCATTATCCTAAGAAACTCTAAACCCCTAAACCCCGAAAGCTACAAGCCCTAAACCCCTAAACCCCGACACCTACCAAAAAAAAAAAAAGCCCTGAACCCACGTCCAGGGCCCAAACCCCCAAACCGCGAAACAAAAACACACTGAACCCAAGTCTAGGTCCCAAACCCCTAAACCCCGAAACCTACAAAACAAACAAAAAAGAGAACCCTAAACCCTAAACCCTACACCCTAAACACCCTGAACCCAGGTCCAGGTCCTTGGCCGAGTAGAGGTTGCCATAGAGGCCAGCCAAGACCAAGGCTGGGTAGAAGATGGCAGCCATGAGCTCTCAGAAGCCCCCAAGAAGGAGCCCTAAACCCTAAACCCTGAACCCTAAACCCTAAACCCTAAACCCTAAACCCTAAACCCTGAACCCTAAACCCTAAACCCTTCGAGATGAAGAAGCATGTTGCCAGACTCCGCGATTCGATGGGCTCGCGTTCCAGGAATCCTTTTCCAGGCTCTTGGAGCCTTCAGCGTGGGGAAGAAGTCTCTAGCCTCTGTACTAAAGTATTGTGGACACTCTCGGGCCCATGCGCCGTGTGGCAGAAGACATGCTGCTGCTGACCCATGTGCGGATGCAGATTGAGCCTGTGAGAGTGCGGGGAGTGTCGCAAACAGAGGGTTTCATAAAGATCATGAATTGAAAGCTCCTGCCGGTTGACCACTGCCTGCTCACAAGTGCAGTCTAAGCTCGCACACACACACACACACACACCTCAAGTTGATAATCTAATCATCGGCCCTCGTGTCCTTAGCAGCCTCAAGGGATTTACGTGGAGTACCCTGCGAGGACATGCCCCGGGTTCCCCTCCAAGTCCTAAACCGCCCTAAGCCCTGCCATCACCGCTTTCAAGGAGTCTGACTGCAGGTTCGCTCGGTCGCTCCCGAGCATGAGGTGCCAGCGCCCTCTTAGGGGCTCCTCATCGGGCAAGGGGACCTGGTCTTCGCCGAGCATGTAGAGCGCGGCGCCGGCATCCAGGAGCTTGGCATACTCTGGGCCCCCGGCCTGCTTCAGTGCGGCCCTGACCTGGGGGTTTATCCGCGAATAAGGGGCCTTTTGCCCCCCAAAGAGTAGGATACCCTTAGAAAAAGGACCCCATAAGGTACCCCTGACATCGTAAACCCCCCAAATCCCTAAACCCTAAACCCTAGGCCCCCACCTGCTTCATTGTGGCCACCTCTGGCAGCATCAGCGTCACGGCCTCGGCCGTGAGGACGTTGTGCACGCTCACGGGAACCTTACTTCTCCAGTAACCAAGGGGGAAAAAAGGATAACACTTTCTTGTTGCTACTCAATAAGAAAAAGGTTAAACTTTCTTGTTCCTACTCAATAAGGAAAAAAAGGTTAAACCTTCTTGTTCCTACTAAATAAGGAAACCCAACAAGTCTTTAAAAAAAGAAGCTTCAACTATCGGCTCGGAACTGTGGCGTTTTCTATTAAATAAGGAAAAAAGGCTAAACCTTATTGTTCCTACCCCCAAAAAGGTTTAAAACTTCAACAATTGGCTAGGGAACTGTGGCGTAGGAGAGGTTGACCTGAGGGTTCTCGGAGTCCTTCTCCTTGGCTTCGGGAAGCCCGAGGCCCAGTACCAAGAGCTCCCTCCGGGTACCTATGCTGAACTTGGCACCCTAAACCCTAAACCCTAAACCCTAAACCCTAAACCCTAAACCCTAAACCCTAAACCCTAAACCCTAAACCCTAAACCCTAAACCCTAAACCCTAAACCCTAAACCTAGGGATTATAGCAACAAAAACTAAAAATATTTTCCAAGTGCCCCTAAGGTACCCAGAGGCTCCTCATCTGCAAACTGCTTGAAGGTGTTTCCAGTCCTCTCCACGAGCTGCATGCGCTGGATGGCATCCGCAGTGCGGCCCACGAGGCGTACCAAGGCTTGCCTGGGATGGTCAGCCCTACATATATTCGTGGCAAGCTCTCAAGAAGGGAACATAAAAATCTCTTAAACTTAAGAAGAGTATATAGTCCTGTTCACCCAAACAACGGAAATCATACATCCTGTTTAACCCAAGAAGTGAAAACAAACAGATTATCCCAAGGGCCTAGTTGCTTGACCTGCATCATCGTCGCGTTGGAGGGTACGGATATCAGGGCCTCGCCGGCCCGCGTGCCGTGGCGTACCAGCACCTCCACCTTGGGTTACCAAGATGAACGAACCCTAAACCCTAAACCCTAAACCCTAAACCCTAAACCCTAAACCCTAAACCCTAAACCCTAAACCCTAAACCCTAAACCCTAAACCCTAAACCCTAAACCTCATGAACAAGGTCTAGATCGATGAGCCCCTCGTCGAGATTTTGTAGTGCACGCTCGGGACTTAGACTTAGATGGCCTAAGTGTACGGTCATGGGGTACATGGGGGAATCCAAAAAGCTTAATCTGGTCCCCAACTAGTCTAAGAGTGGGGACCCCTTATATACCCTATAGAACCCAAGGGTCCATTGTTCAGAACCCTTTAACGAAGGTAAAGGACCATACCAAGGCACCATGTAACTACCCTTCGAACTTGGTACCCAAGAGAAACCTAGGAAAAAAAACAAACGGCACCCTTTTTTTTGTTTAAAGGGATGGGAAACAAAGCCCCCTAACAAAGGGTAGAAGGGCCTAGTCTGGGTCCTAGCCCTAAACCCTAAACCCTAAACCCTAAACCTTAAACCCTAAACCTAAACCCTACACCCTACACCCTACACCCTACACCCTACACCCTACACCCTAAACCCTAAACCCTAAACCCTAAACCCTAAACCCTACACCCCAGCCAAGGTACTCGGCTGACTTCGACGCGCTCCTTGGGCTTGGGCTTGGCACCCTGGGGACGCTCGGGAAGATCGGCGCGAGGCTCTGGCTGTAAGTCTCCAGGAGCCTGACCTCGGTTTAGGGTTTAGGGTTTAGGGTTTAGGGTCTAGGGTTTAGGGTTTAGGGTTTAGGGTTTAGGGTTTAGGGTTTAGGGTTTAGGGTTTAGGGTTTAGGGTTTAGGGTTTAGGGTTTAGGGTTTAGGGTTTAGGGTTTAGGGTTTAGGGTTTAGGGTTTAGGGTTTAGGGTTTAGGGTTTAGGGTTTAGGTCTCCAGGAGCCTGACCTCGGCTCCCCAAAGGGCCAAAACACCTCCGAAGTTTACTTTAAGGATTCCTATATAGTTTAAGGTGGTTCCACAAAGAGCCCAAATACCTCCTAACTCAAGGAATCTACCAATAAGGGTTCCTATAGCGTTTAAGCTGGTTCAGGAAAATGCCCACATTCCCCTGAATACCTTAAATTCAGACTTCAAAGATTCCTGCATGGTTTAAGGTGGTTCCCCAAAAGGCCCACATACCCCTGAGTTAAGGACTTGATATCTTGAATCATACTTCAATGATCTCCGTATAGTTTAAGGTACCTTGGTTCGCCGAAGAAGAGCCCCGTACCCCTTCATCAAGGAATCGACCTTAAATCACTTAAATCATACTTTAAGCATCCCTATGAAGTTTAAGGTCTCTTCCTTGGCTAAGCGGTTTTTGGAGCTCTCTGGGTTGCTGGTAGGGCTGAGGCGCTGCAGAGGCAGGCGGATATGTGTCCATCTTGTGGCAACTTGCGTTAAGCTGCTCAAATCTAGAGACCCGAGACACCCTAGACACCCTAGAGACCCTAGAGACCCTAGAGACCCTAGAGACCCTAGATACCCTAGATACCCTAGATACCCTAGATACCCTAGATACCCTAGATACCCTAGATACCCTAGATACCCTAGATACCCTAAACCCTAAACCCTAGAAAACCTACCTAGATACCCTAGTAGATGCCCTAGATACCCTAGGTACCCTAGATACCCTAGATACCCTAGAGGCCAGTGTAAAGAACTAAGCAGCCCAGTGGCCCGGAGAAGCCGAAAGGTCGTCGCCCTTGGCGGCCTCTGAGTCTTTGTCCGGTGCCTCCATCTTCTCCTCAGGTCTCTCGTGGTGCAAGTGCGCCACTTTGAAAACCCAAAGCTTCGTTGATCCACTATACGCGCATATACATATATATATATATATATTGTTGTATATATATATATGTATATGTATATATATGTATATATATATATATGTATGTATGTACACATGTATATATATATATAACCCATCGAAAGGTTTAAAAAAAAAAAAAAAAAAAAAAAAAAAAAAAAAAAAAAAAAAAAAAAAAAAAAAAAAAAAAAAAAAAAAAAAAAAAAAAAAAAAAAAAAAAAAACTTTCCAAAAGCAGTCGCGACTCCAGCGCATCCCAGTCCAGCAGTGAACCTGGGTAGCCCAGCAACCATGTGAGAATAAGGGTGCCCTTCTTGTGGGTTGGCTACTTTAGAAGGGAACCTTGAAGCAAAACAACAAAAAGGGTACCCTAAACCCTGAACCCGAAACCTTAAACCCTAAATCCTTAACCCTAAACCCTTATAAACCCTAAACCCTAAACCCTAAATCCTAAACCCTAAACCCTAAACCCTAAACCCTAAACCCTAAACTGGGCTACGGCTACCAAGGAACTCCGGGTTCGGGGTGAGCTTGCTTTTGCCTTCGAAACCTGGCCCTGCTCCGCGTTCGCCTGGCTCTCGTGGCCATTCGGCGGGCTGCTTGTGGCTACTTTTGACCTTCGTTTCTCAGTTCATAGGCCCCGAAAGTGTACACTTTCAGTTCTATAGTGGATTACCGTATCTCAAAACAGGTGTAAAGCGTGCTCACTCAGCTACGAAGTGACGCAGGAGGGCTCACTGACAACACTGGGGTAGTCCCATCTCCGTTCCTCGCGGCTGCTGTCTGTACAGCCGGCTCAGCTTTGCTCGCGCCCGTTCCTTGCTCCACTTGCTCTGCTTGTCCACCAACCGAAGCGGCGGAAGATAAGGTCTGCTGCGTAACCCATTTGCGCAGCTGCTGCTCCACAATTGGATTGCCCGCAGCTGCCTTGGCAAAGGCGGATGCTTCAGGTGGAAGCTGCTTGATAGCCGCATCCGACAGGGTCGAGGCAGCTGCGGTCGCCGAGGCCTCTGAGGCACCGTCGCTCTTGCTCCCAACTGCGGTCTGTCTGCTCGACTGCAGGTCTTTCTTCGGATCGGAGGCCTGAAAACCGAGGACAGGCTTTCGACATCAAAAGCAGTTGACACCTCAACACCCTTCTCAGTTCCCCATGTCGGCATGAAAAGTTGCCAAGTTCTCTAAGCAGGTTGCAGAACCTCCCCTTCCTCAAGATACGAGTATGCATGGGTCGGAGAAGGGCTCTAGGTTGCCCAATAAGAATGAACAAAGCATGTCATGCTTTGCTTCTTGGGGTTGACATAGGATCCTAATCCTTACCCCCCAACCCTGAACCCTTCAAATGGAAAAAAAAGGCAACCAGGCATCGAAGGGTCCTAGGGCTTCAACCCTTCTGCAACCAGAGATGCCTTGCTGTCAGAGCCATCTTGAGCTGGGGTCTCTTCTGCCCTGAAGCGGTGGCTACGAGAAAAATCGAGAAGGGCCAATAGGGTCTGGGATTTATAGGAAGGTGCCCAAAGTATCTGCAACTCTGCGAAACCCTAAGCCCTAAACACATGCGATCGGTGCCCGGGGCCACCATTTCAGGTTGGGTCTATCCGACCAGACACCGTTCGGTAGCAGCGCCGTTTGCAACCCTTAACCCTGCGCCGCAACAGCGGGGGATTGCGGAACCGGGGCTTAGGCTTAAGCAAAACAATTCCCGGCCCCCACCAATGATTGTACTGTTGCCTAACACTGTTCTTGTTGGATGTAAGAGATAGGGGTTCGGGTGAAGATGTAGAAAAAACTAGGAACGACCGACCGATGTCGAGACTAGTAGCCGGGCGCTTTGTCACTGCTGGCCGCATTTGTCGTTTGCTCTTGTTTTCTGGTGTCGCTTGCATCGTTTGTTTTCCGTTGCCGTTTTCGGTGAGTGGTTTTCCGGCAGCTCCCTGTGAGGAAGCAACCCTAAACCTTAAACCCTAAACCCTAAACCCTAAAACCTAAACCGCATTTCTTGGCATCTCCAACAGTTCGGAGACCGAAGGCTCCCCTGGAAAAAAACAAATTGAAAAAACAAATTGGAAAAAACATATACTATAAAGCTGGAACCCGAAAATACCGAAAACAATGGCGACTCCCATCCGGGCCCTGGATTAGGGTCTGGCGTTTTAAGTCAGACTCATGCAGATGAGCCACGAGCCCAAATTCCGGGCATGCTGCTCCCAACCATCAGTGACCTTCTGGAGCAGGCCCACGACTTCGCGAACTGACTCCTTGTGGGCTTTCGGGTTTCAACTTTAACCCCAAGTGCCAGAATATGGGGGGGACCCAGGGTTTGGGGTTTAGGGTTTAGGGTTCAGGGTTTAGGGTCTAGGGTTAGGGTTTAGAGTTTAGGCTTCATTGCTTAGGGCTTAGGGTTTGGGGATTTAGGAATGCCTGCCAAGGAAACCCTGGACCCTAAACCCAACATGTCAAAACCGAACCGAACACCCGGAACCGAAGCGCCAGTCCCCGCAACCCGCAACCCTGCGTCGCATCCACTAAGGCCCAAAACCCCAGAACCTTGAAGGGTTTAGGGTTTAGGGCTTAGGGTTCCTGAACCCCTAACCCCGAAACCCTGAACTTTGAACCTCTTCCCTGAACCCTCAACCCTAGACTACCATTTGCCGAAGAACCCCCAAAAATTGAAGAACTATATTCCCTAGATTACCTTCTTCAGCAGGCTGTATATGATTTTATTGGTTGGAGGGGTTCTGAAGCAAATAGCCCTAAAGCCTACACCCCAAACCCTACACCCTAAACCCTAAACCCTGAACCCTAAACCCTAAACCCTGAAACCTGAACCCTAAACCCTAAACCCTGAACCCTACACCCCAAACCCTAAACCCTGAACCCTAAACCCTAAACCCCAAACCCTAAACCCTAAACCCTAGACCCTAAACCCTAAACCCTGAACCCTAAACCCTTAACCCTAAAGCCCAGCTGCGTAAGTCGGCGCGTCATTCTGCTTCGGCGGCTCCGATGTCTCCTCCGTTGCCTTTGCTGCGCTGGCCTGGGCAGGGCCACGTGCTTTTTGTAGGGTTTAGGGTTTTAGGGTTCGGGGGCTTAGGGTTTGGGGTTTCGGGGTTGAGGGTTTAGGGCTTTAGGGTTTGGAGACTTGGGGTTTCGGGTTTAGGCCTGCGCGTTAGGCTTTGGGGTTTAGGCCTGGTGGCCCAGTATCAATATTACAATAAGGGCACTTTCGGTTTTCTTTGGAGGGGGGGGGGGGGTGGTTACTTTACAAGGGAACCTTGATCCAAAAAAAGGGCAAAGGATACCACTGGGCTACCAAAAATCGTCTGCCCCCTCGCCGAAACCCTAAACCCTAAACCTTAAACCCGAAACTCGAAACCCTAAACCCTAAGCCCTAAACGCCTTGGAGGCTTAGGGTGCTCCAGGGAGCTGGGGACTCTAGGTCTACATTGGCTTATGCCTTAATTGGATGCTGGAGAACAAGAAAGGAGTCTTATCGAGACCTTGACATCGCGCTCAACCAATGGACTCTTCCAATTGGGATCAAGGGGGCGCCTAACGCCGTCAATAATGACACCTTCCTTCAAGATGGTGTCAATCGCGCGGCCTTGGCTGTCGACGTCGCTCGTGAGCGCCGGTCTGGCAGGTTCCGTGGCCAGCCTGGCGGTATAGTGTGGGTACATCGGAGCTGCCTCTGCGTAGGCATACGCCATCGCAGTGCGGTCGAATTGCTCGTTGGCCTCAGACTTGCACAGTGTCGCGTAACAGCACGCAGCCAAAGCGAGGCCACCAAGGGAGAAGTCCATGCCCGTCACGTCAGAGGTAACCAGGACGCCTCCTTGGCTCATGGCACGCATCTTGTCGAAGTCATCAAGCACTCTCTTGACTCCTTCATCGTTCGAGGAGAAGCCGATTCCAGACGCAGCCTCCAAATAAACCGGCACTGCGTTCTGCAACGCAGTACTGAGGTTAGGGTTCCGAGGATTAGGGTTCAGGGTTTCAGGTTTAGGGGTTGAGGCTTGCGGTTTAGGGTTTTGGGCATAGGGTTCAAGGCTCAGGGCCTAGGGTTAGGGTTTCAAGGATTAGGGTTCAGGGTTTCAGGTTTAGGGGTCGAGGCTTAGGGTTTAGGGTTTTGGGCGTAGGGTTCAAGGCTCAGGGCCCAGGCTTAGGGTTTCAAGGATTAGGGTTCAGGGGTTTAGTTTTAGGGGTTGAGACTTAGGGTTTAGGGTTTTGGGTGTTGTTTTCATGCTTAGGGCCTACCTAGGGTCAGGGTTTCAAGGATGAGGCTTAGGGGTTTTGGGTTCAAGGCTTCTTAGGGCCTACGGTTTAGTTCTCAAGGATCAGGGTTCAGGGTTTAGGGGTTGAGGCTTAGGGTTAGGGTTCAAGGCTTAAGGCCTGGGCTGAGGGCTTCAAGGATTAGGGTTCAGGGTTAAAGATTTGGGGGTTGAGGCTTAGGGTTTAGGGTTTAGGGTTTAGGGTTTAGGGTTTAGGGTTTAGGGTTTAGGGCTTAGGGTTCAACGCTTAGGGCCTAGGGTTAGGGTTTCAAGGATTAGGGTTCAGGGTTCTAAGATGTGAAGTGGGGTGCGTACCGCTTGGGCCCGCACGGAGGTCTCCTGGCAGGAGTTTGTAGGGTCATCTGAGAGGAGAGTATGTTGCAGTACGGGCTCTCCTTTTTGGATTCAAGCTTTATAGGGCTGTTCTTCTGGGCTGAGGTTCCCGCAAACAGAGCCCATAACTTTTCGTCCAGCCCCATTTTCCCATGGGCTTAAGGTTTAAGCTTCAAGCTGCAGGGTTCAGGACCCAACACAAACAAAACCAACTAAATACTGTGGACATAAGCAAACCCTGAGCCCGAATCCCTAAACGCTTGGCGTGCCTTGGCCAACTCCTTGAAGTACATCACAGCACTCAGCGCCTGCTGGGCGCTCGCCTGTCGAAGAGGGCTGAGGGGTTCAGGGTTTAGGAGTTTAGGGCTTAGGGTTTAAGGGGTTTAGGGTTAGAGGTTTCGGGGTTTCGGGGTTTCGGGGTTTAGGGTTTGGGCTTCTTCTTGGTTAGAGCTTATGTGTCCAGAGTGGAGGGCTGGGGGCTTAGTTTGCAACATGGGGATTGGGGATCGAGGTTCGGAGTCAGTCTGGGCTTTGGGATTCCAAAGGTCTCTTGACAAGACCTGGACGCAGGGTGCACTCATATAAGGACGTCATGCATAAGACATCGACCTGCCGGAAGGTGCAGGAGAACCCCTAAACCCTAAACCCTAAACCCTAAACCCTAAACCCTAAACCCTAAACCCTAAACCCTAAACCCTAAACCCTAAACCCTAAACCCTAAACCCTAAAGCCTAAACCCTAAAGCCAAAACCTTAGCCATGAAGCCTACACCCTAAACCTTGAGCAAGCCTTGTTCCGCATCAGCAACTCCACCTCCATCCACAGTTCGCACACCTGCGGGTTGATGATTTAGGGCTTAGGGCTTTAGGGCTTAGGGTTTAGGGTTTAGGGTTTAGGGTTTAGGGTTTAGGGTTTAGGGTTTAGGGTTGAGGGTTCAGGGTTGAGGGTTCAGGGTTTAGGGTTTAGGGTTTAGGGTCTGAACCAGAAACGGCAGTTCGGCCGGAATCCCGAGGACCTGGGCCCTACTTGGCTGACCCTGCGCACCCTGAACCGTAAACGATACACCCCCAAGCGTGCTGGGTGGATAAAGGTTCAGGGTTTAGGGTTTAGGGTTTCGGGTTAGGGTTTAGGGTTTAGGGTTTAGGGCTTAGGGTTTAGGGTTTAGGGTTTAGGGTTTAGGGTTTAGGGTAGGGTTTAGGGCTTAGGGTTGAGGGTTTCGGGTTCGGCATCAGGGCCGGGTTTCTGGTTCACTTCGGGAAGTGGACGAAGTAGGGGAACAAGGAGCTCTGGTTCTGGGCTCAGGGTTGCGCGCTTCACGGTCGGAGTTTACAGTTTAAGGCTTAGGGCTTTAGTGCTGCGCTGTACAGATTTGCCCCTAAACCCTAAACCCTAAACCCTAAACACTAAACCCTAAACCCTAAACCCTAAACCCTGAACCCTAGACCCTAAACCCTAAACCCGAGAACTCAGGTCGAGGACCGGGAAAGCCAACCAGTCTGTGCACATGTTGGCACACACCCCCTACTTGGAGGTTCATGCTACTTAGGGTTTAGGGTTTAGGGTTTAGGGTTTAGGGTTTAGGGTTTAGGGTTCATGGTACTTACTAACCAATTGTAACAGTACTTGTACTGTACTTATAGGCGCCTTAAGTGCCCTAATATGGTTATAAGTACAGTTACAGGTACAGTTATAACTGGCTAGACTTATAAGCCCCTTAAGTGCCCTAATATGGTTAACAGTTATAACTGGTTTGGAAGTACCATGAACCTCCAAGTAACCTCCGATCAACTCCGCTGGCAAGACATGTGGTCAGCGTCACCCTATGGAGTTTAAGGGAATGAACCCTAAACCCTAGACCCTAGACCCTAGACCCTAGACCCTAGACCCTAAACCCTAAACCCTAAATCCTAAACCCTAAACCCTAAACCCTAAACCCTAAAGCTACAGTAGGCCACTAGGAGCCAGGAATGGCTCAAACCGTACATCAAGGTCCATGGCACAAAGCAGGGTCAAATTCCCAGAAAGGTTTCCGAGTATCAGGGGGATAAAAGTGTACTACAGGGCCTAGAGATACTTAAATTGTAAAAAAAAAACACGGTACATTGGGGATCGGCTACCTACCTGACTCTGTCCTACACGGCCCAGTAAGGGATTGGTAGTCCTGCAGGCTCCAACAAACGCATTGGTGTGCATCATGGTGCAAGGGCCCCAGGAGCCTGGGTCTATCACGTACCATCCACCCCATGCCCGCCCCAAACATTTGAGAGATGTTTCTGGTTTCGGAACCCCTTCTGAAAAGAGCCCCCAAAGACACCCTAGCTAACTAGAACAACCCCCCATGTCAACTCCAAGCCACATGCGAAGTGGAACGAGGAATCTGTCTACGGGAGGGAGGCCGGGTGGTGGGGGGGTGGGGGGTTGGGGGCCTGGTTGATCACCCTTGTTTAAAAGAGGACCCCCTTCACAGATCCCCCCGCAGTGTCGCAGCTCTGCACAAAGTATCCCAGCGGTCAATTCAACACTGAATCCTAAACCCATCAACACCCTAAAGCCCAAAACTCTAAACCCTTAAACAACAACAAGCACACAACCAATCACACAAACACTTCCAAGCAAGCAAAGAACCAACAAGCAAACAAACAAGCAAGCAAGCAAGCAAAATAAACCAACCAACCAAAAAACACACACACCCACCCACCCACCCACCCACCCACCCACCCACCCACCCACCCACCCACCCACCCACCCACCCACCCACCCACCCACGCACGCACGCACGCACGCACGCACGCACGCACGCACGCACGCACGCAACCACGCCACGCACGACACCCGACAGCACGCACCCACGCACACACGCACGCACGCGACAGCGCACACACAGCACACACACCACGACACACGCAACACGCACACACACACGCACACGCGCACACGCACAACACTCACACGCACACGCACACGCACACACGCAGCACGCACACGCACACGCACAAGCACACGCACCGCACACGCACACGCACACGCACACGCACACAGCAACGCACACGACACACACACGCACACGCCACACGCACACGCGATCACACACCACACGCAGACACACACAACAACACACAACACACACACACACACACACACACACACCAACCACAACACACAACACACACACACACACAACACACACACACACACACACCACACACACACAACAGAGACACACAGACACACAGAACACACACGACACACAGACACACAGACACACGGGACACACAGACAACACCAGACACACACACCACACACACACACACACACACCACAAGACCCACACAGACACCACAGACCACACACAGACACACACAGACACACACCCAAGACACACACAGACACACACAGACACCACACAGACCACACACAGACACACACAGACAACACACAGACCCACACAACACACACCACACCACAGACACACACAGACACACACACAGACACAGACACAGACACAGACACAGACACAGACACAGACACAGACACAGACACAGACACAGACACAGACACAGACACAGACACAGACACAGACACAGACACAGACACAGACACAGACACAGACACAGACACAGACACAGACACAGACACAGACACAGACACAGACACAGACACAGACACACACACACACACACACACACACACACACACAGATCAAGCAGCACACACCCGCAAAACAACTAAGACAAACAAAGCAAACGAAACAAACTAAACAACCAAACGAGCAAACACAAGTGCAAATCAACATTCAACACCCCTAAGTCCTAACCCCTAAACCCTCTACCCTAAGCCCAACTCCCTCAACCCGGCTGCCTGAAGGTTGCTCGAAGACACGCTCGACATCGCTTCCAGCCTTGGATGTTTTCTCGAGCTCCCGGTAAAAGGGTTTAGGGTTTAGGGTTTGGGGTTTGGGGTTTAGGGTTTAGGGCCCAAGATTGTCATGCTTAAACCCAATTTCCAACCCCTATAAACTTGCTTGCAACTTATAACTACTCAGACGGCAGGGGTAGGGGGGGGGGGGGATAGGGTTGAGAGGCCTACCAATCTAGGATGCAGGGCTTAGGGCCAAGGGCGGCCAGTTACAATTTAGGGCTTAGGGTACGCCAGAGGGTTTAGGACCAGGTTCGCCGACAAGCTAGGAAAAGACAAGCATGCCCATTTTTGTGGGGATTTTGAACTTATTCATGGGGTTTACTTCGGGTGCAGGGTGTAGGGCTTTGGGTTTGGTATTTAGGGTTTAGGGTATGGGGTTTAGAGTTTCGGATACTAGCAACTTCCGCTCGAGCTTCACGCAAGGAGTAGAACCCCTCTGCAGTGGGAGCTCGGTTGGCAAGGGCGCTGTGAACATGGGACGCGCATGCCTCTTAGCTGGTTGCGAGGAATCTCTTGGTAGAACATAAAAGGGTATAAAAGCACCAGGGGGGGGGGGGGGGTGGGGCTTAGGGTTCAGGGTTTAGAGTCTAAGTTTTTCAGGCTCCTGTGCTGCTGCTATCAGGGACTAGGAGCGAACGGTTCCGCGGTGTAGGGGGGGGCTTTCAGGAAAGGTCCAAACCCTAAACCCTGAACCCTAAACCCTAAGCCCTAAACCCTGAGGAGGCAGCATCAGCTTGGGGCCATCGAGGTCGTCCATGACGGGCACATGAAACTTTTGGTAGATCCTGCAGGGTTCAACCCTAACCCTAAACCCTAAACTCTAATCCCTGAACCCAAATTACAGGGTTGTAGTGTTTAGGGCTTAGGGTCTGTTTGGCAACCTATCTCAAGAAATCGTGCATGCTGCTGGAGCTTCATCGCCAGATCTGCATTTTGCGGGTTGCTTGTGAGACTTACTATTAGTTAGGGTCTGTAGTCGAGTCGAATTACGCAAATCTTCCGAGAGGCATAGCTTAACATGAACATTTTCCCTGGGACCGAAGAGTGGGAGACCTGGCGTGGCTTGAGGTGCATTTCTTGCCTAACCTGTGTTGAAAGACCTGGGCTGCAGGCACTTAGTTATAGGGTTTCCTGAAGCCAACAGTGGCCCTCTCTGGCCCTCAAGAGAAAGGTGTCAAGTCGTCCGAAGCACCCGCAAGATTTATTCAGAAATACACTAGACCCGGGAGTAACCTAGGAATCAAAAGGGCACCCTTTCTGGTTTTAAGGGGGTTAAAAGGGAACCCCAACCCTAAATGAAAAAAAGGGCCTACTTCCGGTCCTAGTATATAGGGCGCTTTGCTGCTGGGTTGGAGGGCTTTGGGGGCTTCGCGGCTTAGGGCCTAAAGGAGATGTCCTGGGGTAGACCTCGTGAGCCAGCAGCTGTACCAGCTGAGCCTGCCGAGAGGTTTAGGGTTTAGGGTTTAGGGTTTAGGGTTTAGGTTTTTAGGGTTTAGGGTTTAGGGTTTAGGGCTCTAAATCCCTCTGTTGGGAAAAGTCTGGGCCTGACTTCGCAAAAAGGCGGTGGAGGGCAGAGGCTCAAAGGTCCTCCCTAAACCCTAAACGCTACAGTAAACCCTAAACCCTATAGACCCTATAAACCCTAAACCCTGGACCCTATACCCCTAAACCTATTCATGAATCCCAGACTTCGGGCTCGCAGAATGTAGGTGGGCGGTGTCTCTGGGAACCCTATACCCCTAAACCCTAAACCCTAAACCCTAAACCCTAAACCCTAAACCCTAAACATGAATCCCAGACTTCGGGATCGCAGAATGTAGGTGGGCGGTGTCTCTGGGATGTTGCGGTTCTGGGTACTTCATGGTGCCTTGCGGATGGCGGGCTGCCGAGCCACTTCGTAGCCCAGTAACCATACTAGAATCCCTAATTTAGGGCTTGGGGTTTGGGGTCTATAGGGTTTAGGGTTTAGGATTTAGGGTGAATGAGGGTACCCTTCTCTTGGTTGGTTACTTCATAAGGGAACCCAGAACCAATAAAGGCTACCACTGGGCTACCAAAGCCCCAGAACTCCTGAAACTTGGAAAAAAACCTAATCGGTAGCACAGCAAGCATATGCCCAGGCTACACTCTTCTTTTCCTGTCGGTTCATGCTATCAATCAAGGAACCCAGGGCACGAAAAGGGCACATGGGCAACCAAAACCCTAAACCCTAAACCCGAAACCCCAAACCCTAAACCCCAAACCTGAATAAACCCTAACCCTAAACCCTAAACCCTAAACCCTAAACCCTAAACCATAAACCCTATAGCCTAGATGAAGCCAGGGCCCCAACGCGATAGTCGTGCCCAGTGCCCTTTGCCGTTGACTCGAAGTCGTCCAGGCGCTTCTGGTTCTCCGGATTCCGAAAGAAAGACCTGGCAGGTGGAGGTTTCGGGTTCAGGGTTCAGGGTTAGGGTTTAGGGTTTAGGGTTTAGGGTTTAGGGTTTAGGGTTTAGGGTTTAGGGTTTAGGGTTTAGGGTTTAGGGTTTAGGGTTTAGGGCTTGATGGTTTTCCTCAGAACGACAAACTCTTTCTGTGGGCCATCTATGATATACAACGATCCCCAAACAGGCTTTGTGTTCTTAAACCACCTTGGCATCTAGGATGTAGGGTTTAGGGTTTAGGGTTTAGGGTTCAGGGATTCAGGACTTCGGCTTCAGTAGTTCAAAGGCCTTCGAGGCTTAGGGTTTCGGGCTGAAGGGTCATGGAAATGTGGTTGCCCTACACCCTCAACCCGAAACCCTAAACCCTAAACCCTTAACCCTAAACCCCTAAACCCTAACCCCTAAACCCTAAACCTAAACCCTAAACTCTGTGACAAGCGCGTCTGAGGGCACCTCATGAAGCGCAGGACGATCCCACACTGCTTGTTCGTGAATCGCCTGGCAGTGGCCGCCCTGAACCCTAAACCCTAAACCCTAAACCCCAAACCCTAAACCCTAAACCCTAAACCCTAACCCTAAACCCCAAACCCCGATGATGTTCTGATGCCTAGCATCCAGAGACTCCTTGCAGACCACCAGCCCATGGGGGCTTAGGGTGGGAACTCAGATGAAAACCCGCTCCAAAGAGGACCATTCCCATCCATTCCCAAACCGCAAAACACGACCTGCAGGCTCCAACGTGGTTTAGGGTTTAGGGTTTAGGGTTTAGGTTTTAGGGCTTAGGGTTTAGGGTTCCTTATTGGCTATAGTGCTAGTGGGTCATAGTATACTACACGAACAAGGTCCTACATTAGGAGCTTCTTGGTAAAACCCCATCCTTGACGCGCCAGACATCTTTTCAACTTCCTCAGGCCGGAACATGTAGAAACTTCTCGACCCACGGAAGTCGGAAACGATGACATCATCGGGCACGAGGTCCTTGGTGCACGACCCCTTTTTCAGCCCTAAACCCTAGTCAGCCCCTGTACTACACCCTAACCCTAAAACCTTAAACCTAAACCCTAAACCCGAATCACTGCCATCCTCAGACTACGGCCGCTCTGCGATACTTCTGGCTCCTAGTTAGGTGTGGTCTTTTTTCCTGGACTTCTACCATTTGCTTAAGAACCCCTCCCAACAAATGAAAAAAAATCATAAGCCCTGTACAACTCTTATAGGGAAAATATGTTGTATTTATTGGGGGGTGTTCTTAAGCAATTACTAGATTCAATGTCTTCCACAGACTCCACAATCTGCGGGCTGGTGGTTGCCAGAATGTCGAAACATGAAGAATCTACACCCAGTTCGCTACATCATCGTTCCATTTCAGATCCCCTTAATTGAAACCGCCCCCACCCTTGCCCCATCAGGGTGCCCCACAAAGGACCTACATTTAGAGAACTGACCACACGCAGCACAAGTACCGGTAGGGTTGAGGGTATCTAAGCTTTAGAGGCAATGAGAACTGTTAGCCGGCCGCATATGCGGTTGAGCTCAATCACGTAGACTCTTGTGAGCCACATGAAGCTCATTCTTTAGTTCAACACTTTTTGTCCCCAAAACCCGGAGCCCTGAATGGCCTAAACCCAATATGCCCTGTACATATAAAAAACTAAACCCCCAAAAGCCGACACCCTAACAACCCGAAACCCTAATCACTAAACTCCAGAATTTCTAGGGGGGTTTACGAAAATAAGGGACCCGTAGTAGAGACCCCAAATAGGAAGATTACCTCATAAGAAGGACCCCAATAAGGTACCGCCAGAATCGTAAACCGTAAACCCTATATATAGCCTATAGATAAACCCAAAACCCTAAAAAAAGGTACTCTGAAACTGGTAAACCCCGTAGGAGTCTGGCATTCTCCTGAAGAGCCTGAATGTCACGTCCCTCCCGTTGGCAGAGCACTCGAGCCTGGCATGAGAGCGAAAGGCTTGTGGCGATATCCTAAACGCTAAGCCCTAAACCCTAAACCCTAAACCTTAAACCCTAAAAAGGGATCTTAGGGTGCACAGGGCTTGTAGTAGGGTTCATACGGTGGGTGGAGCGGGCCGTAGCTACTTCTGCAGCCTGACAGTGGTGCAAGATTTATTTCCTCCATCAGCGTAGGGCTTGTGGGGAGTTCAGGGCCCTTAAGTTCAGGGCTAAGATAATGAGTACCCTTGAATGTAAACAACTCCCAACACGGCCCTGTAAAACCCAAAAAGGACCTAATCAGAGAACAAAATTCAAAATGTCCTAAGGCCTTCCTTGTGTCCGACACCCAGGCCCAAACTTGCATCAAGACGTTCAGAGCGCGTGAGTTTCCAGGTGGACGTGTGTTTTTGATACATACTGCTATGTGTATATATATATATATATAAGATCCCTAGAAGGGGAAGCGTTCTTATGAAGGTATACATTACCTTATGGCGGGCAGGGTTTAGGGTTTACAGAGCCCTGGCCCCCATCACGCACCTCTGCCGGCAGGTGACGCCCCAGAACCCATCGCAGGTCCACTACCGTGGCCCCTTTCCTGGGTTCAAGATTTGGGTGGTTGGCAAAATTATGGCACTTTTTTGGACCCCTATTATATTACGGCACCTAATATTTAGGGTACCCCACAAGGACAGTCACCCATTTAGGTGCCTGGAATTGGGTTTGAGGCTTCAGTCTGGAAGAAACGTGCCATAACATGATGGCTGAAGCGGGATTGTATCAAAACCGCTGCAGCAGGGACGTGCTTGCGTAGTTGTAAGAACTGACAGGTTTGGAAGATTGGATTGTCAAGATTTCAGCCGTCTGCAACAGCCAGGGAATCACCAAAAGCATGGCTCCCAAACCCCAAAACCCAGCAACTCTCCCCAAATCCCTTACCCTTCCCTCCCCCTAAACCCTCAATCCAAAAACCCGACAACATTGCCCAAAACACTCAAGCCTAAGCACCAAACCCTAAAACCGAAGCCCTAAACCCTTCAACCTAAGCCCTAACACCCCCAAAAGCCCTAAGCCCAAAACCCAAAACCCAAAGCCCAGAGCCCGAAGCCCCAACCCCTATGATAAGCTCTAAGCCCTAAGCCCTAACCCTAAGCCCCAATTAAGCCCTAAAGCCTGGAAGCCCGAGGCCGTAAGTTCTAAACCCTAAGCAGTAAGCCCTAAACCCTATAAGCTAGCTAAGCGGCCGGAGCCAGACGCCGAAGGATTGCTTCGCGGCGAAAAACTTCTTCACCGTCGAGCTCTGGCAGGTCACACCTAGGCTCGCTTAGGGCTGTTGGGGGTTGGAAGGGTTTAGGGTTTAGGGTTTAGGGCTTAGGGCTTAGGGCTTAGGGTTTAGGGTTTAGGGTTTGGGGTTTGGGGTTTGGGGTTTGGGGTTTATAGGCTTTAGGGTTCCCGGTATGAGCTTCACGGGCTTTAACGCTTGCCAGCAGCCAGCAAGAGGCTTGGGGTTTTTAAGTGTTCCTGGTAAAGGGTATTTACGGTTTTTGAGGGGCATTAGGGGGTAAGGGTTCCTGGCAAGGGGCGTAGGAGTTGTCGAGGTGTTCCTGGCTAAAGGGGCTTGGACAAGCTGACGTACGGGGTCAGGGTTTCCAGCTACTCTTAGGGTTCGTAGGGTTTAGAGTTCAGGGTTCAGGGTTCCGGGTTTAGGGTTTGGGGTTTAGGGTTCAGGGTTTCGAAGGCAATGTATGGGGGGGAGGGGGAACCCTTGCGTCCCCAAAGGGCTGTAGTGGAAACCCCAAAGGTCCCAGCGCGCTATCAACCTTGGAACCGCCCCAAGCACCGGAATGATGCAAGAAGGGATGATCCACTAACTCTAGCCCCAAGAAGCTGCGAACCCCTAAACCCCAAACCCCAAACCCTAAACCCCAAACCCTAAACCCTAAACCCCAAACCCTAAACCCTAATCCCTAAACCCTAAACTTGTTCATGTAAAACTCCCCCTTCCTGAGGAGCTCGCGGGTCACGAAGGAAAGCTTGCTCTCCTTCCGCGTGACGGGTGCAGATCTTCCGAAGTAGGGTTTAGGGTTTAGGATTTCGGGTTTAGGGCTTAGGGTTTAGGCTTAGGGCTTAGGGATAATGTCTGGCGTGCCTTAGCTTACTTCTCCAATAACCAAGGGAAGAAAGGTTAAACTTTGCTGTTTTGCAAAATAAGGAAACTCAAAAAGATTAACGTTCAACTATTGGCTAAGTAAGCAAGTTAGATCACAAAAGGAGTTTCTGCAAGGTTGCAAGGTCCACCACTGTCGACTGAAACCCCAAACCTGAAACTGGGCCAAGCCCTAAACCCTAAACCCGGCTCACCCTGAATCCGAAACCCTGTTGAGATCCGATACAGTAGTCCTTCTCTAGCGCTCTGCCTGGAAAGATCTGGTGGCTAAACCCTAAACCCCAGACCTTAAACCTTAAACCCGAAACCCTGAACCCTAAACCCTGAACCCCAAACCCTAACCCTAAGCCCTAAACCCTAAACCCGAAATCCTAAACCCTAAACCCTAAACCCTAAACCCTAAACCCTAAACCCTAAACCCTAAACCCTAAACCCTAAACCCTAAACCCTAAACCCTGCACGGAGAGACTTGGGCCTTGGGGTTTAACACTCCGGGCATCCCTCCACGGGGCTCAACGTCCGGGTGTTACTAAAACAACTACAATGACATTTATTCACCCTAAACCCTAAACCCTAAACCCTAAACCCTAAACCCTAAACCCTAGACCCTAAAGAGAGACATTCAAAAACAAAATTCTAAGATCTAAGATCGGCCGAATTTGAGAACTGCCTGAGCTCTAAACCCTCAATCCTAAACCCCCGACTCGACCCTGCGAGCCCTCCGAGCCTATTTAGGGTTTAGGGTTTAGGGTTTAGGGGGGCTTACGAAAATAAGAGACCCCCCCCAAAAAAACCCTCCCAATAATTAGTAGGATCCCCTTAGAAAAAGGGACCCCAATAAGGTACCCCTAATATCGGAAACCCCCCCATAACCCTAAACCCTAAACCCGAAACCCTAAACCCGAAACCCGAAACCCCCTAACGCCCATTTCAAAGACCCCTCTTTGCATCCGACTGCTGGCCTCTTCCGCCGCGGCACAGGCCTCCTTGTCATCGTCTTCCCAGGTCTCCTTGCTCTAAGGCAGCTGGGGTGAAAGATACCTTGGGGTTTAGGGTTTAGGGTTTAGGGTTTAGGGTTTAGGGTTTAGGGTTTAGGGTTTAGGGTTTAGGGTTTGGTGTAGGATTGACGGTTTAAGATGGAGGCTTCGCGTGCTTGAGGGGTTTACTTTCGGGCTTCAGAGTCTGGAGGTTGGGGGGGGGGGTCAGGGATACGGGACTTTGCATTTAGGGTCTTGTCAGGCAAGGTCCCTTGTAAACCCATATAAGGAAGATTCTGAACCCTAAAGCCTAAACCGCCTAAACCCTAAACCCTCAATCCTAAACCCTAAACCCTAAACCCTATAAACCCTACTCCGATTCTTAAGGCCCCTATAAGAGGGCAGTTGCAGGCCTCCCCCACTCTGTAGCCAGCTGCAGCTGCGGCATCGGGAGACAGAACCTGAGGCAGCTCTCGTTGAAAAAGACCCTAAACCCTAAACCCTAAACCCTAAACCCTAAACCCTACAAACCTTGAACCGGGCCCCGCCTTTCTCTCACAGCTTGCGAGAAATTGGGCTCAGGCTCCCTACATAAACCGAGACGACATGCCTAGAGCAACCATCAGAGAAGTCAGGTACTGTACCTAACACGTAGACCTTTCCCTCCCTGAACGCCCTAAAACCCTAAAGCCCTAACCCTAAACCCTAAACCCTAAACCCTAAACCCTAAACCCCAAAACCCTAAACCCTCTTTGATTTAAGGGTCGCCGGAGCCATCCCCAAGTTGAGTGCTAAGGGCTCGGCCCAGACTTCGCTGGTCCTTGGGCCTAAGCGCGCCGCACCTGACAGCTAGACCCAAGAGGAGCCTAGGAACAGGAATGGTTCAGGGTTTAGGGTTTAGGGTTTAGGGTTTAGGGTTTAGGGTTTGGGGTTTGGGGTTTGGGGTTTGGGGTTTGGGGTTTGGGGTTTGGGGTTTGGGGTTTGGGGTTTGGGGTTTAGGGTTTAGGGTTTAGGGTTTAGGGTTTGGGGTTTGGGGTTTGGGGTTTAGGCTTTTAGGGTGACTCCAGAGTAGGCAAGGGTACCCTGTTTTAAGGGGCTTATAGGAGAACCGAAGCCCTCAACGAGGACTGAGGGCCTGCTCTGGATCCTAGACAGTCCGTTGTTCGCAGTGGCTGCAGCGGTTGGGATTAGGATTTCTGGTTTTGGGCTTAGGGTTTGGGATTTGGGTTCAGGGTTCAGGGTTCAGGGTTCAGGGTTCAGGGTTCAGGGTTTAGGGCTCAGGGATTAGGATTTCCGGTTTTGGGCGTAGGGTTTGGGGATTTGGGTTCATAGACTTTAGGGTTAGAGGCAGCGCCGACAAGCGGAGCAGGTTCGGCCGGGGTCGGGGGTGGCAGACAGGATCCAGCATGATCAAGAGCGTGCCGACAACAAACTAACAAATGTTCAAACAAGCAAACAAAGAAACAAAGAAACAAACAAACAAACAAACAAACAAACGAACAAACAAACAAACACGCAAACACCACACACACACACACACACAAACACAAGAAAGCAAAAAGTAGGCTTGAGGGCTTGAGGGTTTAGAGGTCAGGGAGGGAAAAGATCGAAGGAGCTACGGCCACCCAGCCCTCCCATGTGTCGGAAGACTGGTTTGCTTGCAGCGGCATTCAGTGCTTCTCCGTCACATCATGAGACCAAGCCAGCACGCACGAAGCAGCGTCAGCAGCTACTGCACTGAACCCTAAGCCCTAAACCCTAAACCCTAAACCCTACATGGAACCCGTCTGGTTCAGTGGAAGCCCGTCTCCGAAACCGTACCTGAACTAAGCAAGAGAGATTGTACGAATTTGCATGTGACCCTTCTGTTGCTTAAGATGCGCGGTTGCTCAAAATCGACGTACCCAAGCCGCATGAACCCCAATAAGCCCGAACCCTAAAGACCAGACGCTACTTCGAGGTTCAGGGGTAGGTATGCCGACAATTTTAAGTACCCTCAAGTCGGGCTCGAAGTAAAGTTGCCATGCTCATAACCCTGCTTAGGACTACCCATGAACCTCCAAGAAACCTTTTGAACCCCAACAGTACGAGGCCGCGTCACCAGTCACACGAACCCTGAACCCAAAACTCCGCATCATACCAGTCTTTAGGAGGCCTCACAGGGATTATGCCGCATTCAGGGGCATCAAAACCGGGGACCGACTTTTTTGGGAAGTTTTCACACACCTGACGACCTCACGCAAACCCTAAACCCTAAACCCTAAACCCTAAACCCTAAACCCTAAACCCTAAGGCCTCGAACCGGCGCTTGGGCCGCCTATGCCGCAGGTGGACTTGGGGGCATATGAAAACTTAAGGTTCTCTGCCTTATAACGGGACATACGGAGATCAGGGCACCTTATAGGAATTTCAACAACACTTCTCCACCCTAAACCCTAAAACCCTAAAACCCTAAACCCTAAACCCTAAACCCTAAACCCCAATTCATCAACCTCTGTATATAAGAGTGCGTCCTTCGAGGCTCATGTTATTCAAGATACTCGCACCCCTGAGGATGTGCCCCGAAGAGGTTCCCTGGCCCTCTTAGGGTTTAGGGTTTAGGGTTTAGGGTTTAGGGTTAGGAATCATTAAAAATTGGGTCCCCAAACCCAACGGTGCCACCTTCGGGGTCCAGGGTAAAGGCCCTTGACTTAGGACACCCTAAACCCTAAACCCTAAACCCTAAACCCTAAACCCTAAACCCTAAGAGCACTGCCCATGTGGTTGTGGAGAAGGTTCGGTTTGAGGGAGAAAGTAGAGGCCTGTAGTTTGGATTCGGGCTTTTTGCTGCTGCAACTAAAGCCCTCAAGCCCTAAAGCCCTATCAAGCGCTTGGGCGCAGGAAGAGCCTCGGGGAATTGGAGGAATTAGAGCTCGTTTAGGGTGTAGGATTTGCAGGGCTTACACTTTGTAGGGCTTGAGTTTCCAGGCTGAGAACCCCTAAACCCTAAACCCCAAATAATTAGGATTTAGGGTCTGGGGATTGAAGTCTGTGGGCCTCAAGTAGCCCAATTGGACAACCGAAATCCCGAAGCACTCCCAAACCACTCGAAGGCGCTGAGCACCCGTATATCCTGCAGGGGTTTAGGGTTTGGGGTTTAGGGTTCAGGGTTCAGGGTTTACGTTTAGGGCTAGGGGTTTAGGGTAATTTCCCCATTTCCCACCTCATATAACTCCTCTAAGCCTAAAACCCTCCAAAGCCTGATCCCAAAGCCCCAAACCCCAAATTTAGTCGCTGCGCTGTTGGAAGCCGGTTTGCTTTACCTCTGGCCACTGGTGAGTATACATGAAAAAATGCATCTGCTTCCCCAAGAGCCCTGCTAGGGCCCAGAGCCTAAATGTCTAAACCCGAACTGAAGTCCTGAACCCTCAGACACTATATCCCAAAGCTTAGGCTACACCCTAAATCCGTTTAATGCTGCTATCCGCAACCCTATAACACAACAAGCCTAACACATGGCTGGACAGCCTTAAGCCCGAAACCCTAAACTCTGGATGACCGACCGTACACGCCTACACCCTAGATGACTCCCAGCCCCCCATAAGCCCTGCATGACCCGGGACCCCCTATGGTGTTTTTGGTTTTCGGGATTTAGGGTTTTAGGGTTTTAGGGTTTTGGGGTTTGGGGTTTTCGGGCTTTAGGGTTTTAGGGTGTTAGGGTCTTGGGGTTTTAGGGTGTTAGGGTTTTAGGGTCTTAGGGTTTTGGGGTTTCAGGGCTTTGGGGTTTAGGGTTTAGGGTAGGGGTGCTAGGGCTTTTTAGGGTCTTAGGCTGAAAGTGTTAGGTTTTCAAGGTTCTGGTCGGTTTAGGTTTTAGGGTTTAGGCGTTAGAGCTTTGGGTTTAGGTACCCTGCAACCCTAAAACCTAAAACCTAAACCCTAAACCCTAAACTCTAAACCCTAAACCCTAAACCCTAAACCCCCTATCGCCAGAGGATCTCAGGGCCCTAGGCCTGCAGCAGCTTTCGCCACTGCTGCCCAGACTTGGTGTCCGAACGGAGGTTCTCCTGACAGGAGCCATTTAGGGTTTAGGGTTCAGGGTTTAGGGTTTAGGGTTTGGGGTTTGGGGTTTAGGGTTTAGGGTTTATGGGTTAGGGTTTGGGGTTTGGGGTTTGGGGTTTAGGGGTTCCTCTCACAAGATGCAGCTTCAGACATCTACTATATGCTATTAGAGGCTACTCAGTGTTGTCCAAGAGCCTCAATACTTGGACAACCCTAGGACCCTCCCCTCACCTCCCCTGGTTTCCCTACACCTCGAATTGGGGGGTTTAGGGTTTAGGGTTTAGGGTTTAGGGTTTAGGGTTTAGGGTTTAGGGTTTAGGGTTTAGGGTTTAGGGTTTAGGGCTACCAGCCCAAAAACCCCAAAACCTAAACCCTGAGCCCCAAACCTGGCCTCGGCTCCCGGGAGCTCTGCGAGGAAGGCAATGCCCAGGACGCTCGCAGCGATCTTGCCGAAATCACAGAGCTAAGGTGGGTTTAGGATTTAGGGTTTAGGGTTTAGGATTTAGGGATTAGGGTTTAGGATTTGGGGCTGGCAGGGCTTGAGGTTCGGGGCTTAGGGTTTAGGATTGAAGGTCTCTAAGCAGTGCCAGCTCAGTGCTTCGGGACTTGATCTTCTTGTGCTGTGAACTGTCAGATAGGAGGGGCTCTGAGTCCCCCAACCCTAAGCAACATAGCGCCAGACGCCTTCACCGTCAAAGGCTTGGCCAGTGACTTTACAGTAGTTCACTGCTACCTAGTTTGTCTCCAAGGGGCTTCTTCGAGACTGTCCACAAGACCGCATGCATCAACCACAAGCCCCAAGCCCCAAGGCCTAAACCCTAAACCCTGAACCCTAGAATGGTACCCTTGAACATAAGAGATATACAAGAGATAGCACCAAACCAGGGGGAACATACTACAGACAAGGGGTATACTGTATAGAGGGACCCTCAACTTGAGGCCCTCAACCATGATTGGTTATGCTGCAAAGAGAGACCCCAGAAGAGATGTCAGTCCCTGCGGTTCTGTTGGAGACCGCAGGCGCAAGAGAACTCTCCCTAGACTCGGACCCCCAACCCTGATTCCCAAACCCAAACCCTGAACCCCAAATCCCAAACCCGAGACCCTGAACTACAAATCCCTAACCCCAGACACTGAACCCTGAACCCTAAACCCCAAGCCCTAAACCCCTAAACCCCAAGCCCTAAACCCCCGAGTCGCTCGTCCTTGGGGGTAAGTTCACGTCTTTCGATGTTGGTGCTTAGGGTTTAGGGTTTAGGGTTTAGGGTTTAGGGTTTAGGGTTTAGGGTTTAGGGTTTAGGGTTTAGGGTTTAGGGCTGCCTAGGCCTAGGCTTCGCGCCTCGTCGCGCTGTGCATTGCTGTAGGTCCTGGCAGGATTTCCGGCTTGTGGGGCTTAGGGGTGTAGGATTCAGGGTGCAAGGTTAGGGTTTAGGGGTTCAGGGCTTAGGGTTTCAAATTCAGGGTTTGGGGGCTTGTGGGGTTGAAGGGTTTGGGATTCAGGGTTTAGGGTTCTGAGATGCACGGAAGAAGTCGTTCGCATTCCCATGAATTGGGACCTCAGGTGTCCAGGAGGCATGCAACTATCGTGAGACTAATATTTGAGGCATTGCGGCTTAAAATCGGGGACTAAGTTTACAGTCCGGGCCACTAGTATGGGCCGTCAACTTACAATGCTGCCCTAGGAAACATTGTGATAAGTCTCCGTAACCACGCAGTTGGAAACGCACCCTCATAATCATCCGAAAAAAAAGGAGGGGCGGGGGCAGAAAGACCAAAAGTGAAACCCCACCCACCCCCACCCCCGCACCGCAGAGGAGAGGAGGGGAAGTAAAAGGAGGGTGGGGGTGGCTGGCGTGCCCTGATCATATGCATACATGACGTATACATATGTGTATATGTATATATGGTTCAGCGTCGAGCGTCCTGGGCCCCCCCCCCCCCCCTGGTATCCCCCCCCCCCCCCAAGTCTACTCTACGGTAAACCCTAAACCCTAAACCCTCCCTAAACCCTAAACCCTAAACCCTAAACCCTAAACCCTAAACCCTAAACCCTAAACCCTAAAACCTAAACCCTAACCCTAAACCCTAAACCTTAAGTCTTAAACCTTAAACCCTAAACCCTAAAACCCTGAACCCTAAACCCTAACCCTAAAACCAACCCCCAACCACACCACAGGGGGGGGGGGATCATCTTAGTACCCCATCCGCGGGGAAAACCCTAAACCCTAAACCCTAAACCCTAAACCCTAAACCCTAAACCCTAAACCCTAAACCCTAAACCCTAAACCCTAAAACCCTAAACCCTAAACCCTAAAAAACCCTAAACCCTAAACCCCCCCTAAAAAAACCCCCAACCACACACACAGGGGGGGGGGGGTACCATTGGGGGGGGGGGGGGGGGGGGGGGGGGGGGGGGGGGGGGGGGGGGGAGGGGGGGGGTAGGGGGGAGGGGGGGGGGGCCCGCCGGGACTGAACCATATATATATATATATATATGTGGCATGGACCTTTATGTATTATTTGACGTTCTCTCTTGTTTTGTATTTAAAAACCTATAAACAAACTAAATCCAAGAAACCTGAAGCACAAATTCACCAATTTCGTTCTCTTAGGGTTTAGGGCTTACGATTTATAATTTACTCTTTTTTTTGATGTGAACGTACAGACGCAGTCAGATGTTGGCAACGAATACTAGCTATCACTTCTGCTCTTGCGTGGGGGATGATCCAAGCGGTCTCTCGGGTCGAGCTGCGCACCGTTGTGCGCACATTGAAGTGTCCTGTCAGCTGTCGTGCCCAATTGTTGCTTGGTGTGGATCGGCAAAGATCACTGCTACTGAAAGAGGCATCTTCTCATGAAGATGCCCTAACTCTTTCAAGACATCTACATTATCATTCAACGCGTACAGACGTCGGTTCGACAACCTGTAAAACTTCGTACTCTTCTTCACAAACTGAAGTGGACGCGAGTCCTGCAGTGCCCTGAACCGTCTCGTGCAGAAAACACCCCCGCAGAAAATCACTGCCTTTACCGCAAGCATTGGAATCATACAACCGCACAACCCGCTACAGTCCACCTCCGCCACGGACGCACCCATGACCGCAGAAGCCACTGCCCCGCCGATAAGGAGCCGACCAAAAAAAAGCAACGACGGCACCCATTGCAAAAGACCTGCGAAAACGTCTCGCGTAATCAGTGACCATCATACAACAATCGGTGAACAATCTTAAGACACTATTTTTGCGGGCAACCAATAGCAACTGGTCGACCAAGCCGATGCCTGAAGACGGCACGGCTGCGGCGCCTCGGAGCTTGTCTTCCTGACTCGGGAAACTGCTGCGGCCGACGCCAAGTCTCGCCAGCTGTCGTGCACAATTGTTGCTTGGTGTGCGTCGACAAAGATCACTGCTACCGAAAGAGGCTTCTTCTCATGAAGATGCCCTAACTCTTTCAAGACATCTACATTATCATTCAACGCGTACAGATGTCGGTTCGACAATCTGTCGAACTTCGTACTCTTCTTCACAAACTGAAGTGGACGCGAGTCCTGCAGTGCCCTGAACCGTCTCGTGCAGAAAACACTCCCGCAGAAAATCACCTTGAGACACATGCCTTTACCGCAAGCATTGGAATCATGCAGCCGCACAACCCGCTACAGTCCACCTCCGCCACGGACACTCCCATGACCGCAGAAGCCACTGCCCCGCCGAGAAGGAGCCAACAACAAAAAAGCAACGACAGCACCCATTGCAAAAGACCCGCGAAAACTTCTCGGATAATCAGTGACCATCATACAACAATCGGTGAACAATCTTAAGACACTAACTTTGCGGACAACAAATAGCAACTCGTTGACCAAGCCGATGCCTGAAAACGGCACGGCTCCAGCGCCTCGAAGCTTGTCTTCCTCACTGTGTGTTTTTGAGATTTAAAGGAGAACAAGAGAAGAGAAGGGAGAGAGAAAGGAGAGAGGAGAGATCAACAGGAATGCAACTCTAAATGGAAGAGCAATGAAAAGAATGGAAGAGAAATGAGGACAGGCGAAATGCAAAAATCAGGCAAAGAGAAGACGGTGCTCGTTTTCATCTTTCCTCTGGTTCTTATATTTCTCTTCTCTTGTTCATTTCCGTTAGAAAAAACAAAAGGAATAACAATGAACATGTAAGCAAACCCAGCTGATGCTCATGATTTTTTCCTTTCTCCCTCTCTCTCTCCATATATGGGCGATGGAACGGGTGTCCTTGTTGGGCCGTTTCCTGCATCCCAGCTGATGCTCATGACTTTTTTCTCTCTGTCTCTCTCTCTATATATATATATATATGGGCGATGGAATGGGTGCCCTTTTTGATCGTTTTCTGCATCTTCAAGCGAGGAAAAGCGACACCCCACAAGAAAGCACTTAGGGTGTCCCTTTTGCTTGTTTGAAGACGCAGAAAGCGATTAAAAGGGACGTCCATTTTGGATTGGCAGCCAACCCAGCTGATGCTCATGATTTTTTTTTCTCTCTCTCTCTCTCTATATATATATGGGCGATGGAATGGGTGTCCTTTTTGATCGTTTTCTGCATCTCCAAGCGAGGAAAAGGGACACCCCGCAAGAAAGCACTTAGGGTGTCCCTTTTGCTCGTTTGAAGACACAGAAAGCGATTAAAAGGGACGCCCGTTTTGGATTGGCAGCCAACCCAGCTGATGCTCATGATTTCTCTCTCTCTCTCTCTCTCTCTCTCTCTCTCTCTCTCCCTCTCTCTCCCTGTCTCTCTCCCTATATATGGGCGATGGAACAGGTGTCCTTTTAGATCGTTTTCTGCATCTTCAAGCGAAGAAAAGGGACACCACAAGAAAACACTTAGGGTGTCCCTTTTGCTCGTTTGAAGACACAGCAAGCGATTAATCCGTTCCCCCTAATATTAAAGCCCCCCCCCCACCCCCCTCCCTTGTATAAAAACCCCCAAAGGGTTTTTTGTATTTGGGGGGGTTCTTATCGTTTGTCCGAAAAACCAGCCCGTCCTTATTGCAGCACGCTGGCTCAGCAGCCCAGCCTAAGCCTAGAAAAGGTTCATGTTTCTGCTTCCGGCTTCCAACCCTCCCCCCCCCTAACTCCCCCCTCTCTCTGTAGAGATTTTAATAGGGACAGGCACGGGATCGGGATTTTGGGCCAGGGGGTTCTTAATATAAGGGGGGTATTAATATTAGGGGGAACGGATTAAAAGGGGCGCCCATTTTGGATTGGCAGCAAACCCAGCTGATGCTCATGATTTATCTCTCTCCCCATATATGGGCGATGGAACGGGTGTCCTTTTTGGATCGTTTTCTGCATCTTCAAGCGAAGAAAAGGGACACCACAAGAAAACACTTAGTAAGGGTGCCCCTTTTGCTCGTTTCAAGACACAGAAAGCGATTAAAAGGGACGCCCATTTTGGATCGGCAGCAAACCCAGCTGATGCTCATGATTTATCTCTGTCTATATATGGGCGATGGAACGGGTGTCCTTCCTGATCGTTTTCTGCATCTTCAAGGGAGAAGGAAGGGCACCGCCCAAGAAGGAAAAGTAACATCAGATATAGGGAGGGAAATTGAAGAGCTCCTCTCTTTACTTAGTCATTCCCTTTCCTCTCTTCTTATCTGTTGTTTTCTTCGCTTCAAAATGCAAAATAAGGGAAAAGAGATTTCCTGAAGAGGAGGGAGGGCACCTATTGAAGAGCTCCTGTCTTTACTTAGTCATTCCCTTTCCTCTCTTATCCGTTGTTTTATTCGCTTCAAAAAGCAAAATAAGCGAAAAGAGATTTCCTGAAGAGGAGGGAGGGCACCTATCTGTAAAGAGCAATCGTTTAGAGGGGAACAGGAGAAGAGGAGCGAGAGAGAAGGACAGAGGAGAGATACAGGGAATCCAATTTCAATAGAACAGCAAAGAAAAGAATCGAAGAGAGATGAATAGAGAAGAGGGAGAGACAAAACAAGGCGCAGAGAAGACGGCACTCTTCTTTATCTATCCTCCCTCCCTTATCTCTCCCTTCCCTCTTTCTTTTCCAGATAAGAACAACTAACGAGGAATAATTATGAAAAGGAGAAGAGTAAGGAAAGGAGCAGAAGAGATAGGCCGAGAAGAGGGATATGATGAAGTACGGCAAGGTCCACGCGCAACCTCTGCTTACCCTGCCACTGTTTTATCCTGCAAGTTCCTTTCTTGTTGTTCATCAGTCAAAAAGTAACAGAAAGAGAGAAGGGAAAGGGAAGTGAGAGAGGAGAGAGAACAAGGATGCCATTTTTCTGGAAGGGTACTGGAAAGAAGAGAAGAGACAGGAAGCAAGGAGACGGAGTGACAAAATAAATTTCTGGAAGGGTACTGGAAAGAAGAGAAGAGACAGGAA